TATTGCAAAATTTGGAAAGAAAAAAAAATAATAATTACAGAACATCATCCTTTTTATATCCAAAAAAAAAAAAAAAAAATACATTTTTTGTGTCCCGAAATTGAAACATAGGGACCCGGATCATTTGATTGTTGCTGGTAATGGTGTAATTCTTGGTGGGTTTGTTTCAATGGAAAAAAAAAGAAATTCAAGAATCAATAATTCCGAATATGATCGATTGATTTAAATTTTTGCGAATTCAATTTGAATGACGCGAACCATAAAACGAACAATGTCATCAAACAAAAAGAAAAAAAAGCAAAAGTTTAAGGTCCGAATGGTGGAACCAATTGAGTGATTGATCGATCGATCGATCGATTGACTGATTATAGCATGAATTTTGATACTTGATGATGATAATTGTCTGAATATTGAATGTATTAAATGTTGCTGTCATCATCATGAATGATAATCATGATATGTGGTTGTTGCACAGTACTAAACAGTATTCAAACATGGATTAGATATCCGGTGTATTTGATTGATTGATTGATTAAGTTTGGTCATTTGATCGATTTTTTTTACTGCCATATCAATGAAATGAACATTTCATTATAATCAATGATACTGATGATGATGATAATCAGAAAAAAAAGTATATTTTTAGAACGAAAAATGATGATTAAAAAAAAAAAATATTTCAAAAGAAAGAAAATCAATTCAATCAAAATGGGTAATGAAAGAAAAAATTTTTCTCCTTCCTTCCTTTATTTTTCGCTTGTGGTGGTAATTGTCGGTGATGGTTCTTCCTCCTATTAGTTTATTGAATTATTTTTTCACTAAGGTCGAATCAATCAATCAATAAACCATTTACCATTTACCTTTGCAATGATTTTGATTGATGCTTCAAAAATCATCGTTATTGATCATCATTGGAAACAAACCAGAAAAACAATCAATTTTTGGTCAATGTCAATATTGATCCGTTGGGGAAAAGTGAAAAAAAAGAGAAAAAATACCAAAAATTCTAATCGATCAATATTCTTTGCAAAAAATGATTGATTTTCTTAGTTGTTGTTTTCTAATTGACCTTGTTCCATTTTTTCTGTACTTTTCTTTTTTTTTTTGTTTTGTTTGTTTACCTTTTGGTAAGATGATGATGTTTTGATATTATCTTGGATCAAGATCTTTTTCTTTTCTTTTCTTTAAGACACCACTTAGGTGATCTGTATGTGTGTGTGTTAGGATTAATTACAGGTGTTTTTAATTGAGGTCACAGCTTTTTAAAAAAATGATGGCCGATCACAGGTAATTTAATTACATTGGGTTACATTGGTGGGCAACAAACACACACACACACTCATGGATACCGGAGAAAACCCAGATGTAAATTAGCAAAACAAAATAAAACAATTACATAAGGTTTAAAAACTAAGTTCATTAAAAAAAAATTTAGATTTTTAAAGATGTTTGGGCATTTTCCATTATATCCAGGATCGAATCATCTCGAATGATCATCAAACAAAACAAACAAACATTTTCCTGATGATGTTATCTATGGATATATTTGTTTTTTTTCTGGTTATCAGTCAGTCAGTCCGACAGTTTTGTAAATTTTTTTGTAAATAGAATTTACTGGAATGTTGTATTCATTTCTATTTGTTTTCTTTTTTTCATTTCTTTTATTAAAATTTTTTTTTTAAATAAAAATTCAAATTTAGTTTTACCATGCAGTGAAGTTTGCTTTCACCGCATCGTCGTTCTAATGAATGGCATCGCGACGACGACAATGTTGAATTTCTTTCTCTCACATTCATTCATTCATTCATTTTTTTTAAAATACAAAAATGATTAGATGTCAATGTTTAAATATAACCAAAAAAAATGAATAATTTCTTCGTAACACTAATCTAATCTAAATGATTTAATCAAATGAACGATATACAAATTTAAGTCTACTTTGTACCCAGAAAATTAGTTAATAATAAGCGAGAATAAATTGATGAAAAAATTGATGAAAGAAATGTGCCACGAATCGAATCAAAAAATCAAAAATCAAAAATCAAGCCACAATTATCATTATGACTTTTTAGACTATCAAAATTGGTCACATGCTTTTTTTTGTTAACTTGGCTATCTAATCGATTTTTTTTTATTTGTTTCTTCTGTGATTCGAAAACAACATGAATAGAAAGAATGCTGAAATCGTGATTATCCAACCAAAAATCAGAGAAAAAAAATCAATCGAATCGTCATCATGTTTCAATTCAAATACTTGATTGAACTATAAATAATTATTATTGATATTGATATTTACAAATTTTTTTTTACATTTACATTTTGTTTTTTTTTTCAAATTGCAATTCTAAAAGTCATTATATTTTTGTTTGTAAATTTGGGCTATTTTATATTTATATGTTATTAATCTGTCAAAAAATCTGTTGATTGAACCTTAGTAATGTAATGTTTTTTTTCTTTCCTAGCCATAAGGGTTAGCATTATACTGAATCAATCAATGAACTTGACTGGATATTTTTCCATTTGAAAAAAAAAATGTTAATGTAAACAAATACACATTAAGGAAAGGTTCCGGTAAACAAATATTATTATTATCACGTTACCACCAATAGCATTGAACAACAAACAAAAAAACAAAAAAGAACATAAAGTTTTGTCATCGTGATAAGAGGGTAACCAATCACAATCACAAATAAGTATTTTATTTTTGTGTGGAAAAAAATAGATGAAAAAAAAATATTGTCAAAAATCACAAAATATTGGAGAAAAAAAAACAACAACAGTGTAATATTGATTGGTCAACGACAATCATCATTCTATCGACATATTGTTGCATCAATTTGTTTCAATAAAGGTGCAATGAGCATTAATTTTTTACGATACATAGGATCGTTTGCGATTGGATTTCGTTCCAAATAAACTGTTGATAATTTTGGTAATTTGGACAATATTTCAACATTATGCCAATCATTAATTTGATTATCATTACACCAAAGTTCTTCTAGTTCAATTAAATGTTCAATATTTTCAAATTGTTTGATTTGATTGCCAGCCAAGTCTATATTTTTTTTGGGGAGAAATTATTTTAAATTAAAAATCTATAATTAAAAAACAAACAAACCAAGTGTATTAATCTTTAGATTTTTATCAAGATTTTCAATTTTGCTTATTCCATTATGACTAATATACAGTTGTTCCAATTTCGTCAGACAATCCAATCCTTCAATTTTGATTATACGATTTGATTGTATGCTTAACAATGTTAACGAATGAAGATGATCTAAATTTTCCAATTTAGTCACTTTGTTTTTGCCCAAAAATAAATTTTCAAGTTTTGATAAATTTTCAATATTTTCAATTTTTCTTATACGATTTGCACCTAATTCTAATGTTTCCAAATTAACCAATTGATTTAAATTTTCAATTTTTTCAATTTGATTATTAATAAGAAATAATTTTTTCAAATTAACCAATGTATCAAGTCCTTCGATACGTTTTAGTCGATTAAATGAAAGATCAAGAATTCTGACCAAAAATGACAAAACAAATGAATTAATTTTCAATTTCATTTCAATAAAAAATTTTACTTACTCTAAATTTATTAGGTTTGATAAATTTTCAATTTTTTCAATTTGATTATCATACAATTCAAGCTCACGAAGTGTGATAAGCTGTGTTAGACCTTCAATTTTGTTTATCAAATTATTTCGTAAACCAAGAAATTCAGTTTTATTGAGTACATTGAAATTTTTAATCGTTGCTATACGACAATGTGTAAATTCTAATTCTTTTGAATCGAGATCCAATTCCATTGGTTCATAATCAGTTGATTCTTCGGAATCTTCATATTTTTCATAACGTTTTGTAATCAGATAAGTTTTACCATCGTTTAATGTTTTATTTGGATCAATAATTGTAGGATCTTCAGGTAATTCTTCAACTGCAACATTATTATTATTATTATTAGTTTCGTTTGACATTTTTTTTTCAAATAAATTAATCAGAATTTTTGTTAAATAATAATAATAAAAATATTTATCATCAAATCAAATGATTAACATAAATGATTAATCTTTTCCGAAAAAACTTTCTTCACATCAATCATATTTCTGGGAAATTTTTCTTCAACCAATATCACTGCCAATTAATAAATGATCAATATTGAAATTCTTTTTGGAAAACAATGAATACAAGAGGACAAGCAGAAACTAGTCAATTAAGAGCTAATCTTGAATGTCAACTTGATCGTTTGGTTGCACAATTAGCTGATCTTGAAGCTTGCAAGTAAGTTTTTTTTTTGTTCATCTTGTCTTGAATAAAGATATTCATTCTGAAACCACATTATGAAACACACAGAAATGATCTTGATATCGATGAATATGAAGAAACAAAAACCGAAACTATTGAACAATTAAAAGAATTTAATGATTCATTAATTAAATTTAAAAAAGGCGATATCACCTTGATCGATGAGATTAGTTCATTTCAATTGGCCATACAGGCAGCTATTAGTAATGCATTTCGTACACCAGAAATTATTCGATTATTTGCCAAAAAACAGCCCACACAATTAAGACTTAAGCTAGCCGATGTGAGTATTTGGATTTCGATATTAGATTTTTTTTTGTTTCTTGGACCGGTATTTTAACTTTTCTTTTTTTTTCAATTATCAAGATTGAACGTGATCATAAAATTGGTACATTGTCAAAAGAATCGTATGATTTACAGAAGACCGAAATATTGGCTGCTCTGCAAAGATTGGACGATAAACTTTCAATTGATGAGAAACTTTTTCTTCAGAATAATACAACCGATTCATTACGAGAATTTAGCCGGATACAGCAACAAGAAACCGGTATGGAAAAGTTTTCATTTCGATTTGTACTTTGAAATCTAATTTTTTGATTGCAAATTTTTTTTTTCGTCACTTTCAACAGTTTCTGAACAAAATTTATCAAAGATTTTAAAATGAAATCAACTTTGATGCCATCATTTATTTTATTTGATTTTATTATTATTATTTATCTTTTAAGTTTGTATAGAGCTGAATTTCCTTTTCTTTTCATTTTTTTTTTGTTTGTTTGATAAAAAGAAAAAATATTTACTTGTGATTGTATCATATCTACACAATATATATCATATATCAACTGATTAGAAGAATTTCATCGAATCATTTTACCGTTTTTAAACATTTGATTTGATCATCATGCCATAATGTCATCATCTTCTTTTTCTTTCTCTTCCTTTTCAATCGAATGACAAAGAATGTTTGGATATTAAGAAATACCATGATCAAAACGATGATAAACATTGGTTCGTGGTATCTTATCTTTTTTATCGAATAATAAAGACCATTAGGCTTTCTGGAGATCTATTCAGATCAAAAAACACACACATTAAATACACAGAAGCATGTGAATCCCTTTGAATTTATCAACTTTAATCAATCAATAATCTTGATGTTTTGAAAATTTTTCGTGATTCAAATAAATTTGATCATCATTTTTTTATATGCAAAATATATATTTCTTATTCATTCCTTTTTTATCAATCATTATTGGCGGTGGTCGTTGTCGAATAGCAGCAGCATAAACATTTCATTAATTATTTTTTTATAATTTTGTTTTTTTTAAAAAAAAGGTGAGTAATTTACATTTTAAAAAATTTTTACAAAAGGATTTTTTTTTTCAAAAAATTTTGTAACGTGTTTTATGAACAAAACATTCTTTCGAGCTACCTCTCTTTCGCTGATTTTGTCTTTGCATTCCCCCCTCTCACCACCCCACTATAATTTTAGCCATTTAGAAGTGGCATGTAACTAAAAGGTAAGGCGTGTGTTGTATTTCTGTTGTGTTTGGTGTGTGTGTGTTGTGAACATTCTGCTTCGGCTTTTTTTTTCCTATCCTGGCCAATATATTCTTCTCGGATTCTCATTTAATGATTCCACATTCGATCGAATTATTTGTTTTTTGTTGGATTCTAATTGAATTTTATTCTGTGTTTTGATTCGAAAAAAAACGAATCGTAACTGTGAATATTACCTAATGATTATGATAATTGTTTAATCTCAATATTCGTTTAATTCGATAAAGATTTTTTGTTGATGAATGAAACGAAAAAAAAAAAAATCTATGTCAATGTCATCATCATATTGTCTTTTGTTTTTCTAATCGTTTGTGTATGCGTCTGTATGTGATGATACAATAATTCAATCATTTCGACCATCATTCGAAAAAGATTTGACCAATTCAGATAATAACAGCTTCTTATTGAATTTCTTTCTTTTTAAGAATTTCATTACCACCAGACAAAAAAAAATAACACCAAAGAATTTTTTCATCTGTTCGAATTGTTGTTGTTTTCTTGTCTCTCTTCAAAAACAAAATATAAATCTCTTGTCATGTTAATATTAATCATTCGAATGTGATAGTTGATAAAAAAAAAATATTTTCAAATAATCAAATGGCTTTTTCTTGATTTTATTGATTTTTTTAAAACACTTAAATATAATTCGAATAAATAATATTCATCATCATCATCATCATCATTTTATAAAAAATTTAGTTTATAATTGCAAATAATAATAATTAATAATAATATCATTTATATTATAAAATCATATTAACAAAAAAAGAAAAAAGAAAAAATGTCATCAACAAATGGATCAACATTAAAAACGAATGGTCAACTTCATGATGAAAGAATTGCTATTCTTGATTGTGGTGCTCAATATGGAAAATTAATTGATCGAAAAGTTCGTGAATTGAATGTAGAATCACATATACTTCCATTGCAAACACCGGCTAAAGTTTTGTTGGAGAAACAATACAAGTAAATAAATTGTTGATAAATAAATTTCTTTAAGAATTTTTATATTATATTTATAATTATAGGGCTATAATAATTTCTGGTGGACCAGGATCCGTATTCTCTGATCAAGCTTTGCCTTATGATCCAGAAATATTTCGTGTTGGATTGCCCGTATTGGGTATCTGTTATGGAATGCAAATGCTAAATAAAGAATTTGGTGGCTCAGTTTTACGCAAAGATGCTCGAGAAGATGGACAATTTACCATTTCTGTGGATAATACTAATCCATTGTTTAGGTATTGTTTTTTGATTTTACTTATTATGGTTCTAATGTATTTATTTCTATAAAGTAATCTGACGCCAAAGCAAGATGTCTTATTGACACATGGTGATTCTTTATCGGTGGTTGCAAAAGATTTTAAAGTGATAGCTACTTCCAATAATATCATTGTAGCCATCGCTAACGATATGATGAAACTTTATGGTGTTCAATTCCATCCTGAAGTAACTCTTTCCACTAATGGTAATGCAATGTTGAAGAATTTTCTCTACAATATTGCCGGCTTGAAGGGAACATTTACAATGCGATCAAGAGAATCTGAATGCATTGAATATATTCGTAAAGTTGTCGGCAACAATAAAGTCCTGGTAAGTTTCCGGTGTATGTTTTTTTTCACACCATAATGTTTTTACAATTAAATTGTTTTTACATTGTTAGAATCTTGTTAGTGGTGGTGTTGATTCATCTGTATGTGCAGCGTTACTTCGTAAAGCACTTAATCCTGATCAAGTTATTGCAATTCATATTGACAATGGATTTATGCGCAAAAACGAAAGTCGCCTTGTTGAAGAATCGCTTAAAAAAGTTGGCCTTGATATGAAAAGTAATTTCATTTGTTGTTTCTGTTTTGATATCTATATCTATTTTTTTTCTCTCTTTTTTTTAGTCATCAATGCTGCATTAACCTTCTACAATGCCACCACAGTGATTTCATTGTCAAAAGAAGAGCCTGACAAGAAATATGTCACTAAACCATTGAGTTTAGTTACATCACCCGAAGAGAAGAGAAAAATTATTGGCGATACATTTATAAGAATAGCAGATGATATCATTCGTGATCTAAAACTTGATCCGAACGATGTTCTTCTTGGCCAAGGAACATTAAGGCCTGATCTGATTGAAAGTGCATCTTCATTGGCCAGCTCAAAAGCAGATGCCATAAAAACTCATCATAATGATACTGAATTGGTTAGAAAGCTACGCGATGAAGGTCGTGTAGTTGAACCATTAAAAGATTTTCATAAAGATGAAGTTCGTATACTTGGTCGTGATTTGGGCCTATCTGACGAGCTTGTTAATCGTCATCCATTTCCTGGACCTGGTTTGGCTGTTCGTATATTGTGCGCCGATGAGCCTTATATGGAAAAAGATTATTCTGAAACATCGGTTCTTCTTAAAGTGATCGTCAGCTATGCGACCTCTTTACAAAGGGTATGCATTTGTATTTAAACGTTAGGTAATCATTTGTAAATTGTTTGTCATTTACAGAAACACTCGATGATAAGTAAAATTCATAGCAGCTGTGAGGAAGATGATCGCGAATTTTTAGAAAAATTTTCCACCAAATATAAATTTGTTGCCAGCTTATTACCAATCAAATCAGTTGGTGTTCAAGGTGATTGTCGTTCATATAGCTATGTCGTTGGCCTATCTGAAGATGCTTCACCAAATGAAGACGAAGCAACTATAGCAGATAAATTTCAACAATTGGCACGGCTTGCAAAATTGATACCTCGTATTTGTCATAATGTCAATCGTGTTTGTTATATTTTCGGCGAATCGGTAAAATCTCCAGTGGTGAACATTACTCAAACAACGTTGACGCCAACTGTGATCGCCCAGTTACGTGAAGCGGACCACGTAGCTAATAATATAATGTTTGCACATAACATGGGCCATAAAGTTTCGCAAATGCCAGTTATACTCATACCGATACATTTTGATCGTGAAGTTATAACACGACAGCAATCCTATCAACGTTCAGTAGTCATACGAACTTTTCTAACTGAAGATTTTATGACCGGCGTTCCAGTTATTCCAAATAAGCAAATACCGTTTGCCGTAAGTATAAATCAAAAATCTGAATATTCTATTTTTTTCTAATCATTCATTTCTCCAAAATAGGTGTTTAATGAAATGGCCGAAACTATTAAACAAATACCTGGTATTTCACGTGTTCTATACGATCTGACACCGAAACCACCAGGAACAACCGAATGGGAATAATAAAAACAGCCCAAAATGTGTTTGAAAAAAATGTCACCTCAATCATATACAAAAAACCGACAAAAATTCATAAATGATTTTGATAATGTTTTTTATTGGAAAAAAATTTGAATTACAAAACATGCGAAAAAAGACCATTTTAAACATAGGCTTGCATTTTTTTCCTTCATCGTCCCTTATAAAAAAAATAATAATAAAACTCAATAACTAATAAATTTTTTTAAAAGAATAATTTTTTTTAATAATTTAATTTAAATAGATATAGTTAAAATAATAAATATTTCTCGATATTTTTTTTTTAAAAAAACCAACAATTGCAATCAATGCACCTATAGGTCAACAACAATATAAAAGGTTTTCTTTGGAGAAAATTATTTATAACTTATCAATATAATATGGTCATGGATTAATTAATTAATAAAAATGATGATGAAAATTGTAAAATAAAATATTTGTATTTTTTTTTTTGTTTATTCATGTGTATTGGAACTCAAGTAGTGATTGATGAGGTCGGTAAACCTATATACGATGCCAATAATGTCCATAATGATGAATGTCTTGATTGTGATTGTATGGATGATTGAGTTATTGATGTGAAATTCATTGATAATGGATGTTCAAATATTGGAGATGATTGTGGATTTAGATTATATTGTTGCACAATGAATTCGGTTGGCCATATGATTGTCATGATTGATGAAAGCCATTCATATGGAAAGAATGATGTACTTGTGGCCAATAAATATGAAATAATCATTGCAATAGATAGATAAAGAAATTGTTGAATGTAATAAATTCTATTTATTTAATTAATGAAATGAATGAGATTAATTGGATAATACTTATTATAAAAATTCAAACCTTTTCAAGTTTTTTCTTGCTTTAGGTAATGTTGAAATTTCTTCTTTTAAAATAAATTTTCTTATTCCAAGTACATAATCTTCCCAATATGATGACCAATTTAGATTTCGAACATCAAAATGAAATTCCTGTTATTTTTCATTATAAGTTTAATCAATAAAAAAATATGATATTTTCAAAGTTTACCTTTTGATCGATACCTCGAAGTTCTTGTGACAAAGCAATCACATTTGTGAAATCAAAATTCCATCCACGTGTTGTGAAATATTCAAGTGCTTCGATTGCTCGTTGAAGTTTTTGGTAAATTCGAATAAGCCTATTAAAAAAAAAAAAATTATTAAAAAACATCATAGTATTGATCGCATAACATACATTGGTTTTTGCCAGCATAACAAACGTATACCATCGATTAGATATGCCGGTATTAAATGACAAAAAACACTACAAATTCGATTGAATGATCTCGATTCTTTGAATGTTCCACCTGGATACCGAAAAACATTAAGGCTGGGATATTTTATTATTAACGGGAAAACGATCCTTTCGATATCACTCCATTTCAGTGTATTCAATGTTCCCGAAGTACAATTATAAATTTGAATATTTTTTGGTCTTCGCATAGCAGTATACCATGCAACGGCTATCATTAAATTGATTACCATATCCACCGGGATTATATCGGCACAAGCCTTTGAATCATACAACATTGATCGCAATAATCCTTTACCCGAAGCCAATACCATTCCAGTTGGCCCATTAATATTGTCCACCCAACCGGGATATGGTTCACGCCAAGCAGCTGTAACAATAGATGGCCGTACAATGGCAACAGGAAGTGAACCTTGTTCATTCAATAATAATGTTTCGGCTAACGCTTTTGTATAGGTATAAGTGTTAGGTCGATTACCTAACAATTGAGGTGTTACCGCTGCTAATGTTTCATCATCCATCCATTCGTTAAGTTCGATTATTTTATTATATGGCACAGTAATTGGATAAAATTGTTCACCAACATCATGACGGTCACAATTAGAGTAAGCCGTAGAAACATGAACAAATGCTTCCAATTTTTTCATTTTACGACAAAGTTCCAACATATGTCTCGTACCTAATGCATTGAAATTGATTGAAGTTCTAAATAGGATAGGAATAGAAAATTGCCAATTTTTTTCTCATTAAAAAAAAATCAAATAATTAACAAACCTCATTGGCTCATCAAACTTAACAGTGGCAGCCGAATGAAAAACGATTGAAACTTCTTGATTTAGTAATTCAATGTTAGTATCAGAAATACCTAAACCGGGTAATACAATGTCACCAGGAATTACAATCACTTTATCCAAAAGGTTAGCATTCATTTCACGAACTCTATCGAAAATCTAATAGAAAAAATTTTCAATACAAAAATCGAGAATTTATTTTTTTTTTTTTCAAATGACAAACCTTTGATCGAATAAGCTCATTCAATCGATCACATGGATCAACATTTTTCTTCGTACGAAGAAGAATATAAATTGATTTAATATTCGAACATGATCGAAGTAATTTTTCAACCAAAACTTTACCCATAAAACCGGATGCACCGGTAATAAATATTGATTTATTTGCATAGAATGATGAAATTAATGAATCATTAATTGAATTCATTACACCTAATGATGTATGCATCTCATCCATATTAGCATTATCAATAACGTTACGATGATTTTCATTCATTGTTTTCATTTTGTTGTTTATGATTATTTTAGGAAATGAATGTTGAAAAGAATTTCTATCCTTTTATTTATATAAAGTATTGAAGAAAAAAAAACAAACAAAAAATAGGGGAAAAACAAAAACAAAACGGAAGTATTATTAAATCAAGAATGCTTAATGTAGAAAACAAAAAAATGATAAAAACACACTTTCCATTATGGGATAGGGGATAATTTTGGTGATAAAAATAATATTTAAATAATAATAATAAAATTATGTCATTCATTTACATTAAAAATTGTTGAACTAAAAAAAAAATTATGCACCGGATCAATAACAATTAGCTAAAATAGGCGACTATGATAATAATAACAGTAGCACCAGTAAAATTTGATAAATCGATTCGAAAGAATTTCCTAGATTGATGTTCGTCACACAATTAATAGGTCAGTAATCTGACCGGGTTTTTGATTAATTAAAAAAAAAAAAAAATATTCTTCTTTCGTCATGAATATGCGTCAAACTTTTAATCAAAAAAACTGAACTTAGAAATTAAATAAGTATCGGTGACATTCACCGATATTAATTGATTGAATTTTTCCAAAAAAAAAACAATCTAATCACAGACAGTACAAACACCACCATCGCCAACAACAATAAACGATGGCCATGATAATAATTGGTCACAAAAAAAAATGATTAACAATCAAACAAACAAACAAACACACAGCAGCAACAACAACGAGAAAATCAAACGATCAAGACGACTGGACAAAAACACAATGATTATTGAATTGAAACAAAAAAATGAAAACAAAAAAGAAACAAAATCGGGAAATTTCAGGCACACACATAACAAACAAAAAAAAAATGATGACGATGATGAACAAAAAATCATCATGTTCATAACTTCAGATCAAGATCATCATAATCATCATTATTACAATTAATTTCAAGTTCAATTTCATTTTTTTCATTTGTTTGTTTAACAACGTTTAATATTGACATTGAATTTTCTGTGTTTGTGTGTGTGTGTGTGTGTGCTGTATGTTTGTGCTGTATTTTTTGTGTTTTGCATGTTCCAGTCCCTTAGTCAATATTTTTCTGTTACACACACAACAGCACACTTTCTAAAGTATCAAATTGAGATTGTAACAAACAACAACAAAATCATAATCATCATTTGTTGAGAGAAGAGAAAAAACAAACCTTTTCACATGAAAAAAAAGAAAAAATAGCAAAAAAAAAAAAACAAAAATCTTTTCCATTTACAGTAATTGTATCGAAATGGCTTCTTTCCTGCCTGGCATTTGTTATTGTTGTTGTTGAATTGATGAAAACATCAGAATTGTATCGAATGTTATTTTTTTCCTATAATTTTTCTGCATCAACATCATATGCAAATGATGTTATGAAAATTTTCAATATTTTTCATGATGTACAAAAAGAAATTTCCAAAACATCAAACATGAACAAACAAACACAGAACGCAAAAGAGAAAGCGGAAAAGGATGTTTTTGGACATTTTTGGAAAAAAAACAAAAAATGATTATATTGATAGAAATAATGAATATGAATTCATCAATGTAAATGATGGATTTAAAGAAATGAAAATCGATGCCATCGATTTCGTTAAATGATACCATTTTTGGGGCCAATTTAACTTTCTCTTTATGTTCTCCAATGTATTTGATCTTGATTTTTTGTTTCACTAACAAAAAAAAAGATGTTATCTGGAAATTTTTTTTTTTGCAAGTGCAAAAAAAAATTTCTGACCTCATCTCGTCTTAATAAGGATGAAAGTCAAGAGCAATAGTGAGAGTAGAAATAAAAAACGTGTATTTGAAAACAAGAAGATCTTGATGACTGAAAGAAAGTCTGGATTCAAATCAAGGAAGTTCATTGAACAACAACAAACAAACAACAACAAAAATTGTGACCTTTTGTGTTGTCCAAAAAAAAAAAATCATACGTTTTTTCCCCATTTATATTCATCATGTTAGATAAAACTAAACCAACAACAACAACAACAAAAAAACGAAAAATGTGATAAAATCTTCCAATAAAAAAACATCCATATAACAACTAAGAGAGAGAGAGAGAGAGAGAGAGAGAGAGAGAAAAAAAAAAAAAAAAAATATGAGAATGACACACACACAANTGTTAGATAAAACTAAACCAACAACAACAACAACAACAAAAAACGAAAAAAATGTGATAAAATCATCCAATAAAAAACATCCATATAATAAGTAAGGGAGAGAGAGAGAGAGAGAGAGAGAGAGAGAGAGAGAGAGAAAGAAAAATAAGCAAAATCTTAAAGAAAAGGTCAACTAATTTTATATTCATTAAAATTGATTATTCAATTTGTGTGTGTGGGAAGATTATTATGTTATTATTATGATGTTAAATATTAATGGAATGGGCATAAAAATAAAACACACACACACACACACACAAAAAAATGTGATAAAATGAAATAAATTTTCATTTTCGTTTGTTTTTATCATGATGGCATAAATAACATATCATATAATATTTTTTTTTTTTGCAGGATATCAGTTAGTAGGTCAAACAATGGAACAAACAAGGCTGTGTACACCTGTGTGCTGTGTGTGTCTGTTTGGAACCGGTATGAAATGAAAAACAATTGAGAACACAAATCACTGTGTTGTTGTTGTTGTTTCACTTTTTGATTTGATTTTTCATAATAAATGAATGAATGAATGAAACAGGATTTAAATTTGCAATCAAAAAAAAAAAAGAAAAGAAAAGAAAACATTCTTTTCACATTATATGGGCTCAAGGTCATCTGTAAGTTTTTTGGATGTCATGATTGAAAATAGTCTATATATATTGATATTGATCCTGATTTAGATGTGAATTGATTGATTGAACAAAAATTAAAGAGAAACAAAAAAATTTGATTGTTGTTGTTGTTGTTGCTGTTGTTGAGAAAAACAATAATAATAATAACAACAACAAACCAGGAACCAAGTAAAAAAAAGGAATCTTTTTTTCTTTTTGTTGTCTGGTCAAAAAAAGAAATATTTCATTGTAAAATGAACTTACCTTTGTTTTTCTGTTGAAATCAAATGAATTGAAAAGAATTACACATTAAATTGGTTTATCGAATGAATTTTGATTTTTAAAAAAAATTTCCAATTTTTAAATTGTCAATCAAAACAAAAGAAAAAAGAACAGGGTACTAATTGTAGAAGCTGAAATTGATTGATTTTCAAATTAAGGTCGCTAAACAATTTTTTCAACAAAACAAAAAAAAAATTTGTCAATTCATCATTTCATCGAAGGAAAACACGGTAAATTCGGTTGAGTACAGTATTTGAGAACCAAAACAAACAAAAAATTCAATGAAATTCTATTGACGCATTTTCTTTTTTTCGGATGAAATTAATTAATCTAAAGATGCTCGTCGTTGCTTCGATCATCTTTAATCCTTTCAAAAAAAAAAATATTGATCTAATAAAATGTTTGACAAATAAGAATTTTTTTCATTTTCATTTTTTTTTTCCGAATTCGAACGGAAATTAAATTTGTCGACTGCGCCATCTATTGATTCGATTTCCAAAACTCGATGAGAAATATTTCTGATAAAAATAATTTTTCATTTTCAAAAAAAAAGTTTCTGGGAATTTCGTTTTTTGTTTTTGAGTGAGCGGCTTTGGCATGTGCAGCATTTTGTGCAGCGTGTTCAAATAATTCCTCTTCCTTTTCTGTTTTTGTGTTTCTGTGTGTGAAAAACTTGAACAACGATGGTATGTTTTTCTTAATTTTTCTTAATTTTCAAATTGATTAATTAATTCGATTCTTTGATAATCTGTTTAGCCACCAAAACAAGATAAAGGAAAAAAAGATCCCAAAGGTGGGAAAGCCAAAAAAGAAGGAGGTGGAGGTGGAAAAGCCAAAAAGAAGGTTTGTTTGATTTTGTTTTCGATATTCTTTCGAAGAAAGAAATTTGAATATTCCTTTTCATTAATGAAATTTTCTTATTCTTTTTTTTTGTTTGTTTGTTTGATTTGAAATTAAAACCAAGTAGAAGTGGTCAAAAGGAAAAGTTCGTGACAAGTTGAACAATTTGGTCTTGTTCGATAAAGCAACATATGATAAATTTGTAAAAGAAGTTCCATCATATAAATTGATAACACCAAGTTTAGTATCCGAACGTCTTAAGGTTCGATCATCATTAGCTAAACGTGCATTAAGTGAATTACATGAAAAAGGTCTTATTCGATTGATCGAAAAACATCATTCACAAATGATTTTTACCCGTAACACTAAAGCAGATGATGCACCCGAAGTTGAAGAAGTCGAAGAACAACCGACCAAGGGTAAAAAAGGCAAACAAAAGGCCTAAATTTATTCTACATCATTATTTTTTGGCTTTTTTTTCGTGTAAGAAAATAACTTTTTTTACTGAAATAAATAAATAAAAAATATTAAAAAAAAAACAATAAAATTGTTATAAAATTGACGTCAATGTGTGCGTGGGTTGAAAAACAACAATGAAACTGATTTCATTTTGTAATCATCATGAAAAAAAAAATTAATCTACTTTATAAAGGATTTCACAATCATCATAGTTACGTAATAACAAAAAAAAAGAAAAGAAAAAGTTTCTCGAGAGATAGGTTTTAAACAAAAAATTCCAATGAATTTTTTTTGTTTGTTTTTTTTTTGAATTTTTAAATTATTAATGAACAGTTGAAAAGCAAGAAATGAAAAAATGATATTTCGTATAACATCATTCTGTTTTTTTGTTACTTTATTTTGGTTTAAAAATTAATTATTCAATTATAAAATGTAGGTTTCGATCAACGAAACATTGGTTGTTTTTTTTGTCAATCTTTATTTTTTCCTGAATCTTTCGGATCTCAAAAAATTCTTTCGAATAAAATAAAAAAAACATTCGAAATTAAAAATTCGAACGCGAAAAAAAAACTACCGGCTATTTTAACCCGGATTGATTGGTTGGAAATTTCATATTCAAAATAGTATCCATTGTATATAGCAGAATATTCTGTTCATTCGAACAATGGAATGAATGAATGAATTCTGCAACAAACAAAGATGAATAGATCATTCAACGAAAGAGAAAGAGAAAAACATGAAAAAAAATGATGATGATGATGGTGTTTTTGTTTTGGTTGCCGTCATTATTATTATTATTATTATTATGAGCTCACAACATCAACATCAACATCAAAATAATAATAACCAAACAAAGCAGCAATGGTAAAAAAAACATCATCATCATCTCCATTCGCTATATAGCGAATGAAATGAATAAAATGAAAGAAGAGAGAGAGAGAGAGAGAAAATGAAATAAATATTCTTATAGAATAAACGATATCGGTGAAAAAAAAAACAGTTTTCCATTTTTTTTGTGGTTGTTTTTCAATAAGTTCTGAGTTCAATTTTTCATCATTATTATCATCATCATTGTGTGAATGTGCAACAACAACAAACAAAAAACATGCCCAAAATTATGAAATAAATTCTGATTAGATTCTGAAAAAAAAGGTTTTCTTTTCTCTGATGCTACAGATTCTTCACCGTAGTTTTTTCGTTTGTTTCAAATAGTGATATCATGATTGGTTATGATGATGATGATAATGGTGGTGGAAAGAAAATAAAACGAGAAAGAGAAAAATGAAAGAGAGAGAGAGAGAGAGAGAGAGAGATACATATAAAAAGTTGTGAAAAAAAATGTTGATCATCATCAAGATCATCGAGAGGAAAAAAAACGGCAACAACAACAACAACAAAATTAACTTGTTCGACCTCAAAATCTTGTGTGTGTGTGAAAAAGAAACATTCATCGTGAGCAAGAAAAGTAAGATAAACAAGTTAGCTAATTGGATCAAATTATCAACATAATTTCTTTTCAAAACGGACATTTAGCTATTGAATGATTGATTGATTGATTGATCGGGTCAAGTCAATTCTCTTATTTAACCAAAAAAAATCGAACAAAGAATCTTCGAATGAAAACAACAACAACAGTAACAACGCTACCATCATCAATGATATTGATCAATGCCATTTGATTATGGTAATTAATCAAAGAAAAAAAAGACGAAATTCATTCAGTTTTTCTATCTTCACTCTCTCATTGATTCTTTGCTTGTTTGTGTGTGTGTGCGGTAGAATTTCTAAAGTAATGATTTATCATCATTTTCATCAACATCATCATCATACTGAATGAAAAAAAAAATGAAAAAATTGATGCAGTTGAATTTATGACGTCGACATTATCAACCATCATCATCAAAACAAGCAACAACTCAATAATTTTGTTTTTTTTCGTCTTTTTTTTTTGGTGAAAATTCTTTCCTTTCAAATCAACTTGTTGATGTTTGTTTACCTTTTATTTTTTGCTTTACAATTCTTATAAAATTCTTTTTACAAATCATAAATTTTCAAAGTTCAAAATAAATGGATCGAATCGATTTTGGTCTTATCTAGTCATTTCTTCTGCTTCTTCTTCTTCTTTTGTTGTTCATTGAAAAGAATTTTGCAAGTGTTTTTCGCTTTTTGTTTTGCTTTGGTTTGGTTAAGAAAGAATTTCTAAATTTAAATCATCACATTCATTTGCATATGATTCTCTTTTCGTTATTTTTTTTCTTTGACATCATTTTTTTTGTTTGGTTGAAATGTGATTTGTGTGTTTAATGTCTACATGTTCATTATGGTTGATGATGATGATTTCTTCTAAAATCTTTTGTGAACTTTTGCCATTTATCATTCATACAGAAAAAAAACAAAACAAAAAAAATTCTTTATGAATATGAAATTCAAGAATTTTTTTTCTTCATTTCACATTTCCCTTTGTGAATTTTTTTTTCTTTCCACTATTCTGTTAAGATAAATATTTTAGAAGAAACCAAACACACACAAAATATGATTCTTTGATATTTGGTTTCAATTCTTCGATGTCTTTGTGTTCGTGTATCTTTGAACCAGGAATTTCTTCAAATTGAATGTTTTTTTCATCTTTATTATTATTGAAATAAGTTTCAGTGAAAAAACAATGGGTAATACATGTGCATCGATAAAAAAATCTTCAAAACAATCACAACAACAACAACAGCAAAGGTAAGTAAAAATTGATGAAAATTTTCATTTTTTTTTCAATATAATTTGAAATTTTTTCCAGTGAAAGTGAAAGAAAAGTTTCAGCCGAAAGTATACCGTATGGAACGGAAACAACAACAGCAGCTGAAACAACAACAACAACTAAAACAACAACATTAACAACAACCCAAACTGCCACAAAAATTGAAAGCACAATATCAACAACGAAAACCACTGCCAATGCTCAAATACATAAAGATACTCAATTAGTAAATACTTATCAATCATCAGAAATTTATCCACAAAATGAACGTCTTGAAGTGACGACCAATACCGCAACAACAATCCCAACAACAGCAACGAATACAATAACAGCTCCATCACCTGATCCAATATCATTATCGCCAATACCAACTGCCTCAACACCATCACCATATTCATCAAGTAGATATTCATCAATGAGTGGTGGCCATCAATCGTATCAGAACATATCTCCAATAAGTGGACATATTGATTTAAGTCAATATACTGAATCTATACGAACTGATTCATTTACACAATTATTTCATCTTCGATGTGATCAAACAACAACAACATCATCATCAAAAGAACAGATTGGTGTTGAAGATTTTTATTTAATTGCATTAAGTACAGAATCAGATGAAATTGTTGTTTGGAATATTTATCAACAGAAACCAGTACGTATATTGAAAAGTATACCAAAGCCAAGAGCAATACGAATGGTCGATCAATTACGTACAGTTGTATTATGTAATCGTGAATTAACATTATATGATCTCAATAAGGCAAAATTATTAACTAAGCTCAAAGGTGTAATGAATCAAAAAATGCCATATTATGGTCTACATAATAGTAAATATGTTGTAGCATTATCAAGAAATCGTATGTACGTCAATATGATTAATCTTGATACAGGAGTGAGTAATAATAATTTTTTAAATTAAAATAATAACTATTAATTTATCATCATTTTTTTATATATTTAGGATTTGGAAACAACATTTAAAGCCGGTGAAGATCGATTCCTAAATAGTCTACTTACATCAGCCAATGGAAAGATATGTGTTTGTGGTGATGAAACACAAAAACCATTTCCCTTATTAGTATGGGATCTATCAAATAGAAAATTATTGTATGATTTAAGGATACCACATCATGAATTTATTACTAGATTATCTGCTATTAGTGATGATGGCCATTATGTTGTATCCGTATGTCAGGTATGATTTATAGTAAATAATAATAATTTTTATTTTCTTCTAAATCAAAAATTTAATTTATTGATTAAGGAATGTAATACTTCGGCAAAAAATTTTTTAATTGTATACGATCTTCAAAGTGGTACATTATTTAAAAAATGGAAACCAGAATATGATTCAGTATCGGTTGCAATTTCTACTCAATGTGGTGGATGTGTTATAAATGGTATTAAAAATAATGATGTACTAGTCTGGGATCTTTCAACTGGAAATATTAAGTAAGCATTTATTTTAGTTTTTAAAAAATAATAATAATAATAACAACAAAAATATTAGATACACATTGTCAGGTCATACGGCACCACCGGATCGATTGGATCCTGCACCAAAATCCAATGTATTTCTTTCTTATAATTCTAGTCGTCAAGATACACAATTGCGAATTTGGTCGCTTGAAAATGGTAATAAGGATTATTTTTTTCAAAAAAAACTTGACATTTACATCTGTGAATATTTTTTTTGTTGTTGAAAAATTTCAGGTAATTGTTTATGGACATTTACACCAGATAAAGATATAAGCTGCTGTACCCTAACACCGAATGGTATGGGTATTGTTTATGGTTATGTTGGTGAAAAGAAACTAAATCTAGCCATACGTGAAGATCCTGATAAGAGCATCGATGATAATCAAAAAACCAATCAATTATATATTGAAGAAATGTGTTCAAAAATTATTCCTTATGGTGACAAAGAACTTGATGGCCATGAAATTGATCTCAATTCCTAATATATTATTTATAATTTTTTTTTATTCTTCTTTTTGTTTTGTTTGATTTCCCGTACACCCAGACTCACACACAAGCACAAATTATGACGAAATCTAATTTTTTTTTGTTGTTGTTGTTGTAAATCTGTGTGATTTTTTCCACTGAAATATTAATAATCATTGTATTTAGAAAAATTGAAGAAGAAAAAAATAATTCAATCAATGATCATACATAATTTATTTGTAAAAAAAACATCATCATCCCATTATCATTAAATTATTTAAATAAAATCATTTTGGTTTGTAAAATAAATTCGAATGTTTTTTTGTTGTTGTTGTTAGTTCCGTATCATCGCGATACAATCGATTTTCTCTCCTCGTAAACATCATCATCATCATCATTTAGCACCATAAACATTATCATATTTTATCAATGGTAAACCGGCGATTTTCAAATTAAAACGATGGATAATATTGTTAGTATTGACAAAAAATTTTAAATTATTTCTTGTTGGACTAATTTTTATATATAAAGGATTTTTCTGCATTCTCACAAGATACTTTTGATCCGGTTCAATGGCTTAATTCAATATTTTCATCAACCGATGATGATGATTCATCAACCGGTATGGACAAAAAATCAATAGCCAATAATCTTGTCTTTAAATTACAGCTTATGGTAGAAGAGACAAATCATTCTTTGCAAGAAAACTCAATACGAATGTCATACATAATGCCAAAAGTAATGGATGAAGCTGATGTCTTAAATCAAGAAGTAAAAGAACTTCGAGATCAAATTGTTGATGTTCGTACGAAATTAATTTGTTCTGAACAAAAACATGCTGATGTATTTGAATCATTAATGAAAATGGATCATGCTAAACAACAGCTTCAAGATTTGTATCAGGCATTGCAAGAAGCAAATAATTGGTCCGTTTTATCTATGGATGTTGATGAAGTTTTCGAAAGTGGTAATGTTGAACAGATTTCATCGAAAATTTTAAACATGCAAAAAAGTTTACAATTACTATCGTTGAGTAGCAGTTCAGATGGCAACCAGTTAACAGATAAAATTGAAATGTTGGAAAATTTAAAAGATAGATTTGAAAAACTTGTCGAACCAATATTGATGGATGCATTCGTAAAATCACTTGAATCATCGATTGAATATTTTACCAATCTATTTAAAGAATTTCAACGATCCGATCGTTTAATCAAATATTATCATTCATGTTTAAGAGATCAATTATTGAAAGAATGGTCTACACAAGTAAAATTGGACAGCGATGGCACTGTATTGGATAAATTGAATTTCCTCTATGATCGAATCAATATGATATGGAAAATTCAAATGAATTTTTGTATGAAAGTTATTTATACCGAAAATTTTGGAATGTCTTTACAAATTCTATGTGATATTTTTACCGATATAATTATTTCTCTTCAACCACCGATTGATACGTTTATTTATCAATTTTTAAATCAAATGACAAATGGTCAACGTCTGTATCGACAAAAATCATTGATTGAATTGAAACAATTTACAAATAGTTTTGTTAAAAATCTTGAACAAAATATTTCTGCTCAACAATATTCTACCGATGATGATCTAAATGATAAAACAGTAAAATCATTGGATATATTTCTTCGAACTATTTATCAACCATTTGCCAAACTGAATGAATCATTTATATTGTATGAAAAAGAACGACTGGATGATGAATTTGATGATATTCGTTCCGAATATGATGATATAATCAATATTCATTGTGTATTGAAATTATTTTCAATAGTTCGTGATTCATATAAACTTTATTCGGATTATATTGAAACTTATCCATTGTTGATTGTTGAAGATGTTATTGAAGATATTTTACTAAAATATTTAAATTCAACTAATGATCAAAAACAATGTTGGTCATTATCAAACATTGTTGTTGAAGACACGAAAAAAACTAATTCTACATCATTACCAAATTGGTCATATTTACAGAAAATGTTGTTCAAATTTCAAACATATGGTGATTTTGTTAGTCAATTCAATGGTTTTCAACAACAAATTCATACAAATTTTTTGGAATATCAAAAAAATTATCAACAACAACAACAACAACCAAATGCAATAAATATTTTTCGTCGATATGATTTACTCATATTGAATCTTGATTATAATGTTGAACTTTGTAATCGTATTCAGAATTTTATTCAATCACCATCAATACTTATGAATCAAGTTCTTAACGAATGCGTTGATCTGATCAAAATCAATGCAAAAGATATTGATCTGGCCATGTTCAATTATGTAGAAATTCAATTGAAAAATTTTGATATTTTAATCGAAAAGTTCCTAGCCGAATATAATGTCGATAATACTACACAAGAAGAATTGAATGATTCGATAACATATACACCAAATGAATATGTTACTCAAATTGGCCAATATCTGTTGCTATTGCCTCAACATCTAGAACCATTCAATTTGAATGAAAATCATTCGTTCAAAATTGCTCTACAATTTTGTACGGATATTTTTCGATATTGTCCGAATGAATCTTTAGCACCAACCGAATTGTTATTGGAATTTGTACAACGAAAAACAATACAAGCATTTCTTGATCATATCCAAAATATATCGTCGATAATCAAATCTAACAAACGTATTAGTAAATTACCAACATTGATTCGAAAACAAATTACTGTCGATCTACAATATCTATCGGCCGTATGTGAAGATCTTGGTCTAATCAATCTACCTGAAGCTGCTGTCATTTGTATACAAATATTCAATCAACAACCAGAATCATGGCCGAAATTGAAAAAAGAAAATTCTGTTCATCAAAAATTAATTACAATTTTGGAAGATATTTTGTGATGATTAAAACAATTTTTATTGAAAGGAAAATAAAAAGAAGGAAACAATAATTGAAATTATTACAATTCTTTTTTTTTATAATAATGAGTGTGTAAAAATGTGTCTGCGTGTAAATGTAATAGATTTGTCATTTATATTTTCGAAACTTATTATTATTGAAATTGATTTTTGAAATTATGGATAAAAAGTTTAATCAACTAAATTATTTACTCAAATCAAAAACCATGTAATGTAAGAAAATCAATGTGGCGAAGACCAAGACAACAACAACAACAATAAAAGGTATTAGTAAGTTTATCGATTTGTTTTTTTTAGAAAAAAAATGAAACAATTAAATTTGATTATTCGCTAACTGATTTAACCTTCTTGACCGAAATCCTGCATAAATTCTTGTAATTTTTCCAGATCGGCTTCATTTACAGTTGGTTTAGCATTAGCCAATGATTTTAACATATCAGACATTGATACAACTGGTTCTAGAAGTTTATCGCCGGGCACTTCAGTCCATGACATTTTTATAGCACCGGATTCTTCTGGTAGGCACGGTGTTAATAGGTCATTGACAATTTCTTTTGGATTCCTAGGATTAGGTCCCCGACACTATAATAGTAACAAAAGAAAGAGAATTGATTAATTTTTTTTATATAAGAACATAATATGATATACATACCCTTTTGAAATGAGTGGCGCTTTGAACCTTACGAACAGGTTGCATCAAGGCATCACGAACCAAGACAGAAATATCAGCACCGGAAAACCTTTCAGTGCGATCAGCTAATGTCCGTAAGTCTTGATCGGTCAATGAATTGGGTGTATCGCCGATGTTCATTTTCAACATAACATATCGTGCCTCTTCATCGGGCAAAGGTATGTAGATTCGTTTTTCGAAACGTCTTCGAATAGCCGAATCAAGAACCCAAGGTATATTAGTGGCTCCCAATACGAGAATTTTATCCATATCATTACCAACACCTTGCATTTGAACAAGAAATTCGGTTTTGATACGACGTACAGAATCAGATTCATTGTCTGAACGTGATGAACATAATGAATCAATTTCATCGATGAAAATAATACTAGGTCTATTTTCACGTGCCATTTCAAAAAGACTTTTGACCAATTTTTCCGATTCACCAAGCCATTTAGATACAAGATTTGAAGAGGAAACCGAAATGAATGTCGAATTGCTAGCTTCAGTAGCGACAGCTTTAGCCAAATAAGATTTACCAGTACCTGGTGGTCCGAACAATAGTATACCTTTCCAAGGTTTACGTTTACCAGTAAATAGATTAGGAAATCTAATTGGCAAAATCACAGCCTCTTTCAATGCTTCTTTAGCCATTTTCAAGCCAGCAACATCATCCCATCGGATGTTTGGTTTTTCAATAACCATTGCACCTTCTAATTGAGCCATTAATTTTTTCTTTTCTTTATCATCTTTTTTATCTTCATCATCATCATCTGAATCATCTTTGGTTTTTGTTCCATTTGTTGGATTCTCTTTGACGGGTTTACTTTTAGATTTTTTATTTTTAATATAATCATTCAATTTTTCAGCCCGTTCAATGTATTGAAAAACTTTTTGTCGAATACTATCTTTGGCTTTATCGGTCTGAGCTTCATCTATTGAAAAATGAAACAAATACAACATCATCAGTATATGACACATAATAAAATGGAAATAATTATGACACTTACATTTGATTGCATGCATAAAATAATCCAAAGCATGTTTGTATAAACGAAGTGCTTCTTCATAATTCTTGGCTTTATCTTCTTCAGTAGCCTGAGTAACCAGATCAATTGCTTTCTATGTTTTTTTTTGTTTTTTTTTGTTGAAATAATGAATCGAATGATGAATATCAATAAAAAAATGATAATAGTTTTATTTACCTGTAAAGTACTCATGATGATGTTGAATAAAATATGTTCCACAAACCTAAAAAATGAATGAATGGCACAAAAAAGACATTGAATCAGAATTCACAAACATTTCATAATCGTTATTTAAGGAATAATTTAACCACGTCATTCAAAACATGTATGACTGTGTAATAGGGCAACACCTATTACATATAGTTATATTTCAATAATGAAAATAAAACCATTGTTGTCATCATGAATGATTTAACATCAAGATTGATTATTTTCTTTATTAAGAGGCTTACCAAACTGAAAATTCCGGTAACGATCAATCAGCTATAAAACAATGTTGTTATTCGGATCAGATGATGATGATGATCAAATGTTTACAGCTTTGATCGATACTTTTTAAAAACGTTTCTTTTTTTTTTGCTTTGTTTTGTTGCAATAAAATCAAAACAATATTTTCTGGATATTATGACTCTCTCTCAGTGTGTGTTGTTTTTTTTTGGTAAAAACAATCGTATATACTCACTATATACACTCGTTAGGGAGAAACTGTTGTTTGGTTGAATATAAAGTTGCTGAAGATCTTGGCGTTGTTGTTGTTGATGATGGATTTTCTCAATTTTTGTTTAAATTTTCATTGGATGTCGTCGTTAGTTGTTGGCAACAAGCTATAAACAACTGTATACATCAATGAGAGAGATATATCAATGATAGCTATGAATTGTTGTTTTGTTATAAACACAGAATATACTTTTTACTGAGTAAAAAACCAAAAAGTTATCCATTCATATAAACAGATGGAGTTGCGAATAACAAGCACACCTATTTACGTACATTAGCATCTTTTTATTTGCTTAATAAAAAGAGATTATCACGAATGTTCTGTGTTTATTGTTCGGGAATAATAATATTTAAACCGATATTTTTTGAAAAAAAATCAATCAATCAATTAATTCAAATTCGATTTGCAAAGATTCATTTTTTCTCGGCTCATTATATTTTGAAATTTCGAACAAACAAAAAAACAAATGATGCATCTACAAACGACAAACAATCGATAGATTCGTCCTATCGATTATCTATAATGAGGTATGTATGCATATGTGTTATGTGTCTATCTCTAAAATGAAAATATCTGGCAAAAAATAAAAGACACATTTCACCAATTAATACATTCATCATATTTCCAAATATATTCACAGATATAACTTGTTTGTTTTTTTTTTTTTTTTTGAAGATATTAGTTGCATTCATCATCATCAATATTTTATTTTATTTTTTTGTTTACCTGGCTCATATTAATCGAATATTGAACTCATTTCGGATGTAATTTTCTTTGCTACAAAATGTATTGAGTGAATTCGAGTGAGAAAAATACAACAACAACGAAAACCAGATTAAATTGTAATTTATTTGTTTCGAAACATTCGAAACTAATTTGTTATTATTTTGAAAAAAAAATTTAATTTTTTAAATAAAAATGACCGACGATATTTGTGAATCATGGGAAGATGTTGATGTTGATGTAAGTTTTTCGATTTAAATTTTTGAAATTGTTGTTGATCATTTTATTTTTTTCGTAGAAAATTGTGATCAAACCTTACAAAAAACCAACCTATTCGAGTATATTGGCAGCAAATGCAATAAATAATGATTCAAGCGGTTGTACTGTTAACGTAATCAACAATATTGCTTCCAACGATAATTTCGACTTGCCTTTTAGTAACAATCAAAGTTTGAATGGCGAATCATCATCATTTCGAATTATACAACGAGTGTCCAATAATGTCGATGACAATGATAATAATTCACCATTCACAAATCAACCGAAAATTATTCTTGAAGATGATAATACTAGAACAAAATTTGTTAAAGGTTTACGAATATTAAACAGGCCGAATAAGAATGCTGAAATGGGAAAAAATGAAACCAAAGCAAATGAAGCAGAAAATATACATGAAAAATTAAAGAAAAGTTTTAAAGAAAAACAAGCAGAATATGCAAAAGCAAGATTAAGAATTCTAGGTGAAGTAATGCCTGATGAAGATTTAGTGTTCAATATGACTGCAGCTATGGATTTGAACAAACAAAATCCAGAAATACAGTCAACAACAATAACATCAGATACCTTTTCCAGTAGCAATAATAATAATAAACAACCATTATTGAATTTAATTCGAACAAACAATGAAAACGATGGACAGAATCGAATCATTCGTCAACCAATTGGACCAGATGGAACCAGAGGTTTTCACCATCATCATGAAAAATAATTATATAAAAAAACGATCAATCGGAGTTATGTTTACGTGATTTTTTTTTGTACTTGGTGCTTAAAAAGAAAAAAAAAATTTAAAATCCAAATCTATTTTTTACTTATCTATATTATTATTGACAATATTTTATTATTATTTAAATAATTTTATTATTATCAACCAATTTGAATTTGAAAAATTAAAAAAAAAGAACAAACAAACAGAATAAAAAAAATGAAATCTATGGCAGCAGCAAAAAAATGTAAGAAAAAGAAACATCGATTTGAATCTAAATTATTAGTTAAATGGAAATGTACAATCACAGATAAATCAAAAAGCTAACAAGCACTAAACTTCATCATCATCATCGTCGTCGGTTTCACATTTTGTGTCCGATTCTTTTGGCTTAAGAGCATCATTATTAATAACGTCGAAAGTTTTGTTCGATTTTTTTTCATCATCATTATTCTGTTCATTCGCTTTCTTTTTTTCATCATCGTCATTTTGACTGATTGATGATTCAGCTTTTGGAAAACATTCCAAACTATTATTATTATTATTATTATTTACAGCTATATTGTTCGTCGATGCAACAATATTTGTATTCGATGAACCAATTCCGGTTGATTCTAAATCTAAATCATCGCTAAAAAATTGTCCAGGTTTTATTCGATCATCAAATGAATCTTCTTCTTCTTCAGCTAAATAATCCATATAACGATGTTTATGGCTATTTGTGTAAGTATTCAATGTATCATTGAGATCGGATTGCTGAAGTATACTACAATGGCTAATTTTTAACGTATCGTTATCATCGTTTATCGTTGCATTCGTTTTCGATGACGGAATATCTTTGTTCATTTGGAAAATTTCATCCTCATCTAACATGACTACTTGTGAGAAACGTTTTTTGTTCATGATTCGTTTGTCGAGAAGTCTTTCATGATGACGAAATATGATTTTTGCATTCGATGATAATTTGCCCAGGCTATTTATTTGATCAATATCATAATGTCTTTGTTGCTGTTGTTGCGATTGTGGTGGTTGCACTGTTGTGTATGAATGATGTGATTGAGCATTATGATAATTTTGATTTTCTGAATCGCTACTGGAAGATTCAATATTCTGTGAAATAGTTGTCTGATTAGTATTTAATTTTGAGTTATTAGCAATCATGTTTTGAATTTTTCGTCTTTGTTTTTTTCTATAATCAACACGACGATCCGAATTATACTGGATCGGATGTTGTGATGTTGTTGGTTTTTTCTTTCTATTAACCGATGCATCATCTTCATATCGATACATGTAACGTGATAATTCTTCATTCAAAAAATTAACTTCATTACCTAATCGTATTCTTTTCTCTTCGGATGTTTTTAGCTGATGTTCAAGTTTATTGATTCTCGAACGAAGTTGTTTCACTTCTTCTCTTAATTTAATTTTTTCATCACGTGTTTTGCGCCATTTATTGCGCCAATATTCCGTACATTCACTCCAAAAACTTATCGACTATTTAGGAAAAGAAAAAAAAAACATTAATAAACAAATTATTCTAATAAAATTATGCGAATAAAACCTTTTCCATTTGAAACATTTGTTTTTTCGATTCTTGTGCTTCTTTTTTGTATGAATTCATTTCTTCAAAGTTACGATTAGAATCAATGGCTCTATGTTTGATACCAGATGTTGTTGTGTGACTTTCAATCTGATTTTTTAGATTCGATATATACAGCTGTGAAAAATCATGATTCAAACTATGACTATTTCGATGTTCTTGTGCAAGTTTTTTTAGATGTGGATCTTTTATCGGTGCATTCATATGATTTATTGATGGATTTGGAACATTGCTATGATGAGTGTTAATTAGGCCATAATTAGGAGGTTTTATATGGTTCGATATGATTGCAGCATTTGATGGAAAATTAAATGCCTCATTAACTGATATTGGTGCTGCATGCGATAATCGTTTTTCTTTATTGCTTAACATTTTTTTTGGTCAGGTAGTTTTGGTTAATGGATTAATTCATCAACATAACATATGATTGATGACGATTTTTCAATAAATAATAAAAATGAATAAATAAATACGGTAATCGGAGATCATCTAGTCATCATCATCTTTTTTGGCACATTAATAATTTTGATATCAAATTAAAATACGAAAAATTAGTGAATATTTTCGTATATACGATTAGAAATCTTTGATTAAAAATTAATTTAGCTCAAAGAATGAATGAATAAAAATGGCTCAAAATTTCTGAATATATTCAAATATCGATATCGAACAATCGATACTTTGAATTTTGGTCATTGTTTTGCAATGATTGTTTGTCGACAATGTTTTGATTTTTTTTTTATCAATCATTTTTCAGGTGATAGTTAATATTTTTTAAAAAATGAATATCTTACCACATAAATCCTGGCATGTTCGTACCAAGAAAAATATTGCCCGTGTTCGTCGTGATGAAGAGAAAGCTCGCCGTGAAGAGGAAGAACTTCAACAACGAATTAGTTTAGCTGAACATGAAGCTCGCATTTCTCATCTAAAACATAAACAAGGCATCGAAACTAATGATAATAAATCGAAAAATGATGATGCCGATAATTCTGAACAATTTGATCTATTCAAAGATTTTAAAGATAAAATTGCTCAAGATTCAGAAAAAAAGGAAGAGAAAAAAATCGAACAAGAAAAATGGGAAGTTCGAACCGGAATATTTAGCTATCTGGATGGCCGATATAAACATGAAAAAGCAGCTAATGATGAATGGTATCTAAAATCACATGAAGAACGTATGAATGTCAAAAATGATGAACCAATTAAGAATACCAAAGATGAACGCAATAAACGAATGAATGATCCATTAGAAAATATGAAAAGTTATCTATCAGTGATGAAGAAAAACGAATCAATCAAATTTGGTGAAGATCCACCAAAGATTAAATCAAAAATTTATAAAACCGAAGAATCTTTGAATCTAGCGAATTCAAATCTTAAAAAAAAGAACAAAAAACGTAAAAAGCGTTCATCATCATCATCAGATTCTGATTCTGATGATCAAAGTAAAAAACTTTTATTACAAAAACTTCGAGCTGAACGTTTGGATCGTGAACGAAGAGAACGTGATCGTGCAATGCAATTGGTTCAAGGACCGTCATCATCATCATCATCACGTTCTGTTGTCAACAATGATGTAAAACAAAAATATAATTCACAATTTAATCCTCATTTGGCCAAACAAAATTTTACTTGAAGAAATTGTATAATAATTTAATACGGACATTGATCAAAGTTTTTTGTTTTTACCGAATGAAACGAATGAAGTGTTGACATTCGGTGTTACAGTAGTATTGAACATCGAATTAGTGAACGATGTTTGTTGTGGTTGAGCGAAATTGGAAATTGTTGGATTGTTGTTCGACACAAACGATTGATTATTACCACTCATATTGATTGAAATATTATTCGATTTAGCCAGAAATGGTGTTGGACCATATGGATCGTTTAACGTTTGACGTTGTTGTTGTTGTTGGTTACGATTTAAAATATCCATCTGGTTACGATTAATCAATGTAATATCATTGTTTGAATCATTAGCTAATTCTACACGTAATTTGTTTGCATATTCATGAATTAAATAAACTTTTGATGCTAATGCAACAAAATTTTCATGCTGTTTTCGTATGATTTGATTAATTTCATCAGCCGTATATTGTTGACGATCATTTGTTGATGCAAAATGTGATTTAAGTGTTTGAATTTGTTCAGAATATTCGGACATTTGTTTTTTACAATTATCAACTACTTCCATAAAATATTGATGTGTTTTAGCATTGATGAAATTATTCTGTGCAATAACTTCAGCAGAATTCGATAATGGTAAATCCAATCGTGAAATACGATATACTAATTCACCATTAGATAATAGCTTATTGGTATCTTTTTTAAGAAATTCAATTCCTTTTGAATTTTTTTGTAATTGTATATCAATTTTGTTCATTTGAACTTTAAGTATATCTTCAATAGTTGTACCGATTTCGAGTATTGGATGTAGATAAAAATGTTCATGTGCATTTTCATCTCGAATTTGTTTCTGTTTTTCTAAGAATTTTTTCATATTTTCTACCAGTGGAATAATTTCAGGTGGAACCATTTGATCACGATATGATTTATTTTTTGCCATATTATCACCATCAGATTTTCCATTGCTTGATGGAAGTGGTGCTCCACCTAATCCAACCGAAGTTGTAGTCGATGTTGTTGCCACAGTCGTTGATGTGGCAGGTATATTCAATGTTAATGTTAATGTTGGCTGTTGAGGTTGTATCGGACCACCACCGAATGTTCGTTTATTATTCTGATTAAATGAATTGGCAGTATTAAACATTCCGAAACCTGTAGTAGCCGTTTGTTGCGGTTGTTGAGCTGTTCCAAATCCAGTGTTAGTCGTACCGAATGTTGTTGATGTATTATTTCCGAATCCACCAAAATTAAAACCAGTACCAGTTGTTCCGGATGTTTGAGGAGCGGCTGTTTGTGTTGATGTTGCTGCAAAAGCAGATGGTTGTGAAAATGATGTTGATGAAAATAATGATGATGATGAAGATGTGGTTGGTGCTCCAAATCCAGTACTTGTTGCACCGAATGTTGGTGCGATACCGAAACCAGTGTTCGTTCCAGTTGTTTGAGATGAAAACATTTTTGTCGGTTTTCTTGTTGATGATGATGACAAAAAAAATGTATCAATGAAAAAATGATAAAAAATTGAAAAAAAATTTCAACAATTTTTCATTGAAAAAATAACTGAACTGAAAGCCGTTTGATGAAAAATTCTGCTTCAACAAAAAAAACTAAAAAATTCAAATGCGCATGTTCTCATTGTACAGTGTATATGAATTGGACTTGAAAAATGCTTGACATGTGCTGTGTTCTGTTTTGTATTGCGTGTGCTGCTTTTTTGTGTGTGTGAGTTTGAACACAGACTGTTCCTTTTTCCGTTTAGCATTGTGCGTGTAACTTGAAAAAATGGTAAAATTAAAATTTTTTGTTTCAAGATTTTTTCTATTTTTCAATTAATTTTCTTTTACCGATTTTAGCCAACCCGATTTACAAAAACACGTAAACTTCGTGGCCATGTTTCACATGGTCATGGTCGTATTGGAAAACATCGTAAACATCCAGGTGGTCGTGGTAATGCTGGTGGTTTAACTCATCATCGTATTAATTTCGATAAATAGTATGTTTTCTATTAAAATTTGTGGAAATTAAATTTTTGTTTTAAATTTTTATAGCCATCCTGGTTATTTTGGTAAAGTTGGTATGAGGAATTTCCATGTAAAAAAGAATACATTGAAACATTATTGTCCAACAATTAATGTTGAAAATTTATGGTCATTATTGGGTAATGAAGCACGTGAACATTATGCAAAGGAAAAAAGTGGTAAAGCACCAGTTGTTAATCTTGTAAAACATGTAAGTTTTATCAATTTCTATTTTCTGTTTTTGTTTCTGTTTTTTGCCTCCGTGTTACCTGTTAATCTTTTTTTTCAACCTAATGATTTTGGGGTGTCAAAAGGGGCATATATTATAAATATTTGAAGCTTATTTACGATTCTTATTTTCAATTCATGTATAAAATTGATCAAAAGTTTTAAATAACATCTCTTTTTTTCCAATTTCCAAAAAAAACAGGGTTATTTCAAAGTTTTGGGCAAAGGAAGTCTACCAGAACAGCCGATCATTGTCAAAGCACGTTTTTTCAGTAAAAGTGCTGAACAAAAAATTAAAGCTGTCGGTGGTGCTTGTATTTTGACTGCTTAAATTTTTTCTTTTTTTTGAAAAAAATGAATAAAAAAACTTTTTTATTTAAACAAAAAATGTCGTTTATCTTTTTTTGTTAAAATTCATGATAAAATTAAAATTAGGATTTTTCTACAGGAGCATAATTAAGTAATTTTTCAATAAGATCAACATGACCAAGAAGCATTCGACGACAACAATATCGTTTTAGGCCAAGTGCATCCAATGCATCACTATATGATTTACAAATATGAAATTTTTTAGAAAAACAAATCTGTCAAATAATGTCTTACCCTTCAGTATATTCTGCTTGAAGTAGATTAAGATATGGTTCCCATTTATTACCAATTACTTTACCACAAGTAAAACAACGAATCGGAATAATCATTTTTAAATTTTTAAATTTTTATTTTCGTTCAATTATCGATCTGAAAATGAAAAAAATGAATTTTAGAAAAATAGACCAGCATGAGTTGTGTCTGTGATGGTTTTATATGTGAGTATCAAAAACAACAACAAAAAAAATGGCTGTACATAGTGTTTATGAACGATCCACACACACTCACAACACACAAATATTTGTGCACGAGTTTTGGTTCTTTTGGGTTAATTTTTTTTTTGTTATGGTTTGACCAAATATAACCAAAATTCATATTTCATTTGTTGTTGATCATAAAATTAAATTTTATCCTAATATATAAAAACGAATATCGATGACAGCATTTTTACCACCAAATCTTTTGGCATTATTTGCGCCAAGAGATCCAATTCCATATTTACCACCGGTAACCAAATTAAATCATGAAAAGAAAACACATGGTTATTTTGGTGTTGGTCAATATCTTCATCTTTTTGAGGTATATTATTTTGAATGATTTTTTTAAAAAAAATAATTTAATTTAATCAAAATGTTCAAGGATCCTAAAGATACACCACCACCTATCAAAATTGAAACCAGAGAAGAAAGATTGGAACGTAAACAACGAGAAAAAATGGAAAGAGCTGCCTATATTCGTGAACAGGGAATAGCATTATGTATGAATTTATTGAAAATTTGTTGTTTAAATTGATAAATTAATTAATATTCTCTTTTTTCGGTAATAGGGGATCCAAACAATAATCCAATTGCTACAAGTGATCCATATAAAACATTGTTTATTGCTCGAGTTAATGCCGATACTACTGAATCACGTCTTCGAAAAGAATTCGAAGTATATGGTCCGATAAAAAAAGTTTGTTTATCTCAAAATTCAATTGATACAATTCAAGTTTTAACATTTTTTGTTTTTTTTAAATAGGTAATGTTAATACAGGACAAAATAACAGGAAAACCAAGAGGATATGCTTTTATTGAATTTGAAAATGAAAGGGACATGCATTGTAAGTATTTGACGTAATTTGAAATTTCGTGCTATATTCTTTCAAATCATCTATCAAAGAACATTGAGCATTGCATTCAGTAACAAAAAAAAAGAAAAAGAAAAAATTGATTACATTTGTAAGCAAGGTAAAAACAGTAAGGTAAAAAATTAATGATTAGGTAAGCATTGATCGATTTAATATCAGTGACAAAAAAATAAATTTCAGAAACGACCGAACAACTTTTTATTTGTAAGTACAAATTGAGACATTCGATAATTATCGATTGTCTCTTGTTGGTTGAAAATTAAAATCGCCGACGAATCGGTCGATTTCGGACTTGATTCCAATCTCCTACCATCTTTTATACTAGAGATGGGGTAAGATCGTTTCCGTTTATAAACAAAAAATAACCGTTTTGCATGCTTCGACCCGGTTATATTATAGATGATTATTCCTTTGTTTTTTTTTAATGAAAAAATCACTCATATGATTTGAAATGGCGTAAGCGTAAGTTGTGAGGTAAAAAAAATCATTTTTTTTTTGTTCAAAAACATTGGTCAGGTATCGTTTTGATGGATAGAAATATGAAACGGTGAGATATTAAATAATAATATAAACAGGTGTTAGGTCAGGTAAATTTTTTTTGTTTGTTGGTCATAGAAAATTATGGTAAAAATATTGCTTCAAGAATGGTAAATCAATAATTTGAATTGGTTTGATTTCTCTTTATGTTTATGATGTTTTTGTTATTTGTGTTTATTTTTATGCGGTAAGTGTTTATGATTTTGTCTATCCTGCCCATTTTTTTAAAAAAAATAGCTGCTTATAAACATGCGGATGGTAAAAAAATCGAAGGACGTCGTGTATTAGTTGATGTTGAACGTGGCCGTACAGTGAAAGGATGGTTACCAAGAAGATTAGGTGGTGGATTGGGCGATAGTCGTTCAACAAAATCTTCAAGTGGTTTTCGAAACGGTGGTGAAGATCGAGATGAAAAGTATGTGTGATTTTTTTTATAAAAAAAATGCAATATTAATTCTTTTATTTTTGGTTGACGATAGGAATTCTTTCCGTGAACGTCGTGGAGAACGTGAAAGAGATCGTTCAAATAGTCGACGTAGTAAAAGTCGAGAACGTGATCGTAATCGTCGAGATCGACCTGATCGTCGAGAAAGAAGCCGAGATCGTGAACGAGAACGTGAACGTGAACGCAGTAGTCGAAACCATAGAGATCATAATAAAAACCATCATCATCGTGATCGTGAGCATGAACGTGATCGTGATCGGGATCGTGATCGCGATCGCAAACGTGATCGTCATAGTAGTCGATCACCCGAACGTAATAATGATAGCCGTAAACGTAGCCGTTATAATAATGAAATATCAAATAATGGTGGTAGCATGGATAAATACTCGGATTCGTACAAACAATCACCGTAAAAAATATCATTCATATTAATTTTATTTTACAAATTATCATCATCATTTTTTTTTCCAAAATTTTCACTTTATTCTTAGAATATTTAGACAATTTTTTTTATTTCGGGAAAATAAATTAAAAAGTTAACAAAATATACAGATTAAAAAAAATTGATTATTTACATGAAATTATCACCATTTATTCATAATCTTGAACTGGTGATGGTGGTGGTGGATAAGGATTACAATAGCTACGTTCAGTAACCGGAGATGGTGGACAACTTGGATCGGAAAAATAACGAGGTGTTGGCGGTGGTGGTTTATAATCATATTCATCGATTTCCGTTTGATTATTATCATAATAAACATATTTGATTGTAGATGGTTCAATATCTTCATAAACATCTGTACTGCATGGCGTAGGCGGTGGACCACGATTCGATAATTTGTTATTCCATTTATTCTTATTTTTACCTGGTTTTTTACGATTTTTACTAACACTATTACCGAACATACCATTGTTTTTACTACGACCTGGTCGTGGTCGAGTTACAAACAATGATGATGATAATGTTGAACATTGAGATCGTTGTGTTGCAGGACTAGGTGGTGGATTGATTGCTTGTGCATAGGCAGCAATATTTGCTGATGAACTTGTACTGGATGCTCCGGTAACATTTCGTTCAATCAATGATTCAGTTTGTGTCAATAGAATTGATGATGGATTAATTGTAGTCATATTGTTAGCATTAGATGAATTGCTTAGAACATTTTTCATATCGTTTTGTAATGTATCTAGACCTGAAATTGTTGTCGTAGTTGTTGTCAATGTATTACAATCAAGTTTACCATTACCGTTAAGATTAGTATTAACGAATCCATTTATTTGATGTTTTTTATGAGGATTACGGTTGTTGTTGATAATATTTCCACGACCAGCTGTTCCAGATCCAGATACTGAATAACGTTCAGTCATTAAAATATCGTTTACACCATTTCCAATATCTTTATCATCATGGTTAGAATTATTATATCGGCGACATTGATAATATGAATATATGAAAATGATAATGGCCAAAATTATGATCAAAAATATTAAACTAGAACTAAATGGACGAATTGGCATTTGATTCGATGGATTTTTTTGGCCAATATTGCATCGATCCGGTTGTTCATCTTCACCATCTAAACAATCTCGTTTTCCATCACAAAGTTGTTGATTAGTAATACAATTATTACTATTACAACGAAATTCATATTCATGATTACAGCATATTTCATCGAATCCATCCACACAATCATTAATACCATCACATAATTGCCATTTTTCCAGACAAAACAATTCTTCATGATTATAACAAATTGTTTGATTTGTTGTACAAATCGGACAATCCATTTCATCGGATGAATCGGGACAATCGGAAATTTTATTGCAACGTAATGATCCCGATATACATTTTCCAGTATGACATTGATATTCTCCTCTTGTACATTCAATAACATCTACACAATCACGAGCTGTTTCACCATCCGATAGCATTAAACCTTGAGGACAGGCACATTCGAACGAATGATTTGAAATAAAACAAAAATGTGAACATCCACCATTTTCTCTCTGTAGTGAAAAAAAACCGAAAAAATAAAAAATGTTAATCGGGGAACGAAAGTAAAGCATATATTTGACTTTTTTTTTGCAAAACTTCAGAAACCGATTTAGAAAAATTTCTTTTGGAAGAACATCGAAAATTTTTGAGATTTTTGAAAAAAAAACATTCTCCTTCCAGCTCAGAAGGAAAAAAAGTCTCAAAAAGTTTGATACTTCCGAATGGGATGTTCAATAAATTAAATTCTAACCAAACTTACACTGCAATATAAATCCGATGAAAATTTAGACATTTGAGGCACAGCTATTATATCAGTCAATGGATGGTCCTTGATGAATATGGTTTGTTTATTATTTCCATCATTAAGATCTAACGGTAATTTCATTACAGATTTTTTATCACGTTCAATCCAGAACAAATAACGATCATAAGCAGCCATAGAGATCGGATAAAGGCTATCTTCTCTATACAATACCTGACGAGAATAACCTTCAAGAGTGCTGTATTCGATTTGATTCATTAGTGAAACAAACCAGATGAGTAGATCCATTTCTTGATCAACAGCAATGGCTGTCACTTCAAATCGTAGATCTTTAATAACAGTTGTTTTTTTCATTAATGGAATTAATGATATTTTTCTTATTTGTGAATAACCAATGTGATTTGTCCAAAATAAAGTACTTTAAAAAAAAAGAAATTTTGAAAAAAATAATGTAAATTTTTAAAAAATTGAAATGCGTTCAACACATACTTTGTTCTTAGATGATAAGCCAATAAACGAGGTCGATCCTGTGGATTATGATGAATAGAACCAACCATAATTGGTTTTCCAATAATACGTGTTGCATTAATTGAATTAGTAATGTTACATGTCCAGAAAAGTATTCTGGCATATGGATCAATAACTAAATCGACTGGTTGAACAGATTGATGAGAATATAATAATGTTTCAATAGGACCAAGACCATTTACACTAGTACGTTTGATTGATTTACCATCGATCCAATAAATAAAATGATCCAATTGATCAAATGCTAATGTTTTAACATTTTTAAGATTTTGTATGGGTAAAATAATGTCCTGAAAATCACCGGATGTTGTTTTAGGATCGAATAAAAATCTCATGATTAAATTCTTTTGACTGAATAGAAGAAATTTTTCGGGAGCTGTAAACAACAAAAACAACAAATTGTTTTATTGAAATATGATGATGATCATGATATAATATACTTACGTAAACATCGTTTAAAATCATGTGTATCCAAAGTATAATGTGATGCACAACTACAATATGGATCTTGATGTCGATGTTTTTGTGAAGTTTTTGTTTTGATAAAACATAAATGTTCACATTTATTAGTCTGATCTGAACACATATTCCATCCTTTATGAATACTAATATCAGTGATTAATAATTGATTAGCCATTGAGAATAGATCATCTTTGGTCCAAATATTTGGTCGAAGATATTCTTCTTCTTGATTTTTGTTAACAAATTCTAATGTTTTTGAATCTGGATTAAGAAAATATACAAAATCTTCATCAATAGCCAGACTAATAGGTTTAGTAATTGGTACAGCGAGATCTAAATTAATTGATGATTTTTTAGTTCCATTATAATTGGATGACATGATTTTATCATAACTGATCCAAAATAATCGTTTTGAATAAAAATCAATGGTTAATCCAATAGCTTTTCCAACCGAATCAATAATATTTTTTCGTTTGTTACCATCAAGAAATGATGAAACTATTCGACCATTGTTTGACCAATCACTCCAAAATAAATGACTATCGATTGGATCGACAACCAATGAATTTGGTTGTCGTGAACGATCATAAAATAAAACTCTACGAAAAGAACCATTTGATTTGGCCACTTCTATACGTCGAAATTCTACATCTATCCAATAAAGATTTTTGCTTATCCAATCAAGAGCCAAATTAATAGAATTGCCAAGTCCAGTTTGAACAAGTATTTCAGATTTTGATGCGTTCATTGAAGATCGATATATTATTCGATCTCTATTATCGACCCAATAGATATGATTGCTACCAATGTCAATATCGAATGATGAAGCCCAATGCATATCATTAATGGGCAATGAAATTTTGTTTTTGGTTTTTAAAGAAATTTTTGTCGTATCGTTATGACGAAGAATATAAAAATACGAAGAAGATTTAATACATGTTCGTCCATCTTCATTCAATTCGAATCCATCCGAACAAGCACAAACGTATTGTTGATGAGGACGATTAAAACAAAAATGTGAACAATTACCATTAGATGGTGCAATGCAATCATTAGTATCGGTAAATTGTTGTCCAACTGCTTTAAGACCCATTAAATCGGACAAATTTTCAACTATAACAGAATGGCCATGGCCAGTCATTTTATGTACTCGTTCGATTGTTCGAAGTGTCCAGTCTGTCCAATAAATCCATTCATCGATCATGGAAAAACCAAACATATGAGAACCATCAAATGATGCTATGGTTTTTCGATCGGATCCATCGAAACGAGCCGATTCGATTGTTTTTTGTTTAGCATCACACCAATAAATTCGTGATAATTCAAAATCGATAGCAAGACCATTTGGCCAGATCAGAGATGAATTTACGATGGCAATTCGATTTGATCCATCTAAAGCAGCTCGTTCAACTTTTGGTGTCTGGCCCCAATCCGTCCAAAACATCAGTCCTTCGAATGGATGAACTGCAATAGCACGTGGTTGATCCATGTTTTCATTGATAAGAACCTTTCGAAAAGAACCATCTAGTCGTGCAACTTCTATACGATCAATGGCCGAATCTGTCCAGTAAATATTACGAGCAATCCAATCGATAGCCAAGCCATCGGTGTGCATTAATTCTGTTGATATGATTGTTTCTTGATGTGATCCATTAAGAGTGGCCCATTTGATCGTTCTTAATTCATCATCGGTCCAATAAACTTTGTCTTCCACTGGATCATAATCCAGAGTAATAGTATTCTTCATGTTACGTATCGGTAATACAACATGTGTATAATCGGCAGTATCCAATGAAATTATACGAATATCGAATCGACGTGCTAATAGCAAAAATTTTTGTGCACTTGAATGACATGTTCGACCATCCGATTTTAATATGACACCGGTCGGACAAGCACAAGAATAATGTGAAGGACTAGCTGATGATAATAAACATAAATGTGAACAACCACCGTTATTTCGATCACAAGGATTAAAAGATTTTGGCTGTCGAGATGAACTGAATACAGTAATGCCAAGTGGAGATAATCGTGATTCAGGATTCAGATTCGGCGTATTTACAATGCCGGTTTCCATATCAAAATAATACAAACCATTTCGATAGAATCGATTATTTTGCATATCATTTGGCATTTCAGTCCAATATAGCATATTATTATTCATTGTTAATGCAAATATATTCGATACATTTGATACAATTTCTTTTAGATTTTCTCCATCAAAATCACATGAAGAAATGTAGCCAAATTTTGCATCGGCAAAATATAATCGTTTAGATTTATAATCAACAGCTAATGCATTTGGCCAATAAATATTTTTACTGATGATAATTTTTCTAGTTGATTCATTACCATCCATTGAAACTTTTTCAATCTTGGGTGTATGTCCCCAATCAGACCAAAACATGAAACTATTTTGACAAATATAATTGAAAAGTGAAAAAAAAACATTTCTTTTTTTTATGAAAATAATAATAACTTACCCTTCACTAGGAACAAGAACAATTGTACGAGGATTATCCATATTTTTCCAAACCAAAACATTACGTTGTGTACCATCATAATTACTAACAACTAAATTATTAATATCCGAATCAAGCCAATAAAGTTTTTTTGTTATCCAATCACATGCTAATGATTCAGGTGATTCAATACCAGTATTAGCAACATCAAATATATGACGATCAGTTAGATTTAAATATTTTATTGATTCTAAACCACGATCAGTCCAAAATAATAGATTTTGTTCATAATCAAAATCTAATGCAATTGCATCTTCAAGTTGATCAATAAGTATTGGAGCATCGTATAATTTTTTATGATAATGATGTGATAGATTTCTATTGAATGCTGATTCATCTAATTTACGAATATCTTTACGATTAGCGACTATTATTGATGAACAATTTACATTATGATATGTACAGATAACTAATGACAAAGAAAGAAAGAAAGAATTGTAAGGGGAAAAATCATTCAAATTTAAAAAAAAAACATACAATTTATCAACAAAATTTGAAACAACAACAACAACAACATAAAAAACTTGTGATAATAAGGAATCACATTACGATTAGTGAATGGATCTAAAAAATTTCTATTATCATTATTAATAATTTGATGATATTTGATAGGAATCATCGATGAACAATGTTGATGTAAAAAGTTGCACTTTTTTTTCGTCGACATTCTTATATTCTGATGGTTTTTATTTTCAATCAATGAAATTTTTCGTTTCGGACATCTGTGTAAGAAGAAGAGAGAAATCTGCTTTCATTGATTCCTAACATGGCAGAAGATTGATGATTCTCAATAATAACAAGATGGAATTCTCGGAATGATCTTCTGACATATAAATAAAATAAACCAGTGATGGAGATCAGTGATCAAAAAAAAAACATTTGTTGAATAAAAAGAAAGTGAAAGTAACAAAGATGAAGAAATATAGTTGTTGATCGATCGATATATAGCATCAATATTTTAAAAAAATTCCATCAATAACGCACACACATGACATGAGAGAGTAACCAAGATCTTCCCGAGTGAGATTAATTGAGCAAGCAAGCAACCAAATAACCATTCAATGGACAAAACTATAGAGGATAGTTGTTGTTACTTTGATTCGATTTGATTACATTTTAAGATGATAATTTTTTTTGGTTTAGTTTAGCCACTACAACACACATAGATTTGTTTGCTATGGTATCTAAACCATGGTTTCTTTTTTGATCAACGATCAACGAACAGCAGCAAAGATGGATAAACAAGAATCACACACCAAAAAAACAAAAAAGCCCAAAGTCTTGTGCATTCTCTCGAAGTAACATAAAATAAGAATGCACACACAAACAAACAAACAAACACCAACATTCAATGGTCCCTCGTATACTCGTTTTGATGATATCTTGATGGTGGTGGTGGTCGTCGCCGTTGTGTGTGTGGGTAGTTGTGATAAGTCGATGGCGGGGTATATAATTGTTACACATTTCAATTTTTGGTTGTTTTTTCTATGTTTCAAGAGGGCCTGGAGTTTTATTTTTTCTTTTGGTAACTGAATTGTGAGGTTCAAGTTGTTGGATAAATGAAATGAAAATATCTCCAAAACGTGCACAACACACGAGGCAAATTTTTTTTTTCTTTCTTTTCATCACCAATTTACCCAATCATTCTTTATAGGGAAAAAAAAGGCGGACAAACGAGATTATCTAATCGTGATTAATAAACGATCAAATTCGATGGTGATGATGATGATAATGAAAACGTATTTTTTTATGGAAAAATTCTTACAATGCATCATTCATTCATTCATTCATTGAATTCTTTGGTTCGGTTTTTCGAACGAAAAATTAATACCAAAAATCGACACTAGATTTCGCTGAAAATGATGAACATAAGGTTCGAAATGAGAAAAGAAAAAAAATTCGAATTTTCGAATCACCATATCCGATTGTCAACAAGTGTATCCAACCAACAAAAAAAACCTTAGAATTTTCTTCAATCCAAAAATGAAAAATGAAAATTTTTTTTCAATTTTCAAATCAGAATATTGTAGATTTACAACAACAAAAATCGCTAACCGAATTTTTCGTTTCATCGTTTCTTCGATATCTCACCCTTATTTACCTCCGCATACCGGTATACCGAATTATAAAAGCAATTTTTGTACACGTGAAAAATACGGCCAAATAAACAACAACAACATTTTAATTTCCTTTTTCTATTTCTCTCTTTCTCTCTATCTCTTTTTTACTATAGTATATATCCAAAAACAAAACTCTAAAATAACAAGCCTGAATATATCTCAAGAGTATAGGATTTTTTTTTTTGCTTGTTTCTGATGAACCGTGTGGTGGTGGTGGTGGTAGTAATGTGTTGCCGTAGTCGTTTGGATGTTGTGTTTGATATATATGAAGATAATGTCTGTAAACGAGCGTGTGTATCTTTTCTCTATGTGTGTATTATGCCTGTTTTTTTTTGTTTTTTTGTTTTTTGTTGAGTTCTACCGAACCAGCCAACCAAGCATTCAACCGACAAAAGAATAACAACAACAATAATCATCAAAATGATGATGATGATTTACAAAACATCAATAAACTGAATTTATTTATTTCTTACACATTCAATTGTGACACATCATTGGATTGGATCGGATTGTGTATGAATTTTCTTTAATTGTTTTTTTTTATTTTGAAAATTGTTCTTACCTGTTGATCATCGATTGATTGAATCATCAGTTTTGTTGTGTGTATTTTTTTTTCAAGATGAAGTTCAACATCATCAGGCCATTTTAGATCAAACTAAATGACCAAATTTTATTTGATTCATTTTCAGCATATGATGCCTACATGATTTTCTCTGTTTTTGTTGTTGTTTTTTTTTCATTGACCAACTATGGATATGATGATCATCAAATGAACAACAAAAAAAAAAAATTTTTTGTTGATCCAAATTGAGACAATTTCGTTGTTGCTGTTACAGAAGACATTCACACTATTCCAAAATTTGCCGGCATTTTAGTTCATATCAATCTTACAGAAAAGATATTGATCATCATCATTTTCAAATAATAATAAAAAAAATCAAAGTGGTAAGTGAACATCATCATTTGATTCGAATGGTTAACAACATGATTGATTTGTTTTTTGTTAAAAAAGAAATCTAATGATAGAAATCTGTCAAATTGTCAAAAATCTTTAAAAACAAAAACTTTTTGCGATGATAATAACGGAATGCAACAAAATATTCAAAAATCTGCTTTCAAGCGGAAATTTTTTTTTTCTCGAATTCGAATTGGAAATGTGTCTTTTTTCATTCGAATAAATAATGTGTCACCATCGATCGATTCAATCGATATTTTTGTTTGTTCTGTCACATTTGATGTTTCGAATGTTTATACATGATGATGATTCAAGTATTTTTTAACACAAGCCTGATCTAATGATTTTGACCCGAATAATACCCCTAAATTTTTTTTTTTAGTCATCTTCTTTTTGAGTCAAATAACGGTCTTTTTTCTTGTCAATTCAATGATTATCATCATCAAGCGACAACATTTCAATCAGAATTTTTTTTTTTTACTTTGATTATTGATTTTTTGCATATGTATGTTGTGTGTGTACATGTTTGTCCGACAACAACAACAACAGCAAAAATACACAAAATCGGATTGACACTTGTTGAACAAATCAAACAATTTTTTTTTTATTCATTCATTTAAACCACCATTATCCTCTTTCACACTTTTTTGTTGTTGTTGAATGTAAATTACGATTTTTTTTCCTAAATGAAAAAAAAACCACAACAATAAAACAGAAAATATTGTTGTTTAAAATTATTAAACCTGGACTGAATACCTGATTTTTTTTTTTTTTTTGACCGTTTAAACGAAAAGATTTTTTTGACCGTTGTTTTTTTCCCTTGTCCATAAATTTTGTGTTATTGTTTAATAATAATGAGCCAAAAAAAAAAAATGGTCAGATTTTTTTTTTTTAGTCTTCTTCCCTGATTGATTTCTTTATATCGAACCGAATTGATAAATTGAGATACTTTATAATAATAATTCATTAATAATCCATTAATCATCTTAGTGCAAATGTTCTATATGAAAAAAAGACAAGACAAGAGGAAAATAATAATAATAATAATCTTACTCCAAATTTACATCATCATCATCATTATTACATCTGATTTTTTTTCTGTTTCGGTGTTTTTATGGGTAAATTTTTGTTAAATGACGGCCATGATAGAAAACACACACACACACACAAGCCAAACAAGTCATATTATCATCATTCATTCACATATGTGTCATGTGTATGAAGAATTAGAAGGAAAACAAACAAATTTTCCAAAGAATTTTTTATATGTACAAATTTCATTTCAAAGCTTGTTTATTTATTTTTTTCCCTGCCCCCATTCTTTTGCTTTAATCATCATAATTCCTCTAAAAAAATTCATTCAATTCAAATGTGGCATATGATTATTATTTGGTATTGAAATGAAATGAAATGAAAAAACTATTTTAAGATTTAAGGCAAATGTGATGAGGGTTGTATATTTTTTTCATTATTAAAATATAGATCATATGGATGGGTGTAATAAATGAATGAAATGCAAACGCGTTTTTGTTTCCATTGATGATGATGATGATGATATTTCAATATTTTTTTTAGTAAATAAAATGTGTTGAATATCAGAGAAAAAAAAGATATATAATCTATATTTAGATCATTTTTCTGTTGTTGTGATGCTGATAATTTTCCATTTTTATTATTATTATTCTTGCATGTAAAACATTGTTGTTGTTGTTGATGATAATGATAATGATAATGACACAACATTTACGGCTTATATATGACATTTACTCAAATGTGTGTGTGAACGGAGGGAAAAAAAATGTTCGAATTCTATTTCAACATTTAATGGCTTGGAACAGAATTTTTTGTTTATACAAAATCAAAATTTTCTTCTTTTTTTTTCTTGATGATGATGATGATGATTGGTAATTGATGATAATCGATCAATTATAATAAATTTTTGTGGATCAGATTCACGATCATATAAATTTGATACCAACGTCATAGAATTTTCGAGCCCAATTTTGCGTCATTTCGAAAAAAAACCATAAACCGCCATCATATTAATATGATGATGATGGAAAAAAAATATGAAAAATTTTATGATTCTGTTTTTTGTAATGATGATGATTATTATTAATAATCAACGGATAAATCGATTGGAAGTGTAATTTCAAATTATTTTTCCATCCATCATTCCATCTGGCTTTTGTAAATAAGGTTTTTGTTAATGTTTTTCTCTCTAAACATCAAATGGATCCAAAATTGAACTTGAATTTTGTTTTTCGTGGATTATAATCGATTGATCGATCGAAAATCCGTTCGAAAATTCTAATTATTTTTTTGTTGTTGTTGCTCGATATTAGCCAAAAAAAATGGGCAGCAAAAATCGATCGAATTTTTTTTTTGTTGTTCCGTTTACTTTCTATTATGTAATTAATATCGCGAATTGATTGATTGATTGATTTTTCGACTATTTTAACTCTCTATATAAATGGAAGTATTTTTTTTGGTCGATTTTTCGAATGTTTTTTTTTGATTTTCTTTTCTCGCTTGATTCGTTCGATTTGTTTTTTTTTTGAACCGAATAACATTATGGATGTAAATAATGATTGTTCAATTTGTAATTATCTAGCCATATGTCAAGTATTATTATATACATCAATATTATTATTTGGCATTATAATTGGTCTATTAGTTATTATAAGTTTACGTTCATTATATTTAGCATTTTATGAAAATTTTATTGATAATAATTGTAATAGTACTTATTATTATTCATCTGTTAATATTATTAATAATAATTCGAATGATAATGATAATGATAAATGTAATAATGAAAAATTAAAACCACCACAACAACAACAACAACAACAAGATCAAAAACAATCAAAACAACAACCAAAACAACAAAAACCAAAACAACAAAAAATACAAAAACAACAAATCAAAAAACGTGTTGCATATTTTAATATGGATACAACATCATCAATATTAAGTGGAATAGAAGTAACATCATCTTCATCATCATCATCATCATCGATATCATCATTAATTGAACAACAGAAAAATAATAATGGAAAAATAATAGAATTGATAAAAAAATGAATAATTAAAAAAAAATTCTTCGAAAAAAACACAAAATTTGTGAATTAATTTTTTGACCAGATTTTTTTTGTAAAACAAAAAAAAAATCTCTACCTGTAACTTGTTGCTTGTTTGCTGCAATTGCTCTATCTTGTTTTTTTTTTTTGCTTGCAGTGGATATATGTGTGTGTGTAAAGCATCTTTTTTTTCGAAAAATGTTATCAACACCAAAACACACAAACAGGCAATCAAGCAACAGGAGATTTCGGCAATGCATCTCGGTAAAGTGATAAAAAGAAAGAGAGAGAGAGAGAATCCGAATAGTAAAAAAAAAATATCTACAGCTTGTTTCAAAATGCTGATGTAGCTTGTTGTTGTTGTTGTTGTTGATGTTTGGCTCCAACCAAAACCAAAACGCTAACAAGAAGAAAATCCCAAAAAAAAGAAAAGATTTCTTCAAATCTAAATCCAAAATATTACATGCTCAAAACATCCTTGTCATATTCAGTCTCTGTCTGTGTGATCCAAATATATGATTCATCAAATATTTTTTCCAAAGAATTTTTTTTTTTTTTGTTTTTTTCGTTCGATTCGAATGAATTTCTCTTTATCCATATATTCTCCATATGTTGATTGCATTGTTGACAACTATATAGTTGAATTGTTTTTTATGTTTTTCACAACTGTTGCTATCTGTCTCTCTGTTTGTTTTTTTTTAATAAAAAAATGCTGTGTTTGATTGATTTCATATCAACAATTCTTCTTGTGTTGCATAAAATGTTGTTGATATTTTGGAATTTGATATTTAAGATTTGTAATCCTGGATTTTTTTCCCCTCTTCTTTTTTTTCAATTTCAATAGATTTTTTTCTTTCATCGGTGTCAAGTTATCACAAGCAAAAACAAGCCAAAAATCATGAACAACTTAAATCATTATTCGATATTTAAATCAAAGTGAATTTTTTTTTTTGGTTGTTGTTGAAATCATTCGCTACTTTTTTTTCTGCTTTATTCGGTGGTAATCTTAAACCAACAACAACAACAACAAAAACAAAAAAAAACCAGAACAATGATGGGTGATAATCGAAAACAACGTTATGTACTTCAAGTACATGTTGGTTCATATAGTCGACTGTATGAAGCATTATCAATTGAAGCGGAAAAAATTACAACAGCAAGAGAAATTGTTGATTGTATTTGTGAAAAATTAAGTCTTACCGATGGTACGGATGTTTATGAATTAGCCGAAGTAATTGGTAATCAAGGTGGACAAGATTGTAAAGAACGTCGTATTGGTCCAAATGAATGTCCAATTGCATTGAAATTATTATGGCCAAAAAAAGGTGATAAAGGAACAGCAACTGGTTTAGGTGGTGGTCATGTTGATTATAAATTTTGTTTACGAAGAAAATGGATGGGCAATCTTTGGCCATTATCAATGACCGATACGAATGATTCTCAATTGATACGTGATTATTTTTTACGTTTTCTTTATCAACCACGGAATTCTGAATATCCAGATTTGTGCCAATTACCTGATCTTACTGAACAAACACTTTTAGATAATTTAAAGGTAAAACTTACTAAGGTGCTTCAATAGTTTTCTTTTGCTAAATTTTTTTATTATTGTTTTTTATAATCATATAGGCTCGATTCGAAAAAAATCATATCTATACATATGTTGGATCGATACTCATCGCTGTGAATCCATTTACATTTTATCCAATTTATAATCCAAAATATGTTCAATTATATCAAAATCGTCGATTGGGCGATTTACCACCGCATATTTTTGCTATTGCAGATGCTGCCTATCAGGTAGATTCATTGATTGTCAATTCATTCATTCAATGTTCAATAAAATTAATTGATTTCTATTTTTTTTAGTCAATGTTACGAAAACGGACCAATCAATGTATTGTGATAAGTGGTGAATCTGGTTCGGGTAAAACTGAATCCACCAATCTGCTGTTACATCATTTGACAGCTCTTTCGCAAAAAGGTACACATGGTACTGGTGTTGAACAAACAATTCTAGGCGCTGGACCAGTACTTGAAGCATTCGGTAATGCCAAAACAAAATTCAATAATAATTCATCAAGATTTGGAAAATTTATTCAAGTCAATTATAAAGAAAATGGTGCAGTTCATGGTGCATTAGTTCAGAAATATCTGTTGGAAAAATCAAGAATTGTATCACAAGTAAAAAATGAACGAAATTATCATGTATTTTATTATTTACTTGATGGTCTATCCACCGAAGATAAAGAAAAATTATATTTAACAAAACCACAAGATTATTTCTACTTAAATCAATCAAAATGTTATACACTTGAAGGTGTGGATGAACGACATGAATTTTTTCGTCTTACACAATCAATGGAAATGGTTGGATTTAGTCGTCATAAACAATTTTTATGTTTCAGTGTATTATCGGCCGTTTTACATTTGGGTAATGTACAATTCTCAAAAAAATCTACTTATCATTCGGATGAAACTGTTATGATTAAGAATCCTGAAGTGGTAACAATCATTTCAAAATTATTGAATGTTAAAGAAGAAACATTAACCGCTGCACTTACTTGTAAACGAACAAAAGCTGCAAAAGGTGAAATGTTAGTTATTAATTATAAACATCCTGATGCTATTGCTACACGTGATGCAATGGCTAAATGTTTATATGGTGTACTATTTGATTGGATTGTTATGCAAGTAAATCATGCATTATTATCGAAAAAAGATATTCGTGATCATAAAGGAAATAGTATTGGTGTATTGGATATATTTGGTTTTGAAGATTTTGGTGATCATAATAATTTTGAACAATTCTGTATAAATTATGCTAATGAACGTTTACAGTATTATTTTAATTCACATGTTTTCAAATATGAACAAGAAGAATATCAACGTGAAGGAATTAGTTGGAGAAATATTGATTTCAATGATAATACTGAATGTTTAGGTTTGATTGAAGATAAACCAGATGGTCTATTATATTTATTGGATGATCAGTGCAATTTTCCTTGTGGTAGTAATGAAACAATATTTCAAAAATTTATTTATCATCATAATTCAAATCCATTGTTTGAAGTACCACCTTGTCGTGGTTCAGCATTCACTATTAAACATTATGCGGGCAAAGTTAAATATCAGATACGTGATTTTCGTGAAAAAAATCTCGATCTCATGAGACCAGATATTGTTGCCGTACTGAAAGTTTCTAAAATGGCATTTGTACGTGAATTAGTTTGTTCCGATCCGTTAGCATTATTTCGTTGGCATATTCTTAAAGCATTTTTTAAAGCTTATTTTCATTTTACTAAACTTCGTGAAATATCTAAAATGAAACGAGGTTTGTTCAATTTTTTTTTTCGATTTTGAAAAATTTTTTTCTGATAATTTTTTTCGCTATAGGTTTATCCGGTACTTATTTAGTAAAAGAATATGCCAATGCTAATCAACGACGAAATAATCAACAGCATAATAATCAATTAAGGTATGTTTTCTTTTCTTTTTTTGTTTGCTTAAAATTTATGGAATTTTTTCGGGAAAATTTTTATTCTTTGGGGTTTATTGGAAACATTTTGGGGATAGACAATATTTCGGGCTATTTTTGAATTCATAGAAACTATAGAATTTGTAATTTATTTTTTTTGTTATAAAACAAATTTTTATTACATTTTAGTTTGATCGATAAAAGCTGCAGTGTTGTTTATCAAAGTAAAACTGTCGGTAATAATAATAATAATTCTTTGCTACAATCAAATGATTCGAAAGCAAAATATTCTGATATTGCAAAACGATTATCATCATCAACATCAAATTATCATACATTTTTGGCCACAAATCGTTGTAAACCTACTACAACAGCATCAGTAACGATTGCTTCAAATTCTTGTATTAATCATGGTGCATCATCATCATCATCATCATTATCATGTCCATTTCATGGTACACAGGCACATCTTTGTTCTTCCGAAGCTCGTGTTTTATCTCGTGCAAACAAAATTCTAATGTATGTTTGTGTGTGTGTTTTCCACTCTTTTTTTTTCTTCTTTTGTTGGCTGTCCCCAGATAGATATCACATCAGAATGATTGATTGTTGTTGTTCGAATGACATTTTATTGATCTACTGTGTTTGATTTATTGATGCGTTTCGTTCAGATAGATGAAGAAGATATTTAGTTGAGTTTCATATTTTCAAATTATAATGAAAACATCACCATAAGTCTTTTATTAAACATTTAAGGATTGATATATCTCATATAGGAAAATTTTCTAGTTAGTTTTCAAAATCTATTCATTTCTTCTTCCCCTTTTTGCATCTTCTCATTGTCCATATTTATTTGTTGTTCATCATATTTTGTTGATTTGATTCAATGATACCATATGGTGATGTGCTTGAGTTTTTTTTTGTTGACTACTTTATATGGGGATGATGATTATGATTAAGATGATGGCTTTTTTCATTGACAATTGTCACACACACACACACACACAATCGAACATCGTTTAACAATTCGTTTAACTCTTTTTTTTTTGTTGTTGTTGTTGTTGAATAAAACCATGATAGTTTTTATCATGAACAACAACAATAATAATCACCAAAATGAAAGAAATTGTCTCATTGATGGACCATACAATCTTGAACATCTTAATCATCATCATAAGCATCACGCGCAAAACCGTTATAAGTTTTTTTTTGTGTATGTGTGTGTGGTGAATTTTCTCTTTGTTGTTGCTGTTGCCATATGTCCTCATCTTCTTCCTTATAATTTTTTTTTATTTCCTTTTTAAAAAAATTTTTTCTTCAAAATGTTCCATCAATGTAATGAAGGAAAAAAAATTATGATTATTTAGCATTTGTCGATCCTTCTTGTTTGTTTTGTTGAAAAATTTCAAATTTTTCAGTGATTTAAATATTAATTTTGTTTTGTGTTTTTTTTGTAAATTAATTAATAAATAATAGGAAAAAGAAATACTCATCATCATCATCAACATATTCATGGCAAAAGAAGAATGGATTTGAAAAATCCATACGTAATTTTAAATTATTAAAACAATTATTAGGTCCACCAACAGCAACATTAAATTCACCTGGTTCAACATCGGCTAATAAAGAACGACCAATTTCAGTAACAAGAGCTGTTGCAAGAAAACAAACACAAACTGTAACACATCAATTTCAACAATCATTACAACAATTAATGGATACATTAAGCCATGCAAATCCATTTTTTGTTCGTTGTATAAAATCGAATGCAGATAAAATGCCAAATCATTTTGATGATCGTCTTGTATTACAACAATTACGTTATACTGGAATGTTAGAAACTGTTCGTATTCGACAATCAGGATATTCTGTTCGTTTAACATTCGATGAATTTATACAACATTATCGTATTCTATTACCAAAAGGTTTATTATCATCCAAAATGGATGTACAAAAATTTTTACTTAATATGAAATTACCATCAGAAATGTATCAGATTGGTAAAACAAAAATTTTTATGCGTGAAAGTGAAAAATTAGCATTAGATGAACGTCTTCATGAAGAAATATTACGACGTATTATTAATCTTCAACGATGGGTAAGTTTTATTTTGAATTTTTCTTTTTTTTTTAAAAATCAAAAATATTATCATCAAAAAAAAATCACACGAGGGTTGAAAATCCTGAATCTAGGTCATATTGCTTGAGTTGATTGGCCAAAAATAAGATGAGTGAGAGATGGTTTTTGATTATTATTTTTTCTTTCTTTCTCATTGAAACAATAATGAAAAACATTTCAAAGCAATTCTCCAAATTATCATTACATTGAATGTTTAGTAATTAGTTAGGCTACAACAAACCATATTTGATTTTATCAATTTTTTTTTTTTTTTTGAAAATTTGAAATTTCATTTATATAATAAGTAAATAGATTAGTAATTTTTATTTGTTGATATTCATAAACAAAACCTACAACTCTTTTAATGATTATTATTGTTTTGTGTGTCGAGAATCGATCATAATCATCATTTGTGTGTGATTAAAGAAAAGAGATTTCTTTCTTAAGAAAAGAAGATATGTTTCTTTAGTTTTATGTATGAAGAAAATGAATAGAGAGTGTGCCCAATATATTATTTAGTTTGTTGACAGTTTTACATAAGGATAATAAGGATGATGATTGACGTTTTGATGTTTTTTTTTTTTTTTGATTAATTAAAGTGTGATTTATATTTTAGACTTGGTTTTGGATTTTTTTTTCTCAATTTTGTGTGAATAATATTCATTCATTTTTAACAAGTGGTGTGCATTATTATTTTGTTTTTGTTGTTAATCTATTGCATATTCTTGAACAGACACTTTAATAATCGGGTTAATGAACTTATATCAAGTGATATGAACATGTGTGTGACGATCGATTACATCCATTGAAAATGTTTACAGGAAGAATATGTAAAATTTAATTTAACAAAACAAAACATAAAAGATTCTTTGATTTTTGGTTTTGTTTTTGGCAACTGCCAGAATCGGGAAGAGAATGGTGTTTTTTTAGATGATTGTGCCTGGATGAAATTACTTCCGTATGTTTGTGTGTGTGTGTGTCTGTTGTCGGATGAAAGATGTTGATGTTATTCATTTTTTGATTAAAAAATTTTTAGTAAAATCATCTTATTAATTTTTTTTGTTTTGTTTAAAGGTTCGAACATGGATCTGTCGAAAACGATTCAACGAAATGCGAAATGCGGCGGTCACTGTTCAAACATTTGTTCGTCGTTTTATTGCACAAAAACGTTTAAAACGTTTAAAAATGATTGCCCAATATGAAAATTGGGCAGCTAATGCTATACAAAAACATTGGCGTGCATATCAAACACGAAAATGGTTTACTAATCTTCGAAAATCAATTGTAAAATTTCAGGCTTGTTGTCGTGGTCATATTTTTCGTAAAACTAATCGTATGACTGAAGTTATTGAAGAATGTGCACAAGCTAGAGAAAAAGAACAAAAACAAATGGAAGAAGAATCGAATCGACAATCATCGAATATGAATAACAATAATAATAAAATGTCTAATGTTTCAGTTTTGATACGAACAACACCACCAAATTCATCATCATCATCATCGTCGACAGCGATTAAAGGTAATAAGCTTTAATATTGTTTTAATTCTTTCAATTATATTTTTTATCTTCAATTTCAAATAGAAGGTGGTGAAAATTCAACAACATCATCAACATTTGCTAATCAAAATGAAATAGTCATTCATAATATTTCATCCAATATGGATGCAAATCAGGATGCAAATCTGATCATTCCTGTTAATGTGATAAATCGTTCGGCTGCTACAGCAGGAGCAGGTGATGAAGAATCATCATCAGTGATTGATGTTGATGATGTTGTTGTTACGATTGGTGGCAATATCAATGATGATGATCTTGTTGATCTTGATGATGATGATTTTGAAAACGGTAATAATCGACGTGTACGATTGAATCGTAAACGTAATATTCCGATAAGAAAAACATCGTTTAAACGAAAAGCAAATAACAAATCATTATCGGATGAAAAACTTTTGACAACCAGCACATCTACATCGCCAATATCAATAACTACGACTACAATTTCTTCAGCATCAACATCAACATTAGAATCATTCACAACAACGGCAACAACAACAACAACAAGTATAACAAATCTAACTAAAACTGATCATAATTTCAATCAACAACAGCAACATCGACAATTGACAAAATTATCAAGTGATTCTAAAGTGCATGGGCTTGCCGGTTCGAATTCTTCGTTTGTTTCTTCCGGTTATTTGACTAATAGTGATAGTGCATCAAGTATACAAAAACTTCGCATTGGCAGTACCAGTAGTAATAACAGCGAACAACAACAACAACATATTACTTCCATAACAAGCATTGGTTCCGATATTTTACAGCCACAACATCCTTCATCATCATCATCAACAACAACAACATTGGCGAATACGACTTTTCCATATTCGATTAATGTAACATCAGCCAATCAAATAGTTATTCCCAGTGTTACAAATCGAACGACAATAAAACAACAAACGTTTGATGAATCTCAAACTTCTATCGTACCATCATCAGGACCAATTCAAAAAGCAAAAGCTACTTTCCGTAATATAATGGGTAAATCATCAAGTAATTCGGAGATTAATAAACGTCTTTTGAAACAAACAATGTCAGTCAAATCAGGAATGGAATTTGAATCTGTTAATTTAACTGAACAAATGAATCGAACATATAATCTTTTGAATAATAAAAGTTTGTCAAACAATGATTTAGGAATGAGAGTGAATGAAACGCCTAATATATCGAAAAATTCAACTAGTCAAAGTGATATTCATTCACAATTGAATTCGGTTTTTTCTTCGATGAATATGCCAACGCCATATAATTTTCATCATCTACAACAACAACAACAACAATTAAAAGCTAAAGATGAAAACTTTACCCTACTGTCTCGACATTCGATACACGATGAAAGTAGTTTTAAATCTGGTGAAATTTGTGCCATTTGTGAAAATCCTATTCTTGTTCAACAACCGATACAACAATCAAATCAACCTCAAATCCATTTGAAATGTTCTGAATGTAAACAACTTTTCCATAAGAAATGTATTCATCTTAGTTCGGATATTCCTTGTATCAAGGAAGGTTCAAGCTTAAGTTCGTCTGTACTTGGAGGTATTTTTAATTTAACTTCTTGATTTTTATTTCTTTATATAAATATATTTTTTGCACTATTTAGCATTCAATCCACCTCGACCACCAAGAAGCAAACAGAAAAAAACTAAAATTACCAGTGGAAAAAGTCTTGATTCATCCATCAAAGAGAATCAAGCATTGACATCATCATCGTCTTCTTCAAATGTTCAGCCATTCTCTGCTCCAGCTAAACAATCAGTTAGAGTGAAACAATTTACTGATCCACATGATATTCTTATTACCGATCTAGATGAATTGACATCAATGGATAAATTTATTTCGAAAAAGATTCGTGATATGGATGATAATATATTGTTCAAAAAGAAAACAAATAATGAACCAAAAGAATGTATGGTCGATATTGTTTTCAAATTAGCTTTGAAAGAATTTAAAAATAATTTAATTTCCACTTACTCGGTAACTCATCAAGTTAGTGGTAATCAAATCGTTCGATTGACCTATAAGGATTTGATTGATCATTTTGCACAGGTATGTTATTTTTTTTAAACTTATGCTGAGAACCAATAAATTAATCATTTCTCTATTATTTTATTCCAGATTTTATTGAATGTCTGTGAAATAGAAAATACATTCAAATCATTTCCTGTGATTCTTGGTGTGAATGCTTTTCGTGGTTATATGGATGAATTACGTAATATGCATAATACAAAAATCAATAAAGAAGAAAAAATTAATGGACCAAATTTTAAGAAATCTCAAAAACGTAAACAAAGCAAAAAACGTGCCCGTAACAAGAAAGATGATTTTTACAAAACATATGAACATGAATTCTATATTTCAACGGCCAACATTTATACTGTATGCGAAGTTTGTGATTCCTATGTTTGGATGATGGAAAGAATATTTATCTGTCGCCGTTGTAAGCTTGCTTGCCACAAAAAATGTTTCGATAAAGTTGCTTCTACTTGTGGTAACAATAATAAATCTTCTAATAAATTGATCTTTGGATCGCCACTTTCATCACTCGTTACAGAAGAATGTCGTATTCCATTGGTTGTCGAACATTTGATTGCTAAAATCGAACTGAAAGGCTTATATGCTGAAGGAATTTATCGTAAATCGGCTAGACTGACAAGCATAACTGAATTGAAACAAATGTTTGATGCACAACGTTTGGATATCGATTTAGATCATTATAGCGTTCATGTTCTTGCCGGTTGTTTGAAATTGTTTTTTCGTGAAATGCCCGAACCGCTTATGACTTATGAGCTCTATGATGATTTCCTTTGGGCCACCACAGTTACCGATCCTATTGAACGAAATCAAATAATATTCAATCATATCAGCAAACTTCCAAAGCCAAACTATGATCTCCTTGAACGTTTAACATTTCATTTAGCTCGTGTGGCTCGCCAGGAATCGGCTAATCGTATGAATGCAAATTCATTGGCCATCGTATTTGCTCCCTGCATACTCCGAACAAACAAATCAATGCAAATGCAAGATAAATTGAATGATATCAGTAAACAAACAATGTATTTAAAAAAAATTCTAATATTTTATTTTGAATTTTTATATTAATAAGGATACTCTTTTTCATTTATACAGTTGCATCGAAAGTATCATAAGCGAACAAATGCGACAGATATCTGATACACTTAACGATATCGATATATTGGACACTGCTTGTCATACGGCCTCATCTCGCCTTTCTTCGATTCGCCATTCCAAGGTAATTACAATGATTGCCAGTTCTCATAACCATTTATTAAAAATTGTTTTGTTTTCGATAGATGAACATGCATCGTGATGCAATATCGGTTGTACGTGCACATTCAAATGTCGATGATGAAGAAGAATATCTGACTCAACAGATTTCGGAATTGATTACCGAAAAGTATGATTGATTTTATTTGAAATAATGATAATAATCAAATCTTTGTTTCAGGAATCATTTGACTACAATATTACCGACTTTTAGAATCGCTTCGGCCTGTTCGGATGAAGATATTCTTTCGTCGAATGAAAATGAAGAAATGGTCAATACAAATGCCAGTTCAGATGAATGTTTAAATTCTACTGTCAATAGTGATAACATAAAAACATTGAATACCAAAACGCTGAAAAGCACTGGAAACGTTAACTCTAATAAAATATCCACAACGAATCTTACTCAAACTAAAAATGAAATTCGCTGATTACTTGAAGTTTTGTCCGTCCAATGACTACAACTGCAATTTTTTAAAAGATAACCTTGATTTTTGCTAAAACCGTTAATATGGTTATTTAGTCACAACAGACTGAAATTGACTTTTATCGTTTATGAATTTTATCATAATTATATATTTTTTTTATAATTTTGTAAATCAATCCGTCTGTTTTTTTATGTACAGAAAAAAATCAAAGCCAAGCTTTTCTCATTATCTTTCTGTTCTTTTTTTTTGTCTTGAATGTTGTCTGTGAAAATAAAAATAAATGTAACGTTCAAATGTTTATAGCTTCTTTAGCTTATAACAATCATGGTTAAAACATTCTGATGATGGTGTATTTTTAAAACATCGATTTTAATCATAAGCACATAATGTTTTGAAAATATTATTTACATATATGAATATTTTTTTATATATATAAATCAATGGTGAGAATTGAAAAAAAGCAATCAGATCAAATGAAAGAGAGAATAAAGAATGAAAAAAGATATCGATTTCATTGTTTCCTAAAACCTCTTAGAATTGGATAAATATAATCGAATGCCTGATAAATTTCGTTACGTTCTTTAGCGCCAGTTAATACTACTTTGCCCGATACAAATATCAATAATACGATCCTAGGTTTGACCATACGATAAATAAGACCGGGAAATAATTCCGGTTCATAACTTGAGAATTGGCTATGAGTGAGTACAAGTCCTTCCAAACGAATGGGAAATCGAACATCACAACTGCCGACCATGTTTTGAATTTTAAATTCAGAAAATTTTGCCTAAAATAAAATAATTATAGAAAAATCGTTAATCTAATCATCGCAAATAATAATAGAAATTTCATACTTCAAAACCAAGTTTCTGCACAATTCGAGCATATTTTCGAGCGGCTAATCGAGACATATCTTCACTTTTTGCTCCAGTACAAACCATTTTTCCTGAACTGAATATTAAAGCTGTAGTTCTGGGTTCACGAATTCGCATGATAACAGCAGCAAAACGTTTTGGATTATATTCAGCATTTCTTGCATGTAATGCTATTCGTTTAAGATCTAATTTACAGCCTAAATCAACCGTTGACACAATGTTCTGCAATTGTGGAACTATTTGAGAATCGACCGACATTGGAGTTATCGGTGTACGAGGAGTCATCGGTCCTGGATAACTTTGAAACAGATTCGACGATGGAGTTGCCGGTTCATCTTTGGCTGGGGTTGATACAGTATTATTTTGATTGTTATTTTGTTTAGATTTTTCCGATGAAACATTCGTTTCATTTGTGAGATCTGTGGATGAGGGAGGGGGAGAAGAGGTAGCATTTTGATTGTCATTATTTTGTTGTTGTTTTGATGGTGGTGAATGTTGTTGTTGACTTGGTGTCGACGGTGGTTGTACAGTACTATCATGATGCGGTGTTGGCATTGGAGATGGTTGGGCCAATTGACTTTGTAAAAAAGCCAAATGCTGTGCTTCTGGATCAATTTCATTCTGTGAACCAGAAATACTTGGAATATTACTGTAAGAATTTTGTTCCATGATGATTTTTGCACATCTAATTTATATCGGCTGATGAAAAAAAATTAATAAAAGCGGCAACTATTAATTAAATTTGAAATTTTTTTTTTGAAAAATTGGACAAATTCGAGTTGAAATAACACACACAATGTTGAATTATTGTCGGCTATTTCGAGTCCCCGAGTTGTCAATGGTTAAAATAGATGGATAAAATTTTGAATTTTTTTTTTGTAAAAGAACTTTATTTTTTGTTATTATAAAAAACCAGTCATTTAATTCATAAACATTGAAATACTGTTTTACAGATTTCTTTATATAGACGGATTAATTGAATAATAATATTATGCAAAAAAGAAAAGAATTCAGAAAAGCCAAAAATGATTTTTTTTTTGTTGTAGTTTTAGAGTTTTGGGCAATTAAAAGATTAATTAAGGTTGCACATTGAAAATTCGATTTGAAAATTTGCTTGATTAAACCGGATTTAAGGAGGATTCTATTTGTGAATCATTAAAATTGTTAGTTTTGCTGTCAACTGATGTTTGACTATTCGAATGGCGCAACTTTGTAAGTTTATTTCGGCTTCTATTCAAGATTGCGACATTGCTGAAACGAAATCCTTTATTTCCATCATTATTCAACACAGAAGGATTTTTCACCTTTTTTTGATTCCAAGTTGTAATTGTTGTTGCTGCTGTGGTTGTTATTGATGACGATTGGCCAGAAAGATTTATATTCTGTACAATTGTTGGAACAGGACTTGATTGACTTAGTTTAGTAATACAAGCTGTTGATAATGATTGCATGCCGATTTTATGTTGTTGTCCAATTATTCCATTCGAAATCAATGGTGCAAATGCGTTTTCAGCTAAACTTCCATCCGATCGGGTATAAATACTTGATGATGATGACGAGGATGATGGTGCTGCTGATGATAATGAAGGATTATGATTCGACGATGAAGACAATTGAGCCTTCAAAATTGAGGTAGCTGATGTTGATGTTGATAGATTATTTGCTAATGAAGATATGTTTGTATTAGCGATAGTATTAGGAGAAGTGACAATAGAAGATATTGTAGCAAAAATTTGCTTTGGATCAAAATTTTTGGCTAATTGTGAAGATGGTGATTGCGATTTATCATGATCAATATTGTTGTTATCAATATTTGAATCGCTTGGATTGTTAATTGTAGTAGGTGGAAACATCAATGAAATTGGTAGATGAATTTTAGCTTGAGAATCTTTTGATTGATTTTGAGCAGTGTTTGAAGAAGTTGATTGCGGATTAATGAAGAATAATATTTTGTTCGATTGTAATGCCGGTAATTTGCTGACATTCGATGGATCTTTGGAATTTTCTATCTGCTGTTGTTGTGTAGGAATAAAACCCTGTTGAATTAATGATGACAATGGCATTGTGACTGATTTCGGCATATTGGAATTAGTTGATATCCACGGTAATGATGACATTTTCATTGAATTCGAAAGGATTGGCGGCGAATCAAAGTTAAGTAATTTTGATGATTTTTTATCCAAGTTTATTGATGTTTGCTGTTTGTTGGCACTATCATTTCGTACACTGGGTTTGTTACGATTTGCATTATGTGATAATTCAAAACTTTGTTCACGTTTGTTGATGTTGTTATCAGGTGTTTTTGATAAACCTTTGTTAATTTGGCGATCCCCTTTGGTTTCTGCTTTTTTACAATGATCATCATATACCAATTGACTAAACATAATGGTAGCTAAAAAGAAAAAATAATTTGCTCAATTATATAATGATAAAATATTGATTTAAAAACTTACATCGCATAATTTTGCCAAAACTTTCATCAAGGTTACCATTATTATCATTGATAATGGTAGCCAAAAGACAATGAGTTTTAAAATTTTCATCCAGATTAAAGCCACTTTTCATAAGTCGAACTGAAAGATTTTTAATTTTGTCGGGAATTGATATTGTTTCATCATCATTTGATGGATCAGCACGTACTTCAACTCCTAATAAAAAAAATCTATAATATAATTAACATTTTTTAGCAAAGAAAAAAAATTACCAGTATCATCAAAACATGATTCTGAATTATCACTGATATATGGTATATTAAATGATTCATATGGTTCATCATCAAATACAGCAACCATATTATCACTGCTGTTTGTAGCTGAATCTATATTCGAAGATTTGGCATTGGAAATATTTGAATCATTCGATACATTTTGTGGCGGTTGTTGAGATGGATCTTGTACAATTTCAATATATGTTTCCAAACGATTTGAAATTCGATTGATTGCTGGATCGGTTGATGTTAATGAAGAAGGATTTGTGTCGATATTGTTGTCGACAACTGGTGGACCACCACCATCATCACCACTAGTGGTCGCTGATTGATTGAAATCATTTGAAATACCTTGATCATTTAATAATGATGGTAATGATTTCATTCGTTTTTTTCGTGAACCGCCATTAATGAGATCTAATTATTTTTGTTTTAGAAATAAAATTATACAATTAAAAGTTATAATAGTTTTTGAAAAATGAAAAATCAATTACCATCACGATTATTTCGTGTTTGTGAATGAAAATTTGTTCGATCTTCAAAATCTTGTTGACGACGTAGTGCAATCTGTGCAGCCATAATTTTTTGTCGTTCACTAATTAGAATACATTTTTTACAAGAACAATCACGATATGGACATGTACGTTTATGACCTTTGAGCGAATTGAACACACCATGATTACGACAACGTGAACATTTAGGTATTTTAAGCAATAAATTTTCATTATTTGATTGATCAGAATTAATTAAATCATCCGAAATGTTTAATTTTTCTTGATTATCTTCCATTTTTTTTTATAAAAATCTAATCAACCATTTCGGGTTATAATTTTTGAGTGAAAAAAAAAGTTTTCGTCAATATTTATAAGAAGTGTTGATTCTTTTTTTTCTGTTAAGTAGAGTATTTTTTTTTTTTGTTGACCCGTTTTAATTTTACATACGAAAAAAAATTTAAAAAAAATTCAAAAATTTGATGAAAAAAAGAATATTTGAGAGAGGTAGATAATTCGGTTTCTTCGAACTGGAAAAAATTTCTAAAAAAATTGTTCGATTGTTCCGGTTTCGAATGTTTTTGTTTTTATTTCATTCAGTGTAAATATTTTCATGTAAAAAAAAATTTTAACCCGTAGTTTCATTTAAAGATTATATTTTTATATAAGTTTCATTGTTTCGAAATAATTTAATACAGTAAAAAAAATTCTGGTTTTGTTTTTGGTGAGAAAAAAAACCAAACACATCGCGTATTTCATTTGTGTGGCCAAAAAAAGCTGTATGTAAAATACAAATAAAAAGTTAAAAAGTTGAAAATTTCGAAATGTTTAATTCATCTTTTTTTCTTTTAAAACCAAAGAATATTTTACATCACACACAAGTATTCGTTGGTTGGCAAAGAAAAAAAACAATAACATTTCGAAATTGGAATTCTTTTTGTTTCTTGAATAACCTACCTGTTTTTTGTTTGTTTGTTCAAACAAATTCAATCAGTAAGTAGTAATCAATGGCCATCATCATCACAGGGGGGGGAAAGAAGAAGAAAATCGAAAATGAAAAAAAAGAAAATTCAATTTTTTTTTGAGGAATTAACGCTCGCTCCGTAAATTCGCTCTCACTTCGTTTAATTTCAACAATGTTTTTGAGCATTTACTTTTTTGTTCCAATAAAAAGAAAATATAACCACCATCACACCAACCGAACATCAACCAAATCAAGACACCAAAAAACAAAATTATTATTTTTTTTTTATTACCGCTTTGAACAAAAAGCGAAAAAAATAGCCAAATGAAAAACAAAAAAAAAACAAAAAGAAAATGCTACACTTGGTAAAATAGTGGTTAATGCTATATAGAATTTTTTTTTTTTTTAATGTTTTCGAAATGCGCAGTATCATTTTAGTATCATTTTTTTTGTATGCGCAGATCGAATATTTATTTGTTGTTGTTATATGTATCCGTCGAAGGCCGTCCAGTTTCATTCATTTTTTTTGTTTTTTGTTTGGTAAGAATTATTTTTGATTTGACAAGATTTTGCCACATTTTTTTTGAAGAAAAAAACAAATAATCATCACTTTGATAATAAATTTTTTTTTTGAGGGTAAATAATCTTTTTTTTTTGTTTCATGTCTAGACCACACCACACCAAAATAATCTTACATTTTGTTTTATTTCTGGAAATCAAGTTATCATCATCATCATCATTGAATCAATGATGGCGTTGTGGATAGACAAAGCAACAAAAAAAATGTAGCAGGCTATAACAAACCAAAAAAAAAAAAACACCAATGCAGGAGTATAGCTATAGCTACAATTTTGTTTTTATATATATCTTTTTCTTTCTTCAGTAAATGGCCTTGTGCGCGCGTATACAAAATAATGGAGAAAAAAAAAACTTTGCTACAAATGCAATGGTTGTTGTTGAGTGTATAGAGGAGGAGAGACATTCATTTATAAAAATAGAATTTGAACAGGATGAATGTATTTTATTATCGAACCCTCAGAGTTGGTTGTCGAGAATAAAATTCTTTAGAAAAATTTTTTGGTAATCAAGTTCATCACCCAAGCAAACAAACCAACCAACCAGACATTATGATGTAATGAAAATAAGCATAGGGTAGACGATTGTGCCCTTGAAAAAAAAATATATATCCCTATGACGAAAGAAAAAGGGTATTACCAAAAACAAAAAAAAAATCGAAAAAGTAAATAATCGAATTTTGTTTGCTTATATACAAACAAACAAGCAACATCTATTGCTGCTGTCATATTTATAAAAGACCAAAAAATTTTGGTCTAGACATGAATACATTATATGGAAATGATGATTATAATGATAATGGTAGCCATTAGGATTCAACATTTATTATCATAATAACAATTTATATAACCAAAAACGATTATGGATCAAAAAAAAAGAAAGAAAGTGATAAAACCAAAATAACAGTGTAGAAAATTTTTAGAACATTGAAAATCGAACAAAGACATAAGTTCGAAAATTCGAACTCAATTTTTTTTTTGATGTTCGGCTTCTTTACAGGCGACAAACTCTATTTCATTGTGCATTGTCGTGTTCTATACATCAAGCTGTACATTCATATCATCTGATAGTGATAATCTTCTGATTTGCCTTGCTATCTTAATTATTGATGTTTGCTCATCGGAAATCCTTGTTTCGTGAACGAAATATGTCATTGGCTATAGAATCCAATGATATGTCAATGTTATAGCAAATCCATAGACAAGTACCATGGTTTTGGAAAAATTTTAGAAAATTCAACATTTCGAATATCGATAAGTCACGGATCTTTTTTTTTGCAAATCAAAATTAATCATACAAGACATGAATTCATTCTATAATTCCTTATGGACTCAAAAACATACAATTGAAACGCCTTGGGTATTGATGCAAAAAGACTATGGGTAGATGTATTCAACTTTTTTAGAGAAATTTGTCAAAAACTATTTTGTATTAAATCCAATCAAGTTTGAAGGTGAAAAAAAAGAATTTTACAAGTTGACGAAAGCTGCTTTTCGTCCTAAACACCATCGTGGACTTAGTGCCAAAACAAGTATGGGTATTTGGAATTATCGACACCATACCAAACCCGGTTTAGGTTACATGGAAATAGTAGAGAAAAGAGACTCAAAAACCCTATTGTCCACTTTTTATTTTTTTGAAAAATAGCGAAACCAGGGTCAATAATTCATTCTGATCAATGGAAGTCGCATTTTTTTTGCAACATAAAATAATAAAAATCTACTTTTTTTTAATTAATTATTTGAAACAATTATAACTCTGCCTTGAATAAAGTATCTTGTTTTTTTTTTGTTTTGAAACAATTCAATTTCCCAACAAAATATAACATTCAAAATTGCCATTGTTTGGCCACGCGTTTGTAATTATAATGTATTTTTAAACATAATCATGTTTATACATTGCAAGTATTATGAATATATTTTTTGCTGACTTCATTGTCAAATGGTAAAAGAGTTTCTTTGTTTTGAAAAATTTTTTTGAAAAAAATTTCCACATTTGCAAACGGCAACTTTTTTAAAAAAATTTTTGACATTTTTTTTCTTTTATTACTAAAAGACTGATTTTTTTTTTGAAACATGGCCAATACTAATAGCGGTTCTGATCAATGGTGTTTGATTGAATCGGATCCAGGTGTATTTACCGAATTGATTCGTGGTTTCGGTGTTGATGGACTACAGGTTGAAGAACTTTATTCATTAATGCCTGAATGTTTTGAAAATCTTAAACCAGTACATGGTCTAATTTTTCTATTCAAATGGGTACCGGATGATTATTCGGATGGTAAATTACTTCAAGATTATCGATTAATGAATGAAATTTTTTTTGCCAAACAAGTTATTCATAATGCTTGTGCTACACAAGCATTGATCAATATATTGATGAATTGTAAACATTCGGATCTGAATCTTGGTTCAACATTGAGCGAATTTCGTGAATTCACTAAATCATTTGATGCATCAATGAAAGGTCTTTCGTTGAGCAATTCCGAATTGATTCGTAAAGTTCATAATTCTTTTTCTCGACAACAAATATTTGAATTTGATAATTTAAGCGGAAAAAAAGAAAAAGAAGATGTATTTCATTTTATCGGTTATATACCATATGGTGGTCGTTTAATCGAATTGGATGGCTTAAAAGAAGGCCCGTATGATTTAGGACCGATTGGTGATAATGAAGATTGGGTAGCCATTGCTCGACCACATATTGAAAAACGAATGCAAAAATATTCAACCGGCGAAATACATTTCAATCTGATGGCCGTTGTTAGTGATCGAAAAATGCTTTATGAAAAACAAATTGTCGATTTGGAAAAACAAACAAACATTGATGATGGTGAAAAACGAGCCAAAATTGAAAATCTTAAATATCTAATCAAACAAGAAATGGATAAAATGGAACGTTATAAGGTAAGGATTTTATTTGAGAATTAAAAAAAAAACTAAATTAATCAATCAATTTTTTTCAACAAAAAAAACAAGCTTGAAAACATTCGCCGTAAACATAATTATCTTCCATTGATAATTGAAATACTTAAACAATTAGCTAAGGATGGTCGATTGATTGAATTGTATGAAAAAGCTAAACAACGTGCTCAACAACATAAACAAAAACAAGAAAAATTGAAAGCCAAAACTGAAAAAGTTAAATGAAAAAAACTTTTTTTTTTATTCAGGAAAAATTTAACAAAAATAAAACCTCTATGGATTATTTTCATTAATAAATTTTCGTAACATTTGAATTGTTGATAAAAGTTGTTGACAATTTTCTTTAGCTTCATGATCATTAATGATTTTTGTTTTATCCAATTGTTGTTGTTTTTGTTGTTTAAACCAATTCAACAATGATTTAATACGACATTCTAGCTCGAATTGTTGTGAATGTTGATATGCACGACGTATAATTTCCATTGGTATACCGGCCAATTTAGCTACATTGAATCCAAAACTTTTATTACAAACACCTTGTCGTAATTTATATAGGAAAACAATATTTTCATCCGTTGGATCTTTATCATTTTCATTTTCAATCATATATGACATATAACCAAGTTTAATATTAGCTTTACCATTCAATTCACCAAGAATCGAATGATAATGTGTTGAAAATAATGTTCGACATTTTATCGATTCAGAAAGATTAAAAATAATTGCCGATGCTATAGCTGTACCATCAAATGTTGATGTACCACTACCAAGTTCATCAATCAATGCTAATGATAATTTTGTTGCATATTTTATTATCGATAATGCTTCACTTAATTCGACCATAAATGTACTTTCATTTTCCAATACAATATCATATGCACCGATACGTGTAAATATTCGATCTACAGGTGTTAATTGACATTTACTTGCCGGTACATAGGAACCAATTTGTGCCAATATAACCAATAAACCAATCGAACGCATCAGTGTAGTTTTACCACCCATATTTGGTCCAGTTAAAATTAATGTTTCATTTGTTAATTCAATATCATTTGGTATAACAGTATTATTGATCAATAGGAAAGCATTACGTAAATCTTTTGCCAGAATAATCGATTGATCCGGATGATGATTCCATAAAAATTCCGGTAAACAAGAATTCGATCCATTTGATTCAAATAATTGACGTGTATTCGATAATGATAATAATGCATCAAATTTTCCAATCAATAATGTTGCCTGGCGCCAAATTTTATAATCTTGATCAAATCTTGCTAAAAGACGACGATATATATCACCTAAAAGTATTTGTTTATCATTTTCAGCTTGTTCCAATTGTTCAATTAATTCGATTAATTTTTTCGTATAATAACGTTTATAACCTTTACGTGAACCTTTTAATTCATAATTTTCTTGATATTTTGAAATTTTTGCTGCATGTGAATCAGGTATTTCTAAAAGATAACGATTTTTTAATGCATTCACATAGGTAATACGTGTTTTGAACAATAATTTTTGTTCATTAAGATAATCATCAAATTTTTTTTCAATATCGACAATTGCTTTACAGGCTTGATCATAATCATCATCAATACCATTGTCTGGTATGAAATGACCATCTTTACGTACTTTTTCTTCATCAAATGATTGACGAAAAAATTTTATTTTATCATCGATTCGAGGAAACAATCCACCATCATCTTCATATGTAAACAATTGTTGAATATATTTCGAATTGAATGAATTTAATTTCGATTGAATTGAATGAACAATTTTTGAAATCTGATCAAAACCAGCAATTGTATCCAGAAATGTTTTAATTCTTCGCAAACGATATATATTCGATTCGAATAATATTGCACGTGAATCTGGATGATCTTTCGAACGTTTCAATAATGACTGTGAATGAATCTGTGTTAATAAACGATCAAGATCGGGAATCTTTTTCAACATTTCTTTCCATTGTTGATGACAGCTAACAATATCAATATTTTCGGCCAAATCTTGTACCGCTTCACGTCGCATTTCTAATTCTTCACGTAATCCACATAATGGTTGACATATCCAACTACGTAATATTCGTTTACCGAATGTCGTTCGACAATGATCAATAATTTTAAACAAAGTTGATGTTTTACTTTTATTATTATTCTGATTATCGGTTAATGAATCAAAAATTTCTAAATTTTTCATTGTCATCGAATCCATAATCATATGATCAGGTAATTTTGTAATCAAAGAATCAAATTCTGGTGGATTATAAATTTCAAATTGTCCCATTGACATAATATCTTCAATTATTAATGATTTTTTTAAATAATCAATTATAGCACCCATCGACATGATAGCCAATTCAAATTCTTGCCGTGCAGTTTGTTGTATCACATCGGATGGATCAAGAATTTGATCAAGAAAATCTTTCGAAATATTTTTTGACCATAAATTTTTTTCATAAACAAATTTCAATATTTGACTAGACGATTCAAATCGTTTCATTTTTTGAACACGTGCACAAGGACAAATTGCATCAATCAATTTCGAATGTTGATTAGATTTTTCAATAATAATTTCTACTGGTGAATAATGTGATATTAATGTACGAAATTTTGAATTATGACGATCATCATAAAATTGTGAAAGAATAAAATTTCCAACCGATACATCAACCAAACAAATGCCAAAATTGAAAAAAGATTTTTTATATTCTTTACATGTAAAAGCCATTAAATATGAAGTATTATCCAAAAATGTATCAGCATCAATATCGGACATATAACGAGTACCGATTGTTGATATACGACAAATTTCACGTTTAACAACTTTATCAAATTTTGTCGAACGTTTCATTTGTTTACAACGTTCCAACATCATTTCAGGTGTTTCGGTTTGTTCAATTCGGGCAACTTTATATCCTTTCTGTACTAAAGCATCGGCATATTGTTTATAGGATTTTTCTGGAAATCCAGCATGTGCATAATTACCACGCATAAATAATATTTTCAATTCTTTTGCACATATAACAGCATCCATATGAAAAAATTCATAAAATTTTCCCATTTTAAAGAATAGGATTGTATCATAATTTTGTGATTTTAATTCCCACCATTGACGCATTGCTGGTGTTTGTTGTTCCAAAAAATCGCTCGGTATAAACAATGTTGATTGATCATAATCATTATTTAATTCACCATTCATTAGTAACATTCGATTACCATTTAAATCTTTTATATAATTTGGTTGTAAAAATTTATATGAAAGATGTGGCCATTGTGTATCGATCGCTTGTTCCGATGTAGTTGGTTTATGTACATTTGATGATGATGTGGAAAAATTGTTTTTTGATGTTTTTTTAAAAACATTTTCATTATTTAAAATAGCATATTCATTATTTGATTTTTCATCATCATCATCATCATCATTTTTATTATCGGTTTGATGATGAACGGATGGATCAATTTTTATGAATTTAAAATCAATACTTTTATCTTCATTCATTTTTAATTCGGTTTTCAAATCATCATCATCTTCAATTTTTACCATTATCTTTTTGGAATTTTTTTTCGATTTCTTCGAAATTGTTGTTGGTGGTGTTTTATCATCTTCACTGTCGTCTTCTTCATAATTCGAATCATCTTTTTCGGAAATAAGCAAATCATCAACATCAATATCTGATAGATCTGAAGATACTTCTTCTTCTTCGGGTTGATAATCATCTTCATCATCTTTGCCTACATTTTCCTCGTCATCTTCATCGGAGCTAACAAAAATTCGTTTGAATCGTTTATTTTTTCGTTGTCGCATCGAACTATCATTTGATTTGCCTATTATATCATCATCATTATCACCACCATTATCTGATTCAGTTTTTCGTTTGGATGGTGTTTCTTTTTCCAAATATTGATCATTGTCAGATTTATTTGATTGATCAGAAAGTTTAATACGTTTATCGGATGAATCGGGTGTTTTTAATGAATCTTTTAATTGTGTTTGGGGTAGTTTAGTTGATGAATCATTTTTCTCTGTAGATTTTGGTGTTGTACGAACAAAATAATTCAATAATGTATTATTTTGTTTAGGTGTTTGACAACCACGAGCCGGTGATTTTTTCATTTTTCAAAACAAAAAACAAAACAAACAAAATTAAAATCAACTCAAACAATGAAAACAAGTGAAAATGAAATCTTTTGAGTTTCAAACAAAATCTGCCGATGAGAATAGTGTTCGCAAAAAAAAAGTGGCGCGCAGCTCTTTATTGATTATTTGTCAAATAACTAAATAGATGGCATTACTTGGTATCGTTTTGAAATTGAATTTTTTAAAGAAAAAAAATTTTCCAACAATTTAACCAAAATGCCAAAGAAAATTTCCCGTAAACAAAATTACCATTTCCTCTCAAATATTTTGTTATCTTTCTTTCGTTTTTGGTGCGGTAAAAACCACAAACCAACAAAAAATTTCCCGTTATTCTCAACAACAATATTTGAAAATTTTTAATTCAAAAATTTTTTTTTCGAAAACGAGAGAGAAAAAAACAAAGAGAAATTTGCATGACTTTTAAAGAATTTGTTTTGTTTGTTTTTTTTAATGATATTAATTATAAAGAGGAAAAAAAATCGTATAAATCAATTTTTTACGTTGAATTTCAATTCAATACCGGAACAAAACGAAAAAATAACATCCTTTTTCCGGTGACAATTATATGATTATAATCAAAAAATTTTCATCGGTTAGATTTAGCTACACGTTCCAATTCATCTTTTTTCTTAATGGCATAACTGTTGGAAGAACCCTATACGTTTTTGAAAAAAATTGAATTAAATTAGTTTCATTTTTTGGATTAGAATTTAAAAAAAATTACCTTAGCCGCATTGATCAATTCATCGGCCAAACATTCAGCAATGGTTTTGATGTTACGGAAAGCAGCTTCCCGTGTTCCGGTACAAAGTAGCCAGATAGCTTGATTCACACGTCGAAGTGGTGAAACATCGACTGCTTGTCGACGAACAGTACCAGCACGACCGATACGAGTAGAATCTTCACGTGGTCCTGAATTGATTATTGCATTAACAAGAATTTGCAATGGATTTTCACCAGTCAGGAGATGTATAATTTCGAAAGCATGTTTAACAATACGAACAGCCATTAGTTTTTTTCCATTATTACGGCCATGCATCATCATTGAATTTGTCAAACGTTCAACAATTGGACATTGAGCCTTACGAAATCGTTTCGATGCATATCTACCAGCCGAATGTGGCAAGAATCGAGCATATTTTTCTTTTACTGCTATATAATCCTATATGTAATAATGATGCAATCATTAGATTAGTTTTTTAGATGAAATTAAAATCTTTGGAAACATTACCGTCAATGAAATGTCAGAGACTTGAACATCGCTGGTTGACCAGCGCCCGAATAATTTGATTTCAATCATATCAGGCTCAGCGCTGACAAGTGGGGCATCAGTAAAATCTTCGCTCATTTTGTATGGATGTATAAAAATTCTGCACAAGTATCAATTCAGAAGAAAGAGACAGGAAAAGAATTCAAATTTTGTTTGAAGAACAAAAAAATGTATTCGAATCGAATAGAATTTGAAATAATTCAAATAATGACTTGAAATAAAATAAAGATGGAAACAGTTTTTTCGATTCGTAAATTTAACCAGAGAAGAAAACAATATTGTTCCAAGGAAATTCTGAATCCAAATGATGATTTTTTTTTTACAAAAACATACTTTTTTGGATTCGAAGACCACCAAACAAAATTTTAGCAGGCAAACAGAGTGTGTGTTTGTGTGCGAGGAAAAGGATGTGCTGCCACAAAGAGCAAAATGCATGTAAAAAAGCTAAACATGCGCAAATCGAAAAAAATGCACGTCTGTTGCTGTTGATTTTTTTGGATTCATTCATAAACGATAGGATTTTTTTTTCAAAAATTTATTCATTTTTTTTTAAATTTAAAATTTATTTTTCAAATTGTTTGTTTAATCATTTCTTCTAATTTCGGTAGTTTAGATATATCCAATATACGAGCACGAAATCTACCTTGTGAAATAGATCCTTTTGCACCGAATGAATCAATTGCACTATCCGAAAATTTGAGAAAAAATCAATCATTTGAATCAATATTTTTTTGTTTTAAATAAAAGAAACATACATTTTAGCACTTTTTTCAACCAATTGTTGATCACCAGCAATAACAATTTGACCAGGACTTTTTAATGAATTACAATCATCAGCAAGTGAAATTAGTATTAATCGATTATCAATCAATGATGATGATGGATTGTCAATTTGATTGAAAAAACTTGTTATAAAATCATATTCACTTTCTTTTCGATGTATAGAATAAAGTTTGGGTTTATCCACTAATCGAATATATTTTTCAGCTTCACATCGTGCTAAATCTCGCATTGCCGATGTACAATTCTATTGAATGAATTAGTTCATAAGTAAAACAAATAACAAAAACTCGAATATAACAGTTTATACCTTTTGTAAACGGCGAACATTTTTCTGCAATTTATCCACAATCGGTACAAATTCTTCGCCTGTACATCTGATTGTAAACGAAAATAAAATTTTGATTGAAAAAACAACAAGCAGAATACTAATCTTACTTTAACAATGATGACAATGATTTTTCACGTTGCAGTAAATTGTTCATATGTTTAAGTACACGATTACCGGAGTGAAAAAACAGTAATGTTTTTCCTTTTTTACCTTTTTGAATACCTAATAATTTGATTATTTGTAGTTGACATAAATTGGATACATGAGTACCACAACAAGGATTTTTATCCAATGATTCAATTGAAATAATACGTAATGATTGTTGATTCAAATCATCGGGTAATTCCATTTGTTGCCTGATGTCTGCTAAATCATCTTTATCACGATAAGATACTGTTATCGGTAGATTTTCACGAATTTTTTCATTAACTTTTTGTTCTAATTGTTCGATTGTTTCATCTGAAATTTGTGCCGTATCAAGTTCAATATTCGAAACATCAGCACCAAGATTCCATGATGTTGTAAGTAGATTAAAATATTTCAATGCTACAGCTGTGATTAAATGTTGACCGGAATGTTGTTGCATATGATCAAAACGACGATTCCAATCAATTTTTTGTAATGGTTGTTGACCACAATCAAATAATCGACAATGATCATCACCACTTTCAACAAACAATATGGCTTTATTACCATCACGACGAACATTGATAACTTTTTGATCATCCAATAAACCGGTATCGTATGGCTATAATTAGATAAAAATTTATTTGATTTGATTAATAAAACATTAGAAAAATTTCGAAAACAACAAACCTGTCCACCACCTTCAGGAAAGAAAATACTATCTTCTAATACAACATCGAATCCTTGATATTGTTTACCATTCAAATTCAAACTAGATGATTGACATGACAGTACTGGACTTTTATACTCTTGTAGAAAGCTATTTTTCTGACACATCAAAGACATGTTTGTTTTTGTTTTTTGTTTTTAATTTGAAAAAACTCAAAACCAAAATTTTTTTTTTCAAAACCCAAACATGTGGCCCAATTTTAACGAATAATAAAAAACTTACAGACGTACTTTATGGATGTAAATTTAAGTACATCGAACACAAACAAATAAATCTTATCGCGGCTGTTCGATTTTCTCTTTTTGTTATCAATCCAAAAACGCAAAAACAATAAAATTTATCTTCGAAAAGAAAAATGTTGATTTTGAAGAATTTTTAATTACAAAATTTTTCCCCATCGCGATTATAAAATTTTGAAAAAAAGAATATGTTCAAATCAATTCGATTGTTGTCATTTGATATAACCAAAACATTAATTACAACAAGTAATGAAATTGGTGCAGAATTTATGAAAATTGCTTCGAAATATGGTTTATCACCCAAATGTGATGATACTGTTTCTCGATTAAATGAATCATTTAATAAAAATTTTAAACATCTTAATAAACAATTACCGAATTTCGGATTGAAAGCTAATATGACATCCGAAGAATGGTGGACACGTTTGATTCAATTATCATTCGCTGATATTGGTTACAATGAAACAAGTGATCAACAAAAATTACAACAAGCATCACAACAATTGTATAAATATTTTTCACGTGGAAATTTATGGCATTTAAATCCAGATGCACGTGAATTATTATCCGAGCTTCGAAAACAAAAACCCGAAATAACATTAGCTGTTGCATCAAATTTTGATGAACGTTTAGAAACAATACTTCGTGATCTTGATATAAGACATTTTTTTAATTTTATGTTCGTATCAAGACAATGTGGTTTAGCAAAACCTGATCAAGAATTTTTTCGTCATATACTCAAAACAGTTGAAGTTCGACCAAATGAATATCTACATATTGGTGATGATGTTGAAAATGATTATTTTCCAGTGAAAAAAATTCAAGGAAATGCATTGATAATGGATCCAACAATGGAAACATCAGAAATTAATGGCGTTGATCCAAATGATGTTGTGCCTAATTTAAAATATTTTCAAAAATTAATATTGAATTCAGAAAATGATGATGCGGTGAAAAAATGATGATTTGTCAATTTTATAAAACCGACTATATTTGTTTGTATGATTTTCTTTTGTTGTCGTTATAAGTTTTTTTTTATAAAAAAAAATCATTCATTTCAATTTTTTTTTGAAATAAAAAAAAATTATTAAATTAAATTGTTTTACTTTCTAATCGCTAGATGACACTAGTTGTCAATGAGTTTTACTATTTTGATAAAATGGTGCTGTTTATACCCAACAAGGTAGAAACAAAAAAAAACTCATTCGATATTTTTCAATTTGATCAATTTTTTTTTGTTGTTTGTGTTTCCAATTTGAAAAAAAGAATCCAAAAAGAAATTTCAAAAACAAAAAATTCAGATAATAATGGATCTTACCAACACCAAAGCAGCATTAAATCTTTGGTGTAGTAAGAAAAAACTGAAAATTGATTATGATATCAAAGTTGACAATGTTGCCAACAATCAACATACTTTTCATTGCGATGTATGTGTGATGATTGTTGTTTACGATTGTCTTATTAATTTACCAATTTTTTTTAATTGTAAACAGAGTTATTAATCTGATATAATCTTTCTTTTTTTTTAAATTTAAATAGATAAAAATCGAAACAATCAATCAGATTGTTGGAAGTGGAGATGGAAATAATAAAAAAACTGCTTCAAATACAGCTGCATTAGATGCATTAAAATATCTGGTTGCACAAAAATATATTACCAAAAATGAATTGTCACAACAATGTTTTGAAATATTGAATATTAAACAACTTTTATTCAATGATTCATCGGACAAATCGATGGTTGTTGACAACAATCAAAATCAACAACAACGTTCAAGTAATAATAAAGCTAATAATGATAAAAAACAACAACAAATTAAGAACAATTCGGAACAATCATTTCGTAATAATAATCGAAAAAATGATAGAAATCGCAATCAATCTCATCCGCATCGTGCCCCTCGACATCCGGATTATTTTAATGGCCCTCCATCATATGCCGAACATCAAATGGACCATTTTGATGGTCCACCACAAGGTGATCATTTTAATGTTCCACCACCTGTTCATTATAATGGCCCACCACCTGAACATTTTGATTGTCGATTTGATGGTCCACCACCATTTCATTATAATGGTCCACCACCTGAACATTTTGATTGTCGATTTGAAGGTCCACCACCGAATCATTTTGCTGGTCCACCACCTGAACATTTTGATTGTCGATTTGATGGTCCGCCACCACCGGGACCTTATGATTACCAGCAACCGTTTCCTCATCCATCCGAAAATCGTTGGCCTCATCTAAATGGACCGCCACCTCCACCATTGCCTCATGGTCATACGAATAGGCCACGATTTGATAATCATTTTCCACCTTTTGAACCATATCAACGTGGGCCACCGCCGAATCGTTTTCATCGTGAACCACGGATGCAAAAATCACATAATCCATATGCATACAGAAATTTGGATCAGCAAAGAAATCGTAAATTTGCCCGTCCAGAAACAATGAACGAAGTTAATGAACTTAGAATGGGAAATTTAGAAATCAATGATGAATATGAAAAAAAATCTAATGATCGAAACAGTGAAGAATCATTGATAAACATGGTGACTGATGCAAAAAAACGTAAATCAGATCCAGATTCGGCAAGAAATCGAATCGAACTGATCAATGAAGAATGTAAATTCAATCTAGATAATTCCAAACAACAGTTGAATATATTTTTTCAGATCAATCGAATCAAAGCGGATTATGAATTTAGTTCTTTTGGACCACCGCATTTAAAGTATGTTTGTTTGTTTGTTTTTAAATCATCAATTTATATTCATTATTTTTTCTCTATATACAGAACATATGTGGCAAAATTGAAATTTTTTGTCTATAGAAATAAGAAAGGTGAGCAAATGGTGATTTTGAAAGAAAAAAAAATTCATTTTTCTATTTTTCGATTTACACAGAATATAAGGCTGAAGAAAAAGGAAATTCCAAACAAGATGCATCTCGTCATTGTGCATTGAATATTTTACATAAACTTTATAAAGATAATCTTATTGGTAGTTTTGATTCGGAAGCTCTATCCAAACGACAGCTAATGAAAATGGTTTGTTTTACATGTAATGATTATGTATGTTTTTTTTAAATTTGTTTTAAATTTCATTATTTTATAGTCATTGATCTATGTATTGAACATAAAACCCGAATTAAAAGAACATTTGGGACAAGCTTTTGCTTATATTCAAAGCTATAATCATTATGCACAACAATTACAGCTTATTAATCCAACATTGAATACAGAAGAAGAACCAATAAAACCTGAAAATAGTTTTCTTTATTGGTGTCCACCAATGGAAAATTTTAATCCATGGACAAATTCGAATCTGGATGATACATCGTATGCTGGAAAAACTAAACAACAGATCAATATTGAATTACAGAATGAATTTCAGATAATGATTAAATCAACAAAATTTCAAAATGTTCTTGGTTCACGAATGAAATTACCGATTTGGGAACATAAAGAAAAAGTCATTCATATGATTGAAAATAATCCGGTTGTTATTATAAAAGGATCTACTGGTTGTGGTAAAACAACACAAGTTTCACAATTTATACTTGATTCATATATCAAAGCGGCTAATGGTGCTAATTGTAATATTATTGTTACACAACCACGAAGAATTAGTGCCATTTCAATAGCTGAACGTGTATCATTTGAACGTGGTGAAGAATTAAGAGAGGGAAAAAATTCCGTTGGCTATGCTGTTCGATTTGATCATGTTTATCCACGGCCATATGGTTCGATATTATTCTGTACTACTGGACATCTTTTACGACGAATACAAGGTGGCCTAAAAGGTGTTTCACATTTGATCATCGATGAAGTTCATGAACGTGATATAAACACTGATCTATTATTGATTATAGTACGTGATCTTATCAAATTGGATCTAAATATTCATGTTATCATAATGAGCGCTACATTAGGTGTATCACATTTTCAAAATTATTTTAATTGTCATAATGTTTTGGAGATTGATAGCCATATTTTTCCAGTTCGTCGATATTATCTTGAAGATACTGTCGAAATGATTAAATGGCGACCAAAATCACTTTCATACATGGAAGATGATGTTGAAATTACTGAAGAGATTGAAAATTCTGGACAATTTGAATATCCGGAAAAAATTTCACAGAATACGATCAATTTATTAAATGAATTGAAAGAAGGTGTAATATGTTTTGAATTAATTGTTGCATTACTTGAATATATTAATTCATTAACAATAACCGGATCGGTATTGATATTTTTACCCGGATGGAATTCTATATTCAATCTATTGAATTATCTACAACGGCATCCTATTTTTGGAAATGAAAACAAATTCATATTGTTACCATTACATTCACAATTATCACATAAAGATAATAATCGAATATTTTTACATTCAATACAGCGGAAAATAATTTTATCAACAAATATTGCCGAAACTAGTATAACGATTGATGATGTTGTATTTGTTGTCGATACTTGTTTAATGAAACGTAAAATCTATGATTCACGAACAAATTGTACAAGTTATATAATTGATTGGGTATCACAAAGTAATATACAACAAAGGCAAGGACGTGCTGGTCGTGTACGATCGGGTTATTTTTTTGTTTTATGTACGAAAAAACGATTCAATATGTTGGAAGAATTTAAGCGACCAGAAATTCTTGTTTCATCATTATTGGAAACTTCATTATTGATTAAACATCTTGGATTTGGATCGGTTACTTCTTTTTTGGAACGAGCACTTGATCCACCATCACCAAAAGCTGTTGAAGAAGCATTAGCTACTTTACGTATAATAAATGCTATGGATACGGCAAACGATCTAACTGCTTTGGGAACAATTTTAGCTAAAATGCCTATTGATCCAAGAATTGGGCGTATGGTTATCGAAAGTATATTATTGAATGTTGCATCTCCAATTGTCACTATTGCTGCTGCCAGTTCAATCAATTACGAAATGTTTGATAATTCTGATTTGAATCTATTATTGCAAACATTATTACAATTGGATGAAGAACGATTTTCCGATCATTTGATTACGTTCAAAGTATTTAGCATGTGTGATCAGAATGATAAGCCAAAATCGAACGCTTATCGTTGTATCAATTTAAATTCAGTAACAGTAGTACGAAATGCTCGAAAACAATTAGTTTCTATTCTATCCAAATGTGGTTTCAAAGAAGAAATATTTGCTATAAAACCATCATATCGTTATACAGCAGCTGAATTCGATATAATTGCCGGTTTATTGGTGACAGCATTCTATCCAAATGTTTGTATACATAAAGATACTCGTCGTATTTTGACCAATGAAGAACGTATCGGTCTAATACATAAAACATCAGTTTTCTATTCATATGTTAATAATCAGAAATTATCACGTTCAACTAATCTTAAATCACCTGTATTTATTTATAGTGAAAAATCACAGAATAAGAATCTAATATCAAGCAAACAAATGACAATGGTTACATTTTTACAATTATTATTGTTTGGTATCAAATCATTTGAATTTCCACCAAATCCTGAAGGTATCAATACTATTGCTGATACCGTATTGTTAGATGGATGGATTGAAATCAAAATCGATCCCGAAGTATTTGATTATATATGGCAGATTAAAACCGAATTTGAACAATTATTAACAAGAGTTTGTAAGAATCCGGATTATGTTAAAAACGAACTTGATATTACCATTTTGAATTCGGTGGCAGCAATTTGTTTATTTCAAAACATTGAAATTAACATTATTGGCAAATGAATTAACCACTCTTTAACAATCTTTTCTATTAATCAATTGAATTTATTTTATAAATTTTGAACAATTTTGTCATTCATAAAAGATGATTAAAAACTTTTGCATTTTTGTTTTGGAAAAATATTTCATATGGAAATTTTTAGTTTATAAAGAATATAAAGATGATAAAGAATCAGTCATTTTTTTACATAAATTAGAGAATTATTTTCGATAAATCCGAGCATATCATAGATAATGTATATTTATCCACGGGATTCGATAATAATAATGATGAAAATCTTTTGGTTCGTAACTGGGAAACGGATCTTGTTTTTGATGCTTGTATTTTTGGATCATTCTTTTTTACAATAGCTTCGAGAACCTGAATCCAATGTTTGTTTCGTTTGTAACACTGTGTAACAAAATAAAAAAAATCAATTTCAGAATTTTTTTTATATTTATAACGATACTTACATGAAAAATTTGTCGATTTTGTAATAAAACATTTAAAATGTATAATGATCGAAATAGAATAGATTCGGAACGAGGAAAATTTCGTAATAAACGAATCATAACCTGTAGAACAATTTCATTGTAAAGGAATTTAGAATTTGCTCGAATTAATAGATTCATTAGGATGCCAAGAATGTGTCCGATTAATTTTTTGTGCGGTTCACTACGATTGAAAAGATCAAACGAATTGATTAATGTATGAACAAACCATTCTGTATGTGCAATTATTTGACAAATTTCAGTTGAATATGTTGTTGCCATTTCTAATGTTTCCAATTCTCTTCGAACCGATTCAATATTAACAGCAGTACGGAATCGATCAATAGATTTTTCAATAATGTTGATCAATTTCTTATTTTCGGTTGCTGTTTGATTGGCATAATCTAATCGATCACGAATCAATTGAAATTCATCCATTAATTCTCGACGAACACGATGACCACGCCAGATTTTCTACAAAACAAAATAAATTCAGTCAGAAAGTTTGTTTATGAAAAAAAATATCTCAAACCTGAATGATGATCGCTGCATTTTTTCGTTTTTGTTTGTCTTGTTCAACGGCATTTCTGACAATGGTTTGCCAATTTTTGTATAATTTCTGATGTTTACAATTACGAAACCAATTTTGTATTATGATGGTCGAATTTCGTTTTAATTGATAATCATTGTAATCAATTTTGTACTGTCGATTTTGACGAAATCTTTTCTGTACAAAAATTGTAGCAGTTTTCAATTGTTGGAAATATCGATAATTCAATTTCATAAGTTGATTAGCTCGGAATCGATTCTGAATAAATATGATATTTTGTTTTAACTTAAGGAAGCATTTTCGTTGATAATAACCACGCCAATATCGTTGAAGTACAATTGACGACTGTCGCATCATTACGAACTGTCGACGATAATCACGAGTTTCAATATACGATCTGAAAGTTCGTTGAATCATGATTACACTTTGACGTTGCAGTTGAAATTGTTTAAGGCATCTTTTCATTTCCTGATTGGCCCGGAATCGACGTTGTACCATTATAGTCATTTTACGTTTTGTTTGATAAAGGTTGCGTTCATGATATCCGCGCCAATATCGTTGAATCGTAATAGAAGCTTGTTTTTTACTCAAAAAACTTTGACGACATTCTTGAGTCAAGCGATATGATCGGAATGCACGCTGAATCGCGATAACACTTTGACGCTGCAGTTGAAATTGTTTACAACATTTTTTCATTTCTTGATTGGCACGGAATCGACGTTGTACCAATATAGTCATTTTACGTTTTGTTTGATAAAGTTTTTGATCATGATATCCGCGCCAGTATCGTTGAATTGTAACCGAAGCTTGTTTTTTATTCAAAAATTCTTTTCGATAATAACGAGTCAAGCGATATGAACGAAATACTTGTTGAAGAATGATAACAGCAGCTTTTTTTCGCAGAAAAAGACTACGTTCTTGTTGAGTAGCAAACCATCGTCGAAAAAATCGTTGAATCTTAATTATTTTATCAATCGATCTTTGGTATTCAATTTCACGTTGACGAAGTTCGAAAATTTCCATTAAACGATCCAATAGACAAATGGTTTTGTTACGATTTCCAAGACAAATATCTCTCGGTGAAATCATCTGTCCATTACAATTAAGATCAATACCTGTCTTTCGTAACATTCCAAATACTATTTCCATGTTATGCAATTTTCTTGTAGTATTATTCGAAGGATAAAAAAGACTTGGTAATATATCGTTACGTTGAAAAATGGTTTCTAAAATTCTTGCCAATCGAAGACCACATCTAAGATCTTTACTAAGTATACTGGCAGTGAAATTAAATTCTTCAATCGGTTGTTGAACATGTTCAAGATGAATGCCGACATTTCGTAAACTTTTGGTTATATCACCAACACCAGTTATATATTCACGACTAAATGAAATAATAATATCTCGTGATGATTTACAAACAGCAATGTTTCGAAACAGGCAAGGATCATGATCAATTAATCGATTACGTTTGGCTACATCTAAAAAATGTACAATCATAATATAATGGTAAAGTATATGTTCTTTAGCCGTTTTGACATTATTTTCATTCATAAAATATGTGGTTAGATTTTTATTCTTTCGTTTGGCTATTTTTTTGAACGAAAGTAAATGTTCGGTCAAGAATTGTACAAGTGTACGAACTTCATTTTTTGAATGATCATTGATTCTTTCATTGAATATGGTTTCAAGCGCTATTTTCAGCCATAATGGATTATAATTCAATAGAACTTCCAGTATATGTTTTTTTGAACCAACATCCATATGAATAGATCGATCTTTACGGATAAAAAAACGAGCCAATTTAATATCTTCGAGCAAAGCATCTTTAGCATTTGTGATTTGATCACATTGAAAAAATTTGGCCGCTTTTTGTCGTAATTTATCCATTAATTGTTGTTCACGATAAGCAATTGATGTTATTCCATCTTTGAACACAGGGGCTTGATTAATTTTCAAATTGGTTGAACCTTTATAATTTGCTGATTCACTGATAACACAATCGTTGATTATTCGAGCCGTATCAACGGTAATATTTTCAATCATAAAACTGGTAGTCAATACTGAATTGATCCAAGTAACATAACGCGAATCGTCCGGATACATTGGCATCGATTTGGTTGAAATATCATCACTAATTGAATCGAGTGAAGAAACAGACGCTGTTTCAATGTTGTCATGCTGAATTTTATAAGAAAAATATAATTAGAAACAATGCATTTAGTCAATTCTTAAATACCTTATTTTTGTTGGTACGAATAAGCATTGTTTGTCGTCGATCAATTTCATCATTATCTTCAACTAAAACATCATTATCAGCAATATTTGGTAAAATTTTTCCATTATGTAATGATTTGGTTTTTTTATTGCCCAATAATCGAGCAGCAAGTCTTGGCGGTAATTTGAATGCATTATTTTCTTTATTATTACCAAATACAAATTCAATATTGGAATGAAATTCTTGTTGATCATGACCATCATCATCATTAACAACAACATCAACATCATCATAATTATCATCATCAAAATCCATATTTTCATGATTGATTTTCGATGGTAATGATTGAAGAAAATTATTTTCCTCATCATCATTATTATGATTATTATTAATTGGAAGATAAATTGATATTCGTCGATTATCCATTATGATGATGATTTAAAAACCGAAAAAATATTTTTGTTTTATAATGAAAAATAGAAAAAAGAAAATTTAAAAAAAAAAGTTTAAATGAAAAAAAAACCTTGGCCAGGTTATATGTCAAACAAAAGATCACACACACACACAAACAACAATAAAGACGAATGTTAACCGTTGAATTTATATATCTAAACGGTTCGAATACTGTATTGTGATTGGCTAATTTTATTGTCAATGTTGAGCGCAAGCGCAGTTGTGAAATTTTATTTAAATTGTTTTTGTATCTTTTATAAGCGTACCGTATTTCATGAACGGATGAATTTTTGAAAAGTTTCGAAATTCGAATGCGAAATTTAGAAAAAAATAATAAAAATTTTATTCATTCAAAGTTAATTAATAAATTAATCAATAAAAAAGGTCGATGAATAAGGTGAAAATGCTCTAACCAGTTTTCAAGATTTGATCCGGATTATTACTAATCATAAATAAATAAATTTTTGTTGCCAATTCATTACCAACTTTACGATTTGTATTCGAAATTGATTGTATATCAGCCAACATATTAATAGCCGTAATCGATGATAATGATGATTTTAATTTATTAAACAATATTAATGGTCGTGGAAAACGATTAACAATAGCTTCGGCAATATCATTGCTTATGTTTGGAAATTGTAATAATTGTTGTAGCCAAAGTTGACGTTTACAATCATCATTTTTTGTCGGATCGATTGTATGATTTTTTTCGGACAAAGCAAAAAATTCAATATTTGTACGGCCTTGTCGATCGATACGAAAAATTTGTTCAACAATTGAACGTGTATAACGAAACAATATATTGGCCAATTCTTGTTCACAATCAACATTAATGAATGATAATTTTGAACGTGTTTGATGATTTTGATCATTATGATTATCATCATTAAAATTGTATAAGAATTTAAATTTACAATCAATCAATAATTGATCTAAATTATCCATTGTCATTGAATGTTTATATGGCCATGTTCGTTTATTATTATTATTCTGTCGTTTGTTACGATTTTGTTTAGCAATTTTTTGACTGTCCATTCGAGTTTCGGCTACAATCATATCATTAATTCTTCTTTTAAATGATTCATCTAAAAATTTTTGCTGTAATCGTAAATGTTTTTCCATTTGATAGATAATAATTGTAACATTATTGATATTCTGATATTTACATTGTTTTTCAATTAAATCGTATAATTTATTTGTTCGATTTGTTTGTTGTTGTTGATCATCGTTCAAATATGAATCTAAAAATTCATGCAAATCATTACTTTGTATCAAAATCATTAAATGATTGAATAGAAAATTATTCAATATTTTCATACATTTAAATAATGAATTGTCATTTTGATTTGATTCACGGATCATTGTTTCAAGTTCTGGATGACATTTCCATCTTACACAATAGTTTTTTAATTCATCCTGAATTTCACAGTATGAAATATTTTTCAAACGAAATAATGTTTGAATTTCTTGTTTGGCCAAATCAAATAGACCGGAATCGATCATTACGGTTGTATAATTAAGGACATCTTTTTGTTGAATTTTTGTTGTCAAACGATTTTGTTCGTCTATCTGTTCACCATCACTGTCATCATCATCATCAATGTTATTGAATAAATTTTTATTGAGATTAGGTCTGATATGATTTTTCAATGTTTTCGAAGCTTTTTTATTACTTTTTGATGATAAAATTTTATGATTAATCGATTGTTTTCGATTATTTCTATCGACCATACGAAACAAAGGTGTACTATGATATAATGAATCATCTGAATCATTTAATTCAATCCATTGATCATCATCATTCGAAATGTTGCTTGTTGTTGGATAATCTTTAATCGATGTAAACAATTGATCAGCTGGCAAATTCGCTGGTTGATCTTCAATGATTTGTATATCACTATCATCGCCACCATCATCATGATGATTAGTCAGACCATTACTAATTGAAGTGGATGGTGAAGAAATTTTCAAATTTGATTTCGTTGATTCAACAATAATATCATCATCACTTTCATCCACAACAATAATTTGTTTGGATTCAATTCTAGTTTTATCTTTGCCAAACATAATCGGTTTAAGTAATGAATCATCATCATCATCATCGAATAAATCGGAGGAATCCATTTTCGATCTGAATTTAAACGTTTTTTTCAAGTTTTAAAAAACAAAAAACAAAAATATTGAATATGGAATATGTGAATAACAGCAAATGTTTTTTTGGTGATTTTTTTTATTTGCGCGGTTTTAACAACACGCGCGAATTTTTGCGCACAAGTTTGGCGCACTTTTCAATGCTCATCGACGAACAGACGACTCTTTCTTCAGATTTTTCACTTTAGTTTTTTCCCAATGTTGATTTTTATTTTTTTTTGTTCGGATCTTTTTCTTTTTCCTTCAATCTTTTTCAATCGATCCAAATTAATTGATTGATTGATTATTGATTGATGTAATCCTTCTATGTATGTTTGACTTTGAAAAAAACAAAAACAACTAAAGGATTACCAAAATGACCGAATCAATTGTGAACAAAAAAAGTTCACCTTTGTTTACCACCACCAACAACAACAATAATCAATCAAGAAATACAATCGTTCTAAATGGTCATAGTAATTTTAGTTCATTACGGATCGAAGATCCAAAAAAAGGTTTGTGTTTGTAATTCGTTTTTTTCTTTTAATTTTAAAATTTTTCGTTTTTCGTTTTTTTTTCGTTCATCAATTATAGCGGCAACAAACAACATTGAAAACGATGTTTATGTAAAAATAATGATGAATAATGTACCACAAATACAACAATATTTTAATATTGTTGATAAAATTGGTGAAGGTACATTTTCAAAAGTTTATAAAGCCAAATTAAAACATTGTATTGAAATGGATGATAATAATCAAAATAATAATGGAAATAATCAAAATAATAATGAAGAATATGCCCTAAAATATATAATACCGATTGTAAAACCATCAAGAATAGCAAAAGAATTACGTTTTCTTCGTGATCTAGGTGGACAATCGAATATTATACCGATAAAAACCTGTTTCTATAATGCTGGTCATACAATTGTTGTAATGCCTATTGTTGAACATGATCGTTTTCAAGATTATCTAAATGATTTATCATTAACAGAAATACGTTCTTATATGCGTAATTTATTCATTGCATTGGATCGTGTTCATTCACATGGTATTATTCATCGTGATATTAAACCATCAAATTTTCTTTATAATCGTTCAAATGGACAATTTGCTTTAGTGGATTTTGGCCTTTCACAAAATGAACGTGAATTATATCATTCAATTAATCTATCATTATATCCATATCCAAATAAATCATCAATGAAACCGACAATTAGTAATCATGATTCAAAAGTACGAAAAAATCTTTGTAGTAAATTTCAAAAAAATTCAACAAAAATTGAAGATGGTAAATTAAAACGTTCATTCAATGAAATGAATCAATCGATGATTATTGTTGATAATGAAAATGTTAAACGTAAAAAATTGGATCATTCTCAGCAGCAAACATCAAGTGTATTTATTTCACCATTAACACCATCAATGATGACAATGAAAAATCAGGATTCAAAATCAACAACAAGTCCAAAATCAATATTTGTACCTGGAACACCAGTTAAAAAACCATTCAATGAACATGAAACAAATATTATGACAACAAATGATACTACACCTGTTAAAGATCAATGGATTTATAAAACACCAACCAAAACAGATGAAATGTGTATGGTCAATAATGAAATGGTGTTGAAAACACCGATTAAAACTGTATCTTCGATACCGGAAACACCACCAAAAACTGTACAAAAAAATTTACATTTTAGCCGTGCTACACCACCAGCACCACCGATAATAAATTTTCAATTAAAAGAAAATATTAATCATAATTATAATACACCGAAAAAATTATCCAAACCATTAAATTATCGTTTTCAAACAATGAAAAAATCATTAAATCAAGAATTATCCACTTCATTATCGAATGTTGGCAATAATAATAATAATAATGTTGTCGGTGGTGGTGGTGGTGGTGGTAACATTGTGGATAACATTCATAAAAAATCATCAAATCAACAACAACAACAACAACGATTATGTGATTGTACACAAACATCAACAATATGTCAAAATTGTCTTTCAAAAATTGAACTGAATGTTCCAAGAGCCGGTACACCGGGTTTTCGTGCACCAGAAATTCTATTACGTTATTCAAATCAAAGTACAAAAATCGATATATGGTCTTGTGGTGTTATATTTGCCAGTCTACTTTCAGGTCGTTATCCATTTTTTCGTTGTAATGATGATATTACTTGTTTAGCAGAAATTATTACCATTTTAGGATCAACAAAAATTAAACGTGCTGCTAATGCATTAGGTAAAACATTGACCATATCAAGAAGATCAATACCGACAATGGATTTGAAAAAAATTTGTATTAAATTAAAAAAAACATCCACTGCTAATAATGATGATAATGATACATCATCGAACAAATGGTATCAGGCACCTGATTCTGCATATAATCTATTGGAACGTTTATTGGATCCAAATCCTAATACACGTTTTAGTGCTGCTGAAGCATTATCACATCCATTCATTATTGGAATCGAAGATAATCAAGATGATAATAATAATGACGATAATGAATCTTCATTTTGAACGAAAACAAAAAGATCTCAACATTTTTTCGATTTAGAAATTAGTTTATTTACAAAAAAAAAAATTTTCCAATTCTTTTTTTACTGACTTTTGATCAATTCAATTTTTGATTAATAATTTTATAACATTTTTTTTTTCGAAATAAAAATTTCGATTACGATTCGATTGACTTTTCGGTTGTTTATGGCTCCGACCAAACGTTGTATCATATCATCATTGCACTCAATAATGGTAATATAGGATATTTGATTTCTGTTTTGTTGGTTTGATTTTAACCTCTAAAAAAGTGATTTATCCACCTAAAAAATCATATGATAATGATGATGATTGTAATCCAAAGACACACACAATGTAATGATAACAAGCATTGCATCTCATCAGATAAATCAATTAAAAAAATTGGCGCCGAACTACTAAATAAATTATTTACAAGAAACAAAAAAAACTATCAAAATCGAATAGTTCTTTATTTGCAAATTCGAACATTAGGTGGCGCCAGCAACTTCAAGTTACTTTCAAAGTTTTTTTTTTCGAATGAGTTCTCTATTTTGGTGATGTTGTTGGTAATAAGAATCGAAAAAATTGAAAATTTCAAATAATTTTTCTTGAATATCCATCGAACAAGAATGACGGAGTGTGTCAACATTCATTTTTTCATTTCATTTCATTTCTAATATATTTGAAAAATCATGATTGATGATTGAAATCATGCATTGAATGTGGCTGACGTTATGTTGTTGTTTTTTTGCCACCACTGCATATCGATCATCATCATCATCATGAGCAGCAGCTTTTTATGGACGATTCTCTAAACAGCAAAAAACAAACTTTTTTTCCGCTGAAGTTAATGTAAAAATATACCGAAACGAGCCAAATAATAAAAAAAAACAAGAGAGGGATACAAAAAAAATTGATCAAAAAAAAAATGATGGTGGCTGTGTTTTTTTCTATTTTGGTATGATAATGGGGGGTGAGAGAGCTTGATTCGAAACGAATCGAATGGAAAAAAACACTAAAAAAAAGGGAGGATGATGATGATGGAAACAACGAAGCAAACAACTCCACCATCATTGATATCCAACAGCAACTTTATCATCATCAACAACGATAATTTTTTTACCACATTCTACCAAAGAAACCAAAAACAAAAAAAAAGCCGAATCCAAAGCTATTATCTTTCGAGTGTGTTTGAGCCAAAATTCGATGTAAGCGAAGAATTTTTTTTTCGAAATACAGTGAAATCAAGGATATCATTCATAATTTTATTTAAAAAATACACAGGGAAAAATATATCAGATTCTTTCTTTCTTTTTTCTGGATGTTCCAACAACAAACCGATCTTTTTTTTTTTGATAAAACGCCCATCTTTTAAATAAAAATATTTGAAAAACACAATTGAAAAAAAACATCTAATCTAATCGATTTAAAAAAAAAAATTGAAAACGAGTTTTTACTGTAACTTTTTTTTGTTTCGTCCATTTTGGATTTCTCTCCCACTCTCTCTCTCCTCCACATTCCTCCCTCTTTGCCAATTTTGTTCTTTTTTTCTGTTTTTTTTTCGTTAAAATAATGATAGCCTCTTCTGAATCGAATGTTTGGTCGTTGTTGTTCATATTTGTGGCTAAATATTTTCAAGGTAAATGTGTGTATTGTGGATAGAATGTAAATGATTTACAAATCCTGAAGGCATTGAAGGTGATGCGCGCGTAAACGAATTGTATTTGAATTTTTTTTTGTTTTTCGAATTATTAATTTCTTCGGGGGATTATTTCAAAGTTAATGATTTTTGTTTTTTGTTTTTATCGAATCGTGAAATTCTCTCTTCTCTCTCTCTCTCTCTCTCTCTCTCTCTCTCTCTCTCTTTCGAAGCACTTTGTCCTCGAGGCAAACAAACGATACCCTAAGATTTTCAATTTTGGGTGTGTTTGTTTGTTGTTGAATCATCAAGATGGTGTTCGTGAGTTTTTTTCGTTTTTTGGTGGAGTTTTCGTCGATCGCGGATGGCCGGGGTTGATTTTCCATTAAAAAAGAGCGGTGGTGGTGGTGGCGGGGGAGAAACGAGCATTTTTCGCTTTACTGCGTAGTTTTTTCTTCTATTTCTCCAGTTCCTGACAAACTTGTATTTGTGATAAGTATAAGGCGTGTCTTGCGTGTGTGTGCAAATGAAATAACCAAAAAAAAAAAAAAAAAGGAAGGAATGTAGTCAAGCGACCAAGCATGAGAAAAAACAGTGTATGTGTGCGTATACGCACATCTGCTTCTCTTGTGTGTTAAAATAGTTGGATTTTATTTCATTTTGTTTTGGGGGTGGCATTTCGCAGTTTTTTTCTTTTCTTTTCTTTTTTTTCGTATTATATGTGTACAGCTGCACACACAGAAAGATAATTGTTGTTTAACAAAAAAAAGTACGGAGGGAAAATGAATGATGATGATAGTGATGGCCGTCAAATAGACCAGGGCCACTATTTTAACCCCGGTTTTTTTTTGTTTCGTTGTTTTAGGATTGTTGTTGGAAGGAAACGTCGTTATTTTTCAACGACGATTGATGATCATGGTGTGCATGCATTTGAAATGGGAAAAAAAGAGAGAAAATGAATACCGTAAAACATTGATTTTTTCGATGGTTCCAAACACCATCGTTAAAAACAATCGTTATTTCATTTTGGGTTTTTATATCGTTGGTTGGTTGGATGGATGGCGTCATGGTTCTGATGTTTATTTTGACAAACAAAAAAAAACATTTTTTTTTCTATGTTTACATTTGATGACTATGGAAAATTTTCCGGGGAAAAAAAACACTGATAATTCCAACAAAAAACGAGCAATGAACGTACTTTTTGCTTGCTTGCTTTTGCTGTTGTTGGTTTTTTTTTAGCTTTGGCTGACAAACAAACAGAAAAAAAATCTCATTTCAAATGTTTGTCCTACCGGATCGCGATGAAATCGACAACAACAGGATTGAGCAAGCCCCCCCCCGATGTATTATATAGAGATGGTTGGGCTCTTATTTCTTTCGTTCGTTAAATTTTGGCATGCATTTTTGGTGTGCTCAATATATATTTTTAAAGTCTTTTTTTTTTGTTCATGAATTTTTCTTTGTTCGTTCGTTCGTTTCTGTTTTGGATCAGACACAATGTGTTTGAATTTATTTTGCCCCATCCATTTCTCTTTGTCTATATTTCCCCCCCCTTTCGCTATATAAACCCAATTGGACATTTGGATCGGAACAAATTTTTTTTTTTGGTTTGGAACTCATTGTTTTTTTCCCCTTCAAATTTAGGGACATTTAGGGTGGAAATAGTGGAATTGAAGTTTTGTTTTTAAAAAATTTTTTTCTGACAAAAAAACGAAAAAGTTCAGGAAATTGATTGATTTTGAAACGAAACTTTTTTCAACCGATTAAGGATTTTTTTTTATTATCGTTGGGTGTGATGATGATAGTGGATAGATAATCTCTATCGCATCGATGATGCTTGATCAGCAAAAAAAACGAAAAATGAAATCTTTTTTTTTTTGCTGATTAATTAATTATGGCCACCATGGATTTCAAGAATCAAGAATGAATTTCCAACTTGGCAAACACGTGGTTTTTGTTGTTTTGAAAAATTGTCAACAACAGCCAACCGAAGAACAGTTTTTAATGATAATGAAAATAGGTATACCAGAGAAGCAAGAAAGAAAGAAAAGAGAATTGAATTGTAAATCAAAAAATGCCGGCTGTTAGTTTTTCCATAATGTTTTTCTTCTTCTGTATTTTCATCCCCATTCATTCATTCATTCATTCAATATCTCTCTTCAGCAAAGATTCTTCATCAACAACAACAACAAAAAAACATCCAGCCTTTTAATACTGGGAAAAAAAAATATATAGGGTGATAGATTTGGAGAGACATTGACATTTTATTATCATTGTCATGTGTAATATGTAGAGGTTAGTTAGTTATGAAAAAAACAAAAATACAGGGTGAATAGACCTATCGATGAATACAAACCAAATAGAGATGGATAGAGATAGTGAGAGAGAACAGACATTCAAATTCAAAAATCATTTCACATTTGATATCCATTGAAGAAGAAAAAAAATCTAATAATAATAAGGGCAATCCCCAAACAAAATGATGATGATCACATCTTTGTATGTTTAGTATGGATATACTTGGAAATGGAAAAAAAGAAAGAAAAATTCAATTTTCATCACACAGTATATATAGTATATCTATCTATGTGTGTGTGCGATGAAAAACATTACACCATATGAATGATGTTTGATGTTTGATTTGAATAAATGTGTTTTTCTGGATGTGAATTTTGTTTGGTTGTTTGGTTGTTGTTGATTCATTTTTTTCCTATTTCTAAAAAAATATAGGAAGAGAAAGATGCTTAAATGATGTTTGTTGATGATCGCCATCACACGCACAACCTGTATTGATCAGAAAAAAACTTCGGAAACTTTTCTTCTGTTCGGTGAAACTTGAATTCTTATTTGGTTTCTGGAAATTGTGATTTTTGCTTTTGCTTTGTTTTGATCATCAAATTAATCCAAAAAAAAAGATGATTGGTTTTTTTTTGTTTTGTTTTGAAAAAAAATCATGATGATTTGATGTTTTTTCTCATCGTCATTCGTTTATGAAGAATTTCGATTGTCATTGAAACAAACAAAAATTTTCTTTGTCATCCTTGAATTCATCATCATCATTTTCAATCAAAATTTCATGGCCTTTTCTCTTCGCATCGCTGATCAAATAATGACGAATCAAAAAAAAAAAATGATAATTTTCCAATTCGATCATCATCGGATGAAAAAAATAAAAATTTATAATGCGAATTCTTGTTTACCAACGAAAGAATCGAACCAGAACCAGAATCCGAATGTTGTATATTAACCCCAGAAAACCACACAATCACACCAAAACAAATCCATAATTTTTTTCTTATTAATTTTTTTTTTTACTGTTTTTCTTTTTTTCTTTTTTGTTTTTAATAAATCAAAAATCAATCAATTAATCAAGATGTTCTTTCAAGTAATAATGTAGTAGTAGTAGTAATTTCTTTCATAAGTAAGTAAGAAAAAAAAACAGAATATAGATGTGGGTGGTTTGTGTAATGGGCGTCATAATGTGTGTGTGATCAGAGTAGTTTTTGTTTGTGAAAAAACACTGAAATTATTCAAAAAATTTTCTTTAAAAAAAGCATGTGAAAAGTTTTGTTGTTGACGCATCTAAATTTTTTGAATAACTTTTTTTTCTAACCAAAAAAAATATTGGTTTCGTAAAAATGTGTGTAATGTGTGTGAGAAAATTAGAAACGTTGTTGTTTTGCAAATAATGTGAGTGTGTGTGAAAGGGCCCTAAAAAATATCGATATTTTTTAAATGAAGAAAATGAAAAAAACATGGATTCATTATGAATCCAGAAAAGAAGAAAAAAAATATGACAAAATTGAAACGATGATTATTATTAATATTCGCCTGTTTGGATAGTGTGTGTGTACGATTTTGTGGATCAGCACAATGTGTATTTGATGATAATAATGATAATGATGTGTAGGTCAAAAATAGAGACAATTATCAATGTTTTTTTTGAAAAAAAATATAAATGATAAGAATGGCCGAACAAAACGAAAAAAAAAATTAATTAAACAAAGATTTTTTTTTTTGTCCCAAGAAAATTGATGTGTGTGAGTGTGTGTGTGATGTTTTATAATGAAAAGGTAGTAAAGTAGTAATCATTTTTTTTTCAAATATAGAAAAATGGTTGGTTATTTTTTTTTTTGACAGAAAAAAAATTCGAATGATAATGATGAAAAGGATTTATACCTGAGGTTTCATCCTGGTGGTGGTGGTGGTGTGGTTGGTAAAATGTTGTGTTGTTTGATGATGATGACGATGAATTTGAGATGATGATAATGAGATGCTGATGTTTTGTTTTGATGTATTTTCCACAAGATTATTTATTTATTTATTTAGTTCCAAGAATATGGCGCCTGTATCTGTGAATAAACAGCACCAGTACCGGTCAAAAGATAAGCAGTGGTCGATGATGGTGTCAAATGAATTTGCTGCTGTTGTTGTTGTTGTTGCTGCTGTTGTTGTTGTTGTTGGGCTTGTTGTTGTTGTTGAGCAGCTGCTACAACTTGTGCTTGTTGTTGTACAGCGACTTGTGCTTGTTGTAATGAATCAGAATCGGATTCTTCATTAGAACCTTCACGTCTTTCCTGTTGATTCTGTTGAGCTGTAGCTTGTTGACCTTTACGACGATAATCTTCCATTGATGATTCATATCGTACACGTTCCTGATTTTGACGTTCAACATAAGGCCGTTTGTCATCTTCGGTCATATTACGCCATCGTTCACCGCCAAGTTTGGCCAATGCAGCTACACCACCTTCAGGTTCTTTGCCAGCCATTTCTTTCCTAAAATCAACCATGAATAACATGAATGCTGTTCCTGGTCGTTTTGGTTTGTTAACATCACGAGCTGGTTTGTATACGGCCATTTCTCGTTTATAACGTTCTCTATCTTTGGATGCGGTATCTAAAAATGGTTTCTTTTCCTCTTCGGACATTAGTGCCCATTTAGCAGCACATTCTTTGCCAAATTCGGCAATTTTCGGTACTGCACGACCACCTTTTTTTAATTCTTCACGATACCATTGTGTAAAATTAATGAATGGCGTTGCTGCACGTTTTGGTGCAGGTACTCCATCTTTATTGACTTTTGGTTTTTTCTGTTTTTTATGACCATGATGATGATGTTGTTGATGATGTTGTTGTGTCATTGTATTTGCAACGGCAACCGTTGGCTGAACATTTGTTGTATAAACAATTTGACCATGTGCTAATTGATGTTGACCGGCATTATTTAGTTGACCAGGCATTACAGTCAAATTAAGACCAGTTGCAGAAATCATTTGTGACATTGGAATCTGTGTCATTGTTGCTGGATGAAGTTGATTGGCATTAATCGCGGCGTGATGCGCCATAGCTTGATGATAATCAGCGTAATCGGACATCATTCGAATAAGATAACAAAAAAAAAAGAATTTTTGTTGGTTTTTTGAGGACCAATATAAAATATATATTTATTTATTTATAAATATAGGGCGAGGATATTTTATTTTTCTATAGTTCCGTACTTTCGATTTTAGATGAATAAAAAAATTCTTATCAACAAAATAACAGAGTATGGAACACACAATTTACGCGCCAAACAAAAAAAATATTCCTAAATATAATGAAGAAAAAGAAACAAAGAAAACAAATTGATTAATTAATAAATTAGTCATATTGACAATTAAGAAATAACAGAAGAAATTCACACAGGTTTTGTTTTTTTGGATTGTTTCAAAATCAAAACACCGGCAATACACATGTGATATATACACACACACACATAACAGATATAATAGATAGAATAGATACCAATATTTTATTTGAAAATAATAATAATAAAGCGCATTTAGATTTTATTTTTGGCGCGCTATTTTTTTTTTTTCTTTACTTTCCTTATTATAATATACCATACACACACACTAAATACATACCATCATCATATCTCAATATGAAAAGTCTCCATTCATTCATTTCATTCACAATTATTCTCCTCTTTCTCTCTCTCGTTTCTACACGCATTCATTCATTTGCTATACCTAAAAAAATGAGTGGCATTCATATAAACAAACTCACTGCTGTTGCTATTATAATGATGATGATAATGGACAGAAAAAATTTGGCGCCAAAGGTCAATTTATATAAAAATACATAGGATCCAGGTGTGTGTGTGTATAAATCCTTTTGATAAATGATTCGATTTAAGTGGAAATAGCCATTTTTGGTGCAAATAAATAAAAAAATTTCAATTTCTACCCTACCGGATCAGTTAAACGGATATTCTTTTTTTTTTCACTCAAAACAGAGATATTTTATGACCTAATGTAATTAAGGAAAGAAACAAAAAAACGTGCAACAAGATACACACCGTTTTAAGTTGATTTAATATGGAAATATCGTTGATGATGATGATGATTTCACACACACTTGTTGTTGTAGTTCTTTATTATTATTAAAGTTAAAGTTATTATTATTAATACACAATTGTGTCACTGTAAACAAAAAACAAAAACAAAAACAAATAAACAGTATTACACAATGCCAATTCACAGAACACACACACAAAATTATTATTATTTATAAAAAAAACACATGTAGTTTACACTATTTTAGATATAATACACACAGAGAAACGGTTTTTCTTCTTATTTTAATAGGATTCTCTATTTTCGATGTTACAGTGTATATATTTTTTTCTTCTTTTTTTTACGGTGAATGTTTTTCTTTTCTTTTTTTGTTCAACTTTTGTTCATCATTCACATATTGGTGGTATCATTATTATTATCATCATTTAGTCAATCAATGTACGATAGTTGTCGTTGTTGTTGTTGTTCAATGTATATATGGTAAATGTATATATGGGATGTATGTATTATTGTGGGCAAAAAAAAAAAAGAACTTTCAGTTGTACAAAAACAAAATTTTCTTTTTCTTCTTGTTTTCGTATTTATTTATTACAACACATTTACCATCATCATCATCATCATATCCATAGATCTACATGCACACACATACACATTAGCCAGTTGAAAAGAATAAAAAAAAAACACAAGATATGATACACACACAGAGAAGCGGGAGAGAGTGACGAGTAAAGTGAAGAAGAAGGAAAAAAAGCACAGTTTTAAACTATAGATCTCGAAAATGAATTGAAATATGAAATGCAGTTTTTTTTTTATTATTTGCTTTCTTTTACTTTTTTCTTCTTGCTGTTGTTGTTATTGTCAAATATATAACACACACACACACGGGTAAATTGATGTTGATAACGATGTTGAGATATGCTATGTTTTCTATTTCTTCACATTCAAAACACACACAGAGAGAAAAGCAAAAGCAACAAAAAAAAAAACGATTTTTCCAAAACGATAGTTTTGAGTTAGAGAACTTTCGAAAAGCAACACAAAGCAAAAAAATAGCTAATGTAATAATATTGTCAATGTTGGCCGTTGGTGAAGCGAAGAAACATTAGGCAAAAACGATGAAACAGAAAAAAAAAACCATCACCACACAAGCAAAAGAAAGAGAAAAAATACAACAATAATAACACAATCAGTGCAACCAACTAACACAACAGTAAGACTAGCTCAATTCAATGTATGACATGATGCTTTTCTTTTACTTCGCTTTGGCCAAAAAAATAATCTTTCTTTTCTCTCTTACTATTGCTCTCTATGGTGTGTGTGTGTAGAAGTATAGAAAAAAGAACAAAAAAAAAGATCATAGCTATTAATGATAGTGGTAGTAGTATGCAACAAAGATATCAAGTTATATATCTGATTTTTATACTTCTACTTTTTCGAATGGTATTGTATGTCAGATTCAAACTACTACCAATAATCATTCGAAAACGAAAAAAAACAATCAACCAATCATCATCTATTTGGCTTATTATTTAAGGCGGGATTCATTAATTGTACTGAACTGGTAAGAAGAAGAAGAAAAAAAAACGCGCGCACTTTTCCAACATTATAATAGTTATAATGATGATTGGGAGTGGTTCGCGTTTGGATCAAGTTTTTTTTTTGTTTTTGTCTCGAAAAAAAACTCCCATTTACTTTAGAATAATGCTACTAGTTTAAAAAAATTGTTGTAGTGGTAAATCGTGATATTGGAGATTTCCGCTAGGTGGATTCATAATGAAAAAAAAATCAATCAAATTTTTTTAATAAGAACGGAAGATGAATTTGGAAAAAAAAAGTTGGAATAACATGTGTCATGTGCATTAAATAATAACCAAAAAAAAAGAAGAGAAGAGAAATTCTGTTTTTCAAATGATAAAATGTGAAAAATGAAAAAAAAACGGCAAATAAGGCGCCAAATTTGTGGCCAACCAAAAATATTCTCTTAGCCTTTTTTTAATAGTGTAATCAGGAAGCTCGGTTATCCATAAAAAATGATTATTTTCTAGTCAACAAATGTTTCCCAGAAATGAGAAAGAAATTCCTAATAAATTTGGACAAACAAAAAAAAAAATTGAAAAGAAAAACAGGCATGGTTCATCATTGGTGACAGACGACACTATCGTTATAATCGATTTTGATCACATGATACAAACACACACATGATTTTTCTGCATCAAAAATCAATCAGAAATGTTATTATATAAATTCCCGAATAATGAATATTATGACAAAAGAAATTAGCTATGCACCGGATGCATTTCGTATGCTTCGTGGCTGTTTTTGTCTGTATAAACCATCGAAAAAAGGATTCCGTAAAACACGATCAGCATTGACAACGAAAATTATCGATGGTAAATTGTAGTAATTGAATAATTTTGTTTTGTTTTTAAAAAAAAAATATCTTTGAATATCTTAGAATTGAACGCAATGGAATGTCGTTCACCTCGTGAACGTATCGAAATAACTGGTGATTTATCCATTTCGAATGATTCGAATTTAAATGTTGAAATTCGTTCGAATCTAGCCGATCATCCATTAGTATCCGGTCAACGATATAATTCTAAACAAATACCGTTAATGTTTACCAATAATCCTGGATGGTATTCCAGTGGTATTATGGTTGGTTTTATTGGATCGGATGCATATAAAGGAATTCAATTTAAACGTTATAATCTTCCAAAATTATATGAAATTAAAGGTGAATTTGGTCTGGCATCATTAAATTATCGTGATGATGGTAAAGTACGAATGAAATCATCATATAAACATATACAGGAAATATTTTTTGAAAGAATTTTATCGAAAATTGAAGCTGCACAACGTTCATTAATGTTTAAAGTGGCAAATGTACAAATTCAAAGTGAAGAAGCTTATCAGTTGGCTATTAAAGGCCAAGTAAATCCACAAACAAAACAAACAATGCCATTAATTATGGCCATAAAACCAATAACATTTCAACCACCAGATTTTAGTTTTCAAGTTCAATGTCAAAATGAACAAGAACAATTTTTAGCCGAATTAGTTAATGAAATTGGTATTGGATTAAAATCCTGTGCACGTTGTACCGGTATTCGTTTGATACAATATGGACCATTTACTATTGAACATGGATTATTACAAAAACATTGGACATTAGAAAATCTTATCGAAAATATTTATGAATGTCAAAAAATTTTAAATAATTTTGAAAAACAATATCAAAGATAAGGCCAATTTTTTGATTTTCTTTTTTCTCTCTTGATTTGTTCAAGACAATTTTTTCGAAAGACTGTGATATTCAAATGAAAAGTTGAAATTAAAAATTAGTCTTTTTCTTAGCTATGTTTTTTTCCCTCCACCATTATATATTTCTTACCTAAAATGATGATATTTTGCAAATGTTTCTGCAATAATTAATGGAAAAATCAATGATACATCACAGGTTAATTTGATTGGATTTGCTGTCAATTTTATTTTTCCCCATGAAATTGCTTCATCTGGTCGTGCACCCGAATCAGAACCATCAAATTCTTGACCAGTGTTTATGAACACTGCATAATCAGCACCGTTTCGCTATATTTTTTTTGTTATTTTTGTTAAAATTTTTTTTTTTTAAATAAATAAAGAATTACCATTAGATTTGCATTACAAATATGATGTTTAACCACACCACCACCAAGTATGATCATACCACTTTGTTTAGCTTTCATACTAATCGAATTCAGACGACGAATATCACCGACAATATCCAAAATAAGGCCAGGATTTCGAAATGAATGCATATAAATCATATCACCCAATGAACCATCGGTTAATGCAGGACAAAATATTGGAATACGATTAACATATGCCCAATACAAAATAGATTCTTCATTATTAATTTCTTTGCCAAGTCTAGTGGCCATTTTGGATGGTGTCCATATTATTTTTTCTGTTTGTTGTTCACGAATCATATCATCCAATATCGGTATGATCCAATCTTCAAAAAGACAATAATTATCATTCGGTACAAGAAGATTTCCAATACGATTAATTCCATTTTGACGTAATTGTCGACCGGATAAATGAAAATCGCCAACATAAGTAGGTGCTAAACATTTGATAATATCTTCTTCGATACCACCGGCCGTTGTGACTATACAATCAATCTTGGTGTTATTTTTAAAGAAAAAAAAATTACACATTTGATTAATAATGACGATTCAAAATTTACCATTCTATGTTGTACAAGAAAACGAATCGATTCACGAATACCACTTGAAACAATGTTTGAAGTATAACCAAGAAATATTGTACAACCGGTTTGTCGTCGAATAAATGGATCATCTTCATATTCATCTGGTTCGTATGGTTCCAAACGAGCATTAAGCATTGATTCAATTTGTTTGATTGCCAAGCCGAAATTTGTCGCTTGAAATCCGGTTGTCAAATATGTTTGCAATAATGCCGAATGATTGATTCCTTTGTTAAAATCATAGCCAATAACTTTTTGTTTTAATAAAATATTATCACCATCATCAGATACATCATTTATATTCGAACATTCAATTTGTAATTTTTCCGGAATGCTTGTCTTTTTCAACACTGCTTCCTGAATCGATTTTAGCATTGGATCATCCATTATTTTGAATTTTTTTAATTTAAAAAAATGGATCGATTAAAACGGCATGGCAATAACGTTGTTTATGACCGGCGAAAGAATGATGATTGATGTTAAGATTTTTTTTTCGAATTTATTTTATTTTCTTTTTTTTTTTTTGATCGTTCCAACGATTTAATTCAATAATGGCCAAATCAAAATATGAATATGTTAGACAATTTGAATCAGCAACCGATCATCATTTATTATTAGATTCTTATATTGTTGTACGTGTGGATGGACAAGGTTTTCATCGATTTGCAAAAGAACATAATTTCCTAAAACCAAATGATAAAAGGTAAATTTTGATTCGAATTTTTCTATTTAACAATAACATTCTTATTATTCATTCATTTAGATGTCTTGATCTGATGAATCGATCTGCATTACATGTAATGAAATCATTCTATCCAAACATTATTATGTCATATGGCCAAAGTGATGAATATAGTTTCATATTACGACGAATGGCACATTTATATAATCGTCGTCATAATAAAATAATTTCATTGATAACATCAACGTTTACGGCCGGTTTTCTTTTCTATTGGAATGATTATTTTTGTGATCAAAAAAATCCAAATCTAATTGCAAAAAAACCATTAAAATTAACACAAACATTAAAATATCCGCCAACATTCGATGGTCGATGTATACTTTATCCAAATGAATCAACATTAATGGATTATCTACGATGGCGACAAGTTGATTGTCATATAAATAATCTTTATAATACAACATTTCATGCATTGACTGGTGAATATACTCATTATGAAGTAAATGATGATGATAATAAATTTATTGTTACATTTCCTTATTCGGAAACAAAATTATCAAAATTATCTACAAATGAAGCAACAAAACGTTTATCACATACATCAAGCAGTGATAAAAATGAAATACTATTCACCGATTTTGATTTAAATTATAACAATGAATTGGAACAATTTCGTAAAGGTACTATTATTACATTGAATATTGAACAAATTGATCGTTTACTTAGTGATCAAAAATCAATTAATTATTATATAAGAAAAAAAAGTTTACAAAGTAAAAATTCCTTAGTGGAAAAACCTGATGATCAACAATTTGAATTATTAAATGTTGATATAATTGGTGAAAATTTTTGGAAAAAATATGGTCCATTATTGAAATTATTGTGATTAATGTTTTCATAGAAAAATATACAAATGAAATGAAATAAAATGTAATGTTTTTTTTTATATAGAAAATATTTTTAAACATTTTGTTGTTGTTCCCAAAGTTTAAATGTACGATCAAATGAACAAGATATTAGATAATTATTATCATTTGAAACATCAACGCACATTACTTTACCATCATGACCACTAAGCGTTTTGATTGGTGTCCATGATGGATGTGACCATAATTTTATTGTATTATCATATGATGCAGTCATTATATAATTACCAATATTATGTTCAAAACGTACTTTTGAAACAATATTTGTATGTGCAGCAATAGTATATTCTAATTTACGTTCACGTAGATTCCATATTTTAACACTATTATCTTCACTACCGGTTACAATTTGATAACCATTTGGTGAAAATGATATCGATATAATACCTTTAAGATGACCATCCATAAACATTATACAACGTCCTGTTCGTAGATCCCATATCCGGCCAAAACCATCACGACCACCAGTAGCAACAACACTACCATCCAGTTGAAAATCAATTTCATGTACTGGTTTTGAATGTCCTTCTTGATGTAGAATTTCTTCATTATAATCTAAATCCCATAAACGCCATGAATTATCATAACAACAAGTGGCAAGAAATCTACCGGATGGATGAAAACCAATACTACTAACACGATATGGTTGATGACCATTTAATGAATGTATTGGTTCTTCTTGACCGAGATTCCAAAGATGAACACAACCATCAACACTACATGATGCTAAATTTACTGCCTCTTCTGATTGATCGATTGTCGATCGTGGATGAAAGGCAATTTCATCAACATTACAATTATGTCCACGAAGTGTATATTTTAATTGTAATCCATCCTTTGACCATATTTTACATAGACCACTCCATGATGATGTTGCTATCATCGAACCATTCGGACTGAATGAACAACTTGAAATTGGTCGTTGATCAGCAACTTGTGAACAGCTAATCTCCATTGATCGTAATTTTTTATATAATTCTTGATTGTTTGCTTCACGAACTTCATATGGAATTTGTTTATAAACTCTTGCTTCTTCTAATCGTTGTTTTGCTTTCGGTATCGAATATTCTGCAATCCATTGACGAGCTTTCAATAAATTTTCGCTTCCAACATGATACCATGTTTTGCTTGGTTCTTTTTCCTCTTGGCTACGATCTTCTTCTTTATTCTTTTTGATAGCATCTTCTCCTAATCTTGCTAATAATTGTCGAAGACGTTCACGACGATCAGCCGGTCCTTCACCGAACAAACATATCGGTTGATTTAGATTTCGAAGATGAGCACGTACTTCAATATCATCAGTAGAGACGGCAATCTGTCGTGCTCTACGTTTTCGTTCCAATTCTTCTAATGCATTTTGTCGATCATTATTTAATAATGGTGCTGGTTTAAGATCAAAATATTGATTCGATGTATTTATGTTCGATGATGATGATGGTCCGGGTTGTTGTTGCTGTTGTTGTTGATTTGTTTGTTGCAACATACGAACAGAATCTTCCAAACTTCCATAATGAACAATTTTCTGTTTTTTAACATAATTAATATCATTATCATTGTACATTTTTTAAAAAAATAAATTGGATTTTTAAATTTATCGAAACAAAAATAATTTCAAAAAAATAAAATCCAAACAGGCCGGCAAATTAAAATTTGGCTATCGATAGTTTCGTTCATCATTATAAATGCGCTCGATATTTTTTTTTTTTATTCAACACAAAGCGGCATTCATTGTGTGTGAGTGACAGAGCCCAATTGTTTCGATGGTGTGTCGATGAGGTTAACCCGACATTAATTTCGAAACAAATTCGGATCATTTTGAAGATCATATTTTATTAAATTATATTGGGGAATATTAATCAAATTATCCTCAAAAAAAACAAAATAATCATGGCTGATAGTGATGATGATTATGATCGACGTCGTGGCCGTGATAAATTCCGGCGCGAAAGAAATGATTATAATGATCGTAATGTTAATAATCGTCGTGATGATTGGACACCTGATAGGTAATTTTTTTGATAAATGATTTTTTTTTTTAAATGATTTAAACTTTTTTTCCATTCGTTCGTTTCTCATATTATTTGGGAAAAAAAAGTTGGTCATCACAACGTGATCGTAATCAAAGTAGCGGCGGTGGTGGTCGACGTGATTATCGAGATAATTATAATTCCGGTCGTATGAATTATTCTCGTAATGATCGTTATAGTCCGGCTGATCGTAATGTAGGCGGTGATATGAGTCCACCAATAAAACGTATACGATCTACTGGTGTGACAAGAGATTGGGATGAACGTTATTCCAATTATGATAGCGGTTATGGTCATGGTGTTAGTGTTGGTGTTGGTCATCATAATATTGGTATTACACATTATCGAGATAATTATGGCCAACATGATCGTGAACGTGATGATGAGTATGATTACATGATTATTATTGATATTTTTGACTAAAAAATTTCATTTTTTTTTTAAAAAAATCCATAGATATCAACCACCAATGATGACATTTAAACAATTTGTTAATGAACAAGATGATCATCTTGATGTTGAAATACTTATTACAAAATATAATGATTATAAATGCGATTTTAAACGTACACAGATACAGGAATTTTTTAATCGTCATAAAGATGAAGAATGGTAAGTTTTTCTGTTTTTGTTTTTATTTTGGATTTTATTGATCCAAATTGGTCGATCAGACAAAAAAAAGTTGAAATTCTTCAATTTTCAGGCTTAATCTTTATTTGGGACACATGAAAAATGTTTTTTTTCCTATATAATTTGTGATTCTTAATAGTTTTTTTCGGTCCATTTCTGTTTTTTTTCCGTGATTTATTTTATTTGGTTTTTCTTAGTTTAAACAAAACAAAAAAATCCATTTTATCCCAGTGCTTACTTACTTCATACATCTTCGGTAAATGATGATTCACAAGAAAAAAAAATTCTCTATTATATTTTTCATTAGTGTTTCTTCAAACCATTTCATTAACCAAAAAATTTTTTAAAATCAGTGTTTGAAAAAAAATTGATTCTTCAAAGTTTATTATTGTGAAAGATTTGATTTATTTATTTTGTTTGTTTTGTTTGAAAATTTGATGATAGCTATCGGTACAGAGGTGAGAAATGTATTTCGAATATTTTAAAAAAATAGACATTTTTTGTTTTTGTTCTGCTTCCCATTTTGATTCATTTTGTTGATAAATTTTATTGTTTGAATTTCGCTAATTATTTGTGTGTTTTGTTTCACATTTGAACCATTCAAAAAAAGGTTTCGATGTAAATATTTTCCAGATGAAATGGAACGGCGAAAAACAAAAATGCAACAAACGTATCAAAATCGATTGAATGTATTTATGGAATTATATGAGAAAAAATATTTTGATAATGTTTCATTGGATGTGGATAAAGCCGAACAGATAATCAAAGTATTAGATGCTGCTGTTATTAAAATGGAAGGTGGAAATGATTTTGATTTGAATGCACTTAACAATGAATTTGATGAACAACAACAACAACAGAAAAATACTGATTCAATTTTTGCTATCGATTCATCATCAACAACAAAAGCATCATTTACAACAACTACAACAGCAGCAGCAGCTACGATTGGTTCATCCGTTTCATCAAGTGGTGGTGATAAAACGATTGATGATAATGTAACCGCCAATGATAATTGTAATGTTGATGATAATGATAATAATGATGCAAAAATGCATGATGAATCTGATCAGAAAAATAATGATGATGAAGAAGATAAAATGAATGCTGTGGATGAAGAAAAACCAATGATCGAAGATGGTGAAGCATCACAAACACCTAAAACAATGATGGATGATCACGGTGAAAGTGGTGATGGTGAATTGATTGAAGAAGGTGAAGATGCAAGTAAAGATGATATTGATGAACATCAACAACAACACAATGATTCCAAACAGCAGCAACAACAATCACAGGAAAAGAATGAATCGGAAAATTCTAATGAAAAGAAACCGAGAGCTTTGCACAAAACTTGTTCAATATTTTTTCGCAATATAGCACCATCGATCACACGTCAAGAAATTGAAGATGTAAGCTTTTGTTATAGACTTTTATTCCTATGATAATAATGATTTAAATTTGTTTTCCGATAGGAATGTCGTAAATTTCCAGGTTTTTTGCGTTTGGCAATTTCTGAACCACAAATGGATCGACGATTTAATCGCCGTGGATGGGCAACCTATGAACGTACTGTTAATATTCGTGAAATTTGTTGGAATCTTAACAATGTTAAAGTAAGAACTTTCGTTTTTTTGAAAAATTCAATCGATAATTTTTTTTTTTGCTTTTAAATTAGATTCGTGGTACTGAACTTAGTCCGATTGTTAATCGTGATCTAACTAGACGTATTCGATCAATCAATGGAATATCATCGGATAAAACAGTTGTACGTGCTGATATTCGACATGCGGCAAAATTAATTATGAAACTTGATCAACAAAAAAAATTATGGGAAGAAACTGAAGATGAAGCCAACAATAATGAACCACGAAATGGATCGACAAATACTTTATCCACACCATCACGTAATCCATTGATGAAAAATATTACCGATTATTTGATTGAAGAAGCATCGGCTGAAGAAGCTGAATTATTGGGTACATCAGTAGAAGATCCGGCAATCTCTTCGGCCGAAATTGGTGAATCTGGCGAAACTAATGGCAATTCAACATCTTGCACAAATGATGGTACACAATTAGAAAGAGATGAAGAATTGATCAAAGTTCTTGATCGTCTTTTGTTTTATCTACGTATCGTACATTCGATTGATTATTATAATCATTGTGACTATGCCAATGAAGATGAAATGCCCAATCGTATTGGTCTGGTTCATGCACGTGGTCTAATTTCATCGGCTCGTGTTACATCGGTTGAAATAACTGAATATATAAAAGATTTTGAAAATAAAATCCTATCCACATTATTGAAACCGATACCGGAGATAACGGCCGAAGAAGCAAAAAAATTGGGCTTGAAAAATATTGACGATGCTGTTGATGCATTTATCAAAGAAAATACAAAAGAATTGGGCGAAGGAAAATGGCTATGTCCATTATCAAATAAAAAATTTATGGGACCAGAATTTGTTCGTAAACATATACTAAATAAACATGGTGAACGTGTGGAACAGGTAAAAGCTGAAACAGTTTATTTTAATAATTATATTATGGATCCAAAACGACCACAATTACCCGAACATCCATTGAATCGTCCACCTCAACTTAATCAACAACAATCATCACAACAACAACAACAAACAGCAAGACATGAACCATTACTTAGTGGACCACATGGTTTTGTTTATAATCATCGTGGTGGTGCTGGTGGTGGTAATCATATGCCAAACATAATTGGTGGTAATGTTTATCCTAGATTTGGAAATCCACATCCACCACCATATTTATTACATGGACAAATTATGGATTCATATATGAGACCAAATCTTAAAAGACGGTAAGTTTTTGAATTACATTTTGAACCACATTCACACATCACGAACACAAACACAAACAGACTTGAATTGATCAGAAGTATGAAAATGAAATGATTGTCAAACTTTCTCGTCCCGTTTTTTTTTCTAATTTCTTTCTTTCATCAAATTTTTTTTCTCAAAAATGAAAAAATAAATAGGGAACCAACAACCGCATCACGTGACACTGTCGATTATGATGACGTTGCCTTCGAAGAATTGATCTGATTTGAACAGAAACAAAAAAAATATTCAAACTTGACATAGTTTATCACATTGCCACATTCTTTTTCCCCTCATTTTGGTATTATTTTTAGTTTGTTTTTTTTGATCATTGAAAAAAATGTAATATGTGTGTGTGTGTGCATGAGCAAGTAAAAAGATTGAATTTGTAAAACATTTTGTTCATCGACATGATTAGAATTCAATGAAAGAATTCAATTTCAATTTTTTTCCCATAAGAATTTGTCAAATTTAATTTAATAATGAAGAAAAAGAAGACAATAAATTCATAATTTTTCCATTGCAATTTTGGTGTTAAATTTTTTTTCAATCCACCTCTACCTACACACTCTTACATTCTTACAAATTCAAAAATATTTAACCCTTTTTTTTCTTTTCTTTCAATTTTTCTTTTACAAAACAGATATCGTGATCTTGATGCGCCCAATGAAGAATAATTTGTAGATGTTGTCCGAAAAATGAATGAAAATTGGAAACCCCCCTCAAAATTAAATGCACAAATCCTTTTTTTTTTTATAAATAAATCATTACACACCATTCATTCATTCATGATTTATATTAAATGAATATTTTGTTTGTTTGTTTTTTTTCCAAATTTGACATTCGAAATTAAATTCTCTCTTTTTTTTTTTTTTTTTTTTTTGATTTTTTCATTCTTTTTTTCGGGGAAGAAGAATTCCAAACAACAATGGTGGATCCATATGATGATTGTTTTTCTGTTTTGTTTTTGTTACTATATTTGGATCACGCCGTCGATGTTGTTGTTGTTGTTGTCTGTGAATGTGAAAAGGATTGAGGGAAAAAACGATTTCCGAATGTAAAATGAAATTCTTTTTACAGTTGCCAAACGTTAATGAACTTGTTGTTGTTGTTGTTGTCGAAGAGAATTACTCATCATCCACAGCATCATTATTGACAATTTTTTTTTTTGTTAATGAAAAGAAAATGTCATTGGTCTTTGGATGTGTAAATCTCTCATCGCCATCTCTCATCATAATCATCATTTGGTTGGTTGGTTGTCAAAGAAAAGGTCATTATCAAAGGTTTTTAATTATCAAAAAAAATTATTTTTTTTTGTTGTAAAAACAAAATTATGATCATCATTATCACAATGGTGGCCATAAATGGTCATCATTAACACCTACACCTACCACACACAGTAACAATAAAATGAGGGCAAAATCATTTTTTTGATAATGATTATCTTTATTTAAATGATTTTTCTCTCTCACTATCTTTGTGTGTGTGTGTGTGTGTTAAATTGTAAAAAATAAAATTTGTAATTCAATGTAGCCCTGGTTGCATCATTTTTTTTTTATTGCCTTGAAATTCCAAGTGTTTTCTGTTTTGTTCAATCAATTTTTCGATTATGCAAATTCTAAATTTTTTTCCTTTCGTTTTCTGGTAATGAAACAAACAAACAAACAAAACAAACATAAAACTTGCTATACTGGTTTCTTGTTTTCGCTGTTGGTTGTCAATTTTTCTGTAAATCAAGGATGCCCTCCATCATCCAACCAACCATCCATCGAAAACCCTTACCCAATGTGTTGGATTTGATGATGGATATCATTTTGTTGTCCTTGAAATAAGTTTTTTTTTTTTTTTTGTATGCAAAATGTACGTATAGAGTACAAGAGGGAAAAAGCCTTTTTTTTCCATCCAGAGGAATAT